CATGATACGTCTGGCTGAATGTTGCAAGTACGCGTCTCGCGCAGCCTTGTCACCATGAGGAGATAAGTGCCGTTAAGTTTGTGCCCCTGGCAATACTACGGCCACGTCTGGCCACAGCATGTCCGAGACATACGCGGGAGAAAGTGGGATAAAGTGAACGATAAACACACAAGGTGGTCAGGCGCTCCAGCTTTGGTGGATTTGGGATGGATTTCAACAGGTCAAGCGGCAACATTTGGCAATGAGTGTCGGACTTTCAAACATGCATGATATCATATGTAATTTTACGAAGGCATAGGCTACCACCGTGGGAGTCGGGAATAGTCTCTACTGACCCAGTTTCAACTTTCCACAGTCTCCATCGACCTATCATTTGTGTCATCTCCGCACGGCGCAGACTGCCATGATGGTGACCGATGACATATGGAGATGCAGATTGGAATTATTAAACTCCTAGACAACCATTAATCTGTGTTAACTATGGCCCCGGAGTGCCCCATGTCAGTGTCCACTATCTATCAATTAGCGTTAGGGAAACGCACGGGTACGGGTAACACCGCGGTTCTATGCTGACGGGTTTGGAGGGTACGGGTACGGAGTAGGATAGTCGTACCCTTGAGCATACCGTGGCCATTCACCGCGGGTTGACGGTGTTTGGGCGGGTATAATATACCAAATCGGGAACCAGGCGCGCGACAGCCATTGAACACCGTGTTTGATTCTCTGTTTTTCCTTCCTCTGAGAGCTTGAGGATCACAAGTGAATGCTATACTGATTTCTGTCATGTCTTTTGTACCCCCGTGAATCATTCTAGCAATTTATTGAGCTGACACTTCGTTGCAGAGAAGCTCGAGTCACTACCATAAAGCCAAGGCAAAAACTCGAGACCAGTAAGTCCACTGAGTCGTCTCCCCATGAAAACTAAGCTCACAAAGAAGGCATCTGATGCTTCGTCTACCCAGTCACACTCATCATCTAAGTCTATCTCGTCGTCCATCTCCGAGAAGGCCAGGTCACTCAAAAAGGCTGTTGCAAAGGGTGCTAAGGCTCTGGCCCGCCCCTTGAAGAAGGTCAAGCAGTCATTTGTGTCTCGGTCTTCTCGATCGAGCCCCACAGACACCGTTGATCTTACGCGATCAAGTACTGATTCACTTGCCACTGACGATAACAAATCAACGGCAGGTGCATTCGAGCCTGATCCCGATCCTTCTGCAGATCTCGCACCATCAACAATTCGTGCCTTTCTCTGCCTCGGAGCGTGGGGCAGAAGTGATCTTCTGGTGATGGAGGACCTTTTAGCCGCTGTCAGGACTCAAAAACGGAAGCGAAATGAAGTCGAAGCAGAGGAGAATGACAAGGAAAAGTAGTACTATTTTATTTCATTGTTGTTAATACTTAATACACTCTTCTTGGTAATGTACCCGCGGTGTTCAGAGACACCGCGGTGTTTTCCATAAACCGCGACATTGACGGGTCGGTGTGTACCCGTACCCGTGAAGGGTACGGTGTTGGCGGGTGCGGGTGCGGTGTCAACTTTCCGACCCTCGGTGTTACCCGTGCGGTACCCTAATCAGCGTAAAGTAGCACCCGGGTTTTGCCAATACTTGATGTACAAGGCAAAGCTCTTAGCTCTTAAGGAAAGCTGTCCGCAGCCCCGAAGAATGTAGATTATCGATCATCAATCAATCATCATGGTATCGAATGTCACCATGCGTGGGGTTGAACGTGGCCTACCAATTGTAGTAAATATTATGTATTAGATGTATTAGATATTTAATTATTATTTCCAGGTGATCTTACAACCACACTGGCAGTGGAAGCAATGCGAGACCCATAGTGATCCCTGGCGGGAGGTGGTGAATATTCTGCTCAGCTGCAGTCTCGTATCAAAAGCCTGGTACTTACGTGGTATGTGGAGGACGCAACAGAAAACTCACTCTCTACATGGTCGAAGACATAATAGCCCCTGACCAATAGGTGATAGACAGGCTAGACTCGACCGGGTCACATCATGGTATTACTCGATGTTGCACGTTCGACTGCTTGTATTACGCTCCTCACAGAATTGTCACAGCTGATGCTACAAAGCCATCTGGTAATGATGGAATAGGTAAAACTTGTGTTTTTGTCATGCACAGGACACTTAATAGTAGTACTGAAAAAAGTACTTCAAGTTGTATCGGCCTTTCCAGTCTGCTCTTGCATCAACATCATCTAGCACTCATCTCCCCCACCTGTCCTTGGCTTGTCGCTTCTGGAACTTGATTTCTCGACGCCGTCTGTCAGACAATGAGTCCATGTCATAAGGTCGGCCGAACCACGGTTTCTTTGCATGTTGTGCTCGGTCAACCTCCCGTATGCAGCCCGCAGCTAGTACCACAGGAGTGAAGCTCCGTACAGGGGAATCAGACGAGAAAATCGACCGAAACGTTAATGTAAGTAGTTGATTGGCTTTCACATACTACTTATTACTGGGTGTCAGTGTTCTGGGAATTCTGCTCCGCTTGGCAGCAGAAATAATTGCCAGGATAGCATATACAGTACTATACAGTACTCATATTACAATATCAATCACACATTCCTCCTGAATACAATCCAAGGGTGTCAGCCGCGAATAAGTAGGATAACATAAGTATAGTAAAATTGCTAGTGCAGCGCAACCACATCATTCATACCGACGCACTCTCAAAGGTACCCCAATACCATCCTCTCCAACAACCCGCGGGCGGGGTAAAAGTCCCATCGCAACTTCGACTGGAGTATTAGGTCCATCCCGCATCTCAAACACGAAGCTCTTCGCCAGGACCGATAAAACCGTCTGTATCGCAGTGAATAATGTCCAAACCGACTGATTCGAATCACTCACCTTGAATTCCGTGATCGCAAAATCTTTGCCAAGACACGTCCTCGGGCCGTCGACGAATGTCAGCAGATGCCTATGACCTTGGACTTCCTTGGCCTTCCCACTGATCCCGTCTTCAGTCAGCCAACGATCAGGCTTAAATTCCTTTGCATCTGGTCCCCAGATGGCCGAAGAGCGATTGATCGCAGCGCCTGATATCGTGATCAATGTCCCTTTCGCTATACATATACTGTCCGTCATTTCCCCGGACACCGTGCGCACAGGTTCGCTCAAGGGAATGACGTCATCTGCCGCTGCCTGTAGACCTATTGTGAGTGCCTATGCACATGTAGACATGAACACTCACAAGACGGGTGAACTCGCCCACCGGAGGGTGGAGTCGTAGAATTTCATGGACAACGGCATCCAAGTATGAGAGATTGGCCTTTAACTGGTCATATGTCGGATCAGCGCCAAACACAAGCAGTTCCTCTCTGAGTCTGGTTTGGACATTGGGGTGTCGCGATAGTTCGATCAGCGCCCACTGATCATCACATTAATAGCGTGCACAAACATTATCGCACAGTAGGCTTACCGTAAGACTGACTGTCGATGAAAAGTCAGCTAATATGATGGCAGGGGACAAAAAATGAACCCACTAGACGTCGTCTCATAACCTGCCACAAGCAAGACCTTCATCTGCAGGATATCAGCTTGCAAGTCATTGCTGTCATACAGTCTCCACGGACCTGAGCCACTACTTCCTCCTTCGACATATGAAGCTCGGCATCTTGGCCTTCGGATTTAACTTATCGCAGCGTTAATCGGGAGAATACGATGAATCTCTTGGAGAGCTTACTCAACAATCCGATGATGGACTTCTCCTCGTCTTTCCCACTCATATTCACATCCTTCTCCCGACGGCTACGGATCAATAAGTCGTTGGATATTTCTCCCATGGCTACGCCAAGTTTCTTGACCAGATTCCTGTGCTTGCTTGGAATCTTTGTAATGATAGGAAACGCTGATGCGAGCAGGAGAACAACCTGGTTCACTGCTGAAGCCTTTTGGTCGTTTCCGAAAGTATCAAATATTTCGGTCACGCTGGCTCGCTTTCCATCGAGCGAGCCAAAATCGTGGGAGAAACCAGCGATGCCAATCGTATCCAGACTGATGATACGTCAGTTAGAAGCGTCAATAGCAAATTATCTTCGCGTACGATATATGATTCATCCTTCGAGTCGTTTCGATTAGGAATAACACTTGACAAGCCAGAAAATTTACGCACCAGTTCTGAACCTCGATGACAGTGTCACCATCTTTGCTCGATTCTATAGCAGTATCCCATGCACCTTTGGCCTGCAAAGTATCAAGATCAGAGATGCTATATTTCCCACGTCGCAAACCCTTGCCTTGTATGCTGAGTCATAAAACACTGATGTGAGTTTCCGAATCGCTGCATTGCTGAATGCTGGTGTGAGGGCCTTCCGCTGCCTAATTTGCAGGTAGTAGATAAGTCGCTAGTGCGAGGACAAGAGCTGAACAGTACCTCTTGTGGGCTTCACCCTGAGACCATAACAGTCCTCTGCCGATCTGACAGGAGATGTCAGAAAGACAAGGTAAGATGATGATGTTAACATACTGATGCCTCCAGAAGCGCCAGCGAAAGGGGCGTCTGCACATATGTCCATGTCTCACGGGCATAGAAATAAGCTATAGCTCTTGGGTCGAACAGCACGATTCTAGTCTGTCCGAGAACGCTCGGAATCATATACGCGACCCCATATTCCATCGCCCAACGTTCATACATTCCACCACTATCTTTAGATGAGGCGACGTCGTGCGAAACGCCGTATATAAAGCTGGTGCGAGGCGGACCCCGCAGTTGAGTTGTCTTCAGTCGCCAGCGAAGGGCCCTCATGACTTTGACGAGAGCCCATAATGCAACAAATGAACATGCGACATTGAATGCACCAACCGAGCGTACGGTTGTCCAGAGACTTAATGGAGAGGATGCAGAGATGACCTTCATAGTTGTGTTGGATTCGAGGATCTATTAGGAGATTTATAGCCGTTTCTGTGACAGCGGCATGGCTACGAAGGTCGACGGCTTTGATAGGACTGTCGTCTGCGGGAGTGTCCCGGTGCCGTTGTTTTTCGTCATTCAAGGTTATTCATAGAAGCTGATACTTGTCACGCTAAAATTGTCGAACACTACTTGGACCTCCGTGGGCGGGCCAGTCAGTCTGCAACAGTGAAGAAGATCCCATACGGTACAAAACAAATATTGAGCGGGAGCCCATTCAAGCTTGAACATGATACGTCTGGCTGAATGTTACAAGCACGCGGCTCGCGCAGCCTTGTCACTGAGGAGATAAGTATGGTTAAGTTCGTGCCGCTGGCAATACTGCGGCCACGTCTGGCCACGGCATGTCCGAAGTCCTGGAGAAATGCAGGAGAAATTAGGATAACGTGAACGATAAACACACAGGGGGTGGTCGGACACGCCCCCAGAGTGAGACCCATACAATACCCCCGGAGTCCGTGACAGAGCTACCCCCAGGGTGTCCATTTCCCGGACGTTCTCAGTTTTGGTGGATTTAGGATGGATTTCGATTTCGAGTGGTCAAGCGGCAACATTCGGCAATGTGAGTCGGACTTTCAAACACAATTAACAAAGGTTGATAATATTTTAACATTAATGGTTAACGCCAATCCAGGAGTCTAATCTGCATCTCCATCATCGGTCACCATTATGGCAGCCTGCAGAGACGATAAGTCGATGGAGACTGTGGAAACTGGGTCAGTAGAGACCATATCATTCAATACCTTCGTAAAATTACATATCACATACTTGCAGGGACACCATACATCAAGCATGGCCCCGCACTGCCCCGTGTTACTAACAAATGTCACAAATCAACCGTAATTTATTCACCGAGCACTACCTACTAGGCTAGTAAATGTAGTCAAGAATAAGATCTGGCCGCGGATGATTCCCCTGGCCAAGCGGCTGAAGCCTGCAGCGGAGACCACCACCACGCCAAAATCCCCCGTTACTCTCCGTCGCCCGCCTCCATCATAGCCGGACCCGCAATAGACTTGCATCCTACCATGACTCCACATATTGTATCAATATTTCACTTGCGATTCACAATTATTATTACATCCTGTCTATCATGTGCATTCTGGTCATGTAGGTAAGCCGAGCGCATCACGCTCAACAGAACTACTTCGAACAATCAAGATACCTGTCAGTTGCCTCGACCAATCTCCTCCATCGTTCTCCATTCCAGCTCTTCACTTCTTCCCACTCCTCATTCTCAAAGCAATACCGTATCCAATTACATAAACCCGCAACCATAAAGTCAGAAAAACACGGTGTATCCCCCAATAAGAATTGACCGCTGCTCGTTGCATACCACCCGTCCACGGTATCGCATCCAGCACGCAGCGCATTCCACTGTTCTTCTCTCTTCTCGGGAGTTGCAAACTGCTCCCATGGAATCCCGAATCGCTCCTCACGAGTGCGAATATAATACTCCTTGCTCTCGGGATTGAGCTTCTGAGCACCTCTGAAACAGCCCAGCAAGATGACGCCCCTTGTGGCGTTATAGAATGCGGTGTGAAATACGTGCACCAGCGCGGCTGTGTCATTTGGCAGTACTTTCGGTGTGTCGGGGGTATTGCTCATCAAGGTACTGTGCAATCGCAAAGGAGTCTGTAATCCACCTATCCGTATTGGGATCCATGATGATAGGGAGCGTGTATATGGGTGTTGGGGTTCCCTTGATGTTACGCAAGGTGGTGGGCACAAGAGAATGCTGCTCGTAGAATGGCTTGATCTCTGGGAACTCGAGCCAGACAGTCTGGAAGGGTAGACCCTTGAAGGTGAGACAATATCTATGACATGTCAACGACGAAGAGGAACTCCTGAGGCGAGTAACATGCCTTGTTTTCATTGTATTTGGAGACCATGGTTCACTCTGCACGACGTTGGGAATATCATAGAAGATAATGGGTTTGAGCCCTGGCATCGACATTGTTTCTACGATATCCGCGTAAAGTAGCACGGGGTTAGGTTTTGCTAGTACTTGATGACAGATGTGCTCTTAGCGCTATAGCTAGGGAAAGCTGTCCGCCGCCCCGGAGAATACGGATCGATCATCAGATGCATCATCACAGGTAAGTTTGAACGTTGAAACTGATCATCCTTATTTTGCGCAATACTGGCCTACAAAGAGTATTAATGTGTAGTCCCAGTTTGGTCACGATCTAGGTAAAATTTTAATTCTCCATTACAATATCTCTAGTGTCCTGACTTCCATGTCGGGAACACAAGTCGCGTCTTTGAACTGTGCAATAATATGATGATCTGAGGCGACTCTCTTGTATTCTTTGCGGCACTCGTGCTTTAGCAAAAATGCGCTAAAAGGCTGTCCAAGGCGAACAATTAATCGCAACGCTTGTTCCAAATCAACTAGCCCATGTTTTTCGGTGGACCCGCCAGGCGAAACGTCTACGGGAGATCCGGGCGGGGTCCAATCGCCTATGCTGTGCACATTATCAGGCGACTCGAGAAGATGATGATCCCACGGACGAATAAGCAAGAACTCAGGCATTCGAGCGAATCTTGTCGGCAAGAGCTCGACGTCCGTGGTGATCACTAGGTCTCGAAGTCCGCTCGCCTTGACTTCATAGGTGATACGTGTATCTTGACCTCGATTTCTCTTCCGTCTGGTCACGGTGACACGGAATGCGATGCAAGGCAGGTGTAGACGTTGATCTGCAAAACGGGGAGCATGAAGGGAGTCAAGTTCGCTGTACAATTTCGAAGCCAATTGTACAGCCCCATCATCTCGTAGCAACGAGACTGATCTGTTCATCTCTTCAGTAGATAGAGATGGGTATGTGTACGGCGGAGCTTTGTATGAAGAGATTTCGGCTGGCAGACAGCTGTTGAACTGAGATGGTCTTCCAACCCAGTCTAGGGCAGTAATGTCGCCCGACTGAGCTATGATCGCTTGCAAGAGCCGCCCAAGGGCGTATTGCTTCTTCTCCCCATAATCAACGCCTAGGCGGACGCGGAAGACGCCAAACAAGGAGTAAGCGATGTCTTCCTGCCGTGTAGTGATACGCGAGGATGCCCATTGGAGTGTCTTTCGGACATTTCTTGTCCCTGGATGGAAAGTAACGAGGCTCTCTCGGTCTATGCCTGTGGTACCTGCCAACTCCTCTATAATCTCACTGGAATCCTTGTGGTTGGGAGAGCGATCGTTAAGATATAGGGTCCAATCCTTCTGATAAAAGAGGACGCATTTCGAAGCCATGAGTTCTTGAAATGTCCATCCTCGTTTGTTCCAAACACTCTTTGCCAGTGCGCCAGGCTTGGAGGAAGGTGGAACATCTGATAGGTAAACGATTGTAAGTGCTGAATGATGATACCAGACAAACATGGAGTTGATTGATTCGTGGAGCTCGACGTTGTTGGTCTTGTCAATGCAGCACGTATCCATCCAGGCCCAGCGATAGCCCGCATCGCAAGCAATCTTGCAGAATATCTGCAACTTCACGATGCCACCAACTGGATCCAACTTGTACACAATCTTGTCCTGGATGTCGTGCAACAGTGACTCCCCCGCGTCCCACCTGTGTGACAGCATGACACAACGGAAGAACTTTGCCACCACTTCTTTGATGTGCATCAATGGTGGATCTGGATGCTCCATCACGAATAGCAGAAGTTCCTTGTACTCGGTGTTTGTCTTGAAGGTGGTTATTTGGGCCTCTCGGTCACATAAAAGACCGATGGTGGTGTCTAATACACGAAGTGGGGCGTTTTCAAGTTGAACGTCAATGGAATTTCGGATAACACCCTCCGCCTCGAATGCACTGATATACTGCTTGCGCAGGTCTGGGGAAAGAGTTGAGTATCTTGACGGATGTAAAATTTTAGGCTTACTTCGTATATGCGACTCGGAAGCATCATCCAACTTGGGGAGCATATTGTCCAAAGCATCGATAGCTTCATCAAAGCGTTGTGCGCCATAACAAGCAACATACTTCAACTGATATCCAAGATAAGCCGAAGGCTCGAGTTCGATGACCTATGCATTACAATGAGCATTATGCACAAGAAATAGATGTCGTCGCACCTTTTGCGCATCCGGGACCGCTTCCTGCCATGCCCGTTTGTCTATCTTCGCCTTACAGCGGTTTACAAAGATGGTGTGGGTTGCAGAACCGAGGTCAATCGCTGCCGAGTATAAAACGATTGCTTTGTCATAATCGCGCGCAGCAAGGGCAGTATCTCCGTTGGTAACGCAGAGCGTACTGCATTCATCCTTGAAAGCTGAGAGACATGCGGGTGAGGATTGCAGCATGAGTGACATTACAGAAGACCTGCCAGTAGACCAATCGAGGCAGCTGGCCCGCGAGATTTCATCACTCATATTCATCATATGATGGTACGATTCGACGGCGTCTCGAAATCTACCCGACAAAAGGAGTGCATCGCACCGTTTCTGGTTTACAGTTTTCCACAAGGACTCGATGTCCCATCCGAAAAGCTGGGTAAAGCACCAGTTGGGCATGAGAGTGAGATTTTGAGAGGCTGCATCGTATCAACGTACCACGGATAAGTCCTCACATATGGAGTGGATGGCCGGTTTAGATGAGAAAGCGTCAGTGTCGATAGCAACAGTGAAGTAATCAGCAGCTTCGCTGTAACGCGCATCATCGAAGGCATTTATTCCCAGTTGGACATTTAGATACGCCTGACGTACAAAAGTCAAAATAATCAGTACCGACGAGGCATGAGCTGAGCTTAATTGAGTTGATATTTACTTCCACCATACGACAGGCAACAGTATCAGCACTGCGACAAACGGCAGCCAGCTCTTGGACACGCTGTATTGCATCTTCGTGTTGATCTGCATTAAAAAGTGCAACGGCCTGAAAACAGTCAGGAGCAAGAACTATGCGAAAAAACACCGACATGCCTTTATTAACAAAAGAAGAAGGGTGTTCTTCGAATCTCCGTCTATAAATATGAACGCAAGGTCAAATGTTTTCATTGCGGCCTTGATCTGTTTTTGTCCGCAGAGGGCAATGCCCTTGGAGATGTAGCCCGTCAAAGAGGGCTGGATTTTGAGAGACTACGTGACCAGTTAGCCTATGTTAAGGGGGAGATAATGGGACAATGTATCCTACCATAAGTGCATCATCAAGCGCGCGATCCCATTCGGATTTCTGCGCCATAAGAAATGAACGATTGGCGTAAGAAATGTAGTCGATTTTGGAGTCAGCGTTGATCGCTTGTGTTAGCAGCGTTTCAGCGGTAGACAAGTCCCCATTTATGAATGCATTGCGGATCGTCGTGTTTAACGTGAAGAACTATGAGTTATGCTCGAATCATGTTATACTACATAAGTCAAGAGTGCAAACTTACCTTAGAATTAGGCAATGCGTCCTCTGGTATTGCCCACTTTGAGATAGGGCCCTTATCTTCCCCTCCACTGAGGATGTGCTTGCCATCCACGGAAAAAGTAACGCGGAGGACATAGCCGGGGTGTTTGAATATGGCGATAGTCCGTCGATCCGAAAGCCGCCAAAGGCGGACATGATTATCATGAGATGCAGAGGCGATCAGGGTCCCATAGAAATTCACGGCAATAGCATAGATCATGCCAGAATGACCTGTCCATGGATCACCGACCTGCTTCCAGGTTGACGTATCCCATTCCCGTATAGTAGGATCCTTAGAAGGTCCTCCTGAGAGAAGCCGCGTGCTATCAGGTGTCCATGCCAGCGAAACATTCTTCGATTTGGCGAATTGTGCATCATAATGAGCCTTGAAGTTTGCAACACATTTCCTTGTGCGTGTATCCAATATCTGGATATCCTTGGTCGTCGCGATGGCGAGAAGTTCGCCAGATGGTGAATACCGAACGCAGAAGACTTCACTACCACAACTAATCGGATTTCCTTGCAGCTGCCAATTTTTTGTGCTCCATAGTTTCGTCGTCATATCCGATGAACCAGTCGCAAGTATTGTTCCATCTGGAGACAAGTCCATCCAGCGGATTTCTTTGTGGACTCGAATGGGTCGAAGACGCTCGTCACGCTCCCCAGTTTCTCCATTCCAGGCGATGAGCCTCCCGTCCAAACTGCCGCTTACTATCAATTGCCCGTTTCGTGACACTGCCACACTCTGCACCCAGCTGAGATGTCCCTTCATGGTTTTCAACACACTCCCGTTCTTCAAGTCCCACAGACGAAGCATATTGTCCGTCGAGCCCGTCACCATACGTTGTCCATCGGGGAGCAGTGCGAGTGCGCATGCGGTTTTATTATGAGCTTCAAACACTCGAACGGGTTGTGGTCGTTGGAATGATGGGCTGCGCTGTATTCGCCATTCTTGTGAAAAGTAATGGTGTCAAGCAAGGTCGAGATAGACTTGTGGTGGGGGTTTTTCTCTAGGCTGCAGAGGTGCGATGTGCGTGTACTGGGCGTTTTTAAACACTTTTCACTAGAACTTACTAGGTAAAGGGCCGAGCTTCTTCCTCAGCGACCTTGTTCTTAACGACATTTGGGAGCCGAAGTATCCCGGAACAGTAACAGGGACCCACAACTCCTTGTTCCACAAGGGTTAGGGATGTTGTACGGTGAACTTCGTTATCGTAAATTCGCAACACCATAGTGTCATGTTATTATGTAATACAATTAACACAAGGTTTACTATATGGTATTAGTATAGTGCCACGAGCCGACAAATAAATGATCTGAAAGCATCCATCCACCACAACTAGCCCGCGAGATGTCTTCGCCGAGCAGATATACACATCAATCGCGGAAGCACATCACTCGCCTTCCGCCCCGCAGCAAGCGCACCCGTGACATCTCGCGCGAGCCTTCGACTTCGTTCCCAATCCATCGTCTGACGTACGTCTTCTGTATCTTCAACTAACAGCTCACGCCAGCGCTTCGCAGGACGGTTTCGAACTGCTGTTCTCGCGACTTGTTTCGACGGCGAAAAGGAAGACAAACGAGATGCGGGGCGGAATTCTCGGCGGACCATAGTTTGCGATGGCCCATTGGTCTCCGCGGAGATAGAATGAGACGGGGACGAGTCAATTTCAATTGCACTCGAGCTCATGTCGTGCATGACGGATACCGACTGTTCTTTGAGCCGAGAGAACTTCCTCGATCGTTTTGCTGCATAGGAGGGATCAACTAAATCTGGACGAGCTAGGCACAGTTTTTTCGGCTATTTCTCGTCGTTTGCGTCGTTCTGAGGAGCGAGAAGTCGAAGATTTTTCTGAGATGAAGAAGGAAGACTGTGGAACCTTGGAGGACGAGGCGAGGCTGATAGTCGAAGTGTCACCCAATAAAAGAGGTATCGTTGAAGCGGGTGTGATAGCGCGAGGCGAAGCTACAGTAATGAGGACAGAGGTAGAGGACGTTGCAAGGGGTTCATTGCGCCTGCGGTAAGAACTGATCTCTAGTTGAGGAGGGGATCCAAGTGACGGAGCCGACCGACTGGGTCCAAGGTTTCTAGGTAGGATTGCGGAGGTACGCTGCTCACGCTCGTGAGACGGTGATATTAATTCACCGGTCATATCAAGGAATGGATCTGGTGATGGAACCCTAAACGACCTGTAGTGCGGATGTGCCGCATGATGGGGATCATCGATGGATTCCTCGGTCTTTCTACGCCCGAGGGCAGAAACGAGAGATGGAATGACTTCATCTACGTCACTATTTTCTGTCTCAGGAACACTGCTGATATGTTCCTCAAGTCTGCGGCGTTTTCTCCTATGACCATCGGCATACTGTCTCTGAATCTGAGCTAAAGGGAGAGATAGATGATGAGAAAGCTCTTGATTGGAAAGGCTCTTAAATGGCTGAGAGCGCTGCGATGGTGGAACATCTGATGATGCTTGGGAAAAGGTTTTAATGCTCTGCTGATTGTACTCTGCACTCGCGTCTTCGCACATCCGAATCGAAACATTGTGCACTTCAGGAGGCTTCAAGAAGTTATCATCGAGTAGCTCAGGTAGCGATAACAGTTCCGCCTCGGCCATGACTACATCCTCTAACAATGCGAACAGAGATGTACATGCACTCCTAGACACCACGGACTGCGCACGGGTCAGGGGTTTACCCTCGTCGAGTTCATCGGAGGCAGGGAGTGTTGTTGGCGCGTGCCGGGGAATTTGGCTAAATGGGTCAGATATCCGTGAAAAAGGGGTGGCCAAGGAGCTCCTGAGCACGTGTGGGGAGGAAGGTGACAGTGAGAGATCTGTGATTTCAGCAGTTCTTTGACCTTCTATTTCCTTGCCTTTCCCCTTGACATCTCGTGGACGCAGGTCAGGTGACGATACTGGCGTGGGGAGGCTCTGATCAGCAGAGAGCGTGATAGCTGGGACGAGGGCTGTATCGTTAGTCTGTACAGACACCGGGACCTGAACGCTGCTTTCCAATACCGGAGCCTGAACGTCAACTTCTGCTATTGCAGCTGCTATAGACTGTTCTTCCACAGGACCCAAGTTTTCGACGCCGATAATCTGTGCCTCGCCTCCTGATATCCGTGACGGACTTGACGATAACCAGCTCTTAATCGATTCTCCCACGCTGTAATCCCCAGCAAAGAACAGGCGCGCAGTCCTGACATGCGCATCAGACCCATCGTCGTCGCTCGAGTCGTCCGAGTCTCCCATATAGCGCTTCACCTGCATGTGGGTCTTGGTCGTCCTTTTGGGAGTCACCGGCGCAGAATTGTTCCAGGATGATAACGGGGATGAACCTCCATGCTCAGAACGTGAATTTGGTAGACGCCCGAGCACTCGATCAACGATTGCCTTCTCCTTTGGTCCTAACCACCCTCGGAGTACATCCAGCCGTCGTCGCATACTCCCGTCATCTGCCCACTTCCGTGCTTCGAGTTCAGCAGAGTCACCGACGAGGTTTTTCATTGCCGAATCTGTATCCGCGAGGTCGAGGGAGGCGAGATCGAGGACGCTGGGATGCACAATTCCTGACGAGTTCAACTCATGTGGGATGGGATCAGCACGGTCATAAATGGGCGGAGCCATGCACTCCTTGAACATAGAGTTCATCGCAGTCCAATCGAGACCGCCGAGAGCGGGCACGAGGGTATTGGGAACCACTCGACGCGGGCGGAAGAGGGAAACAAGGTTGAGCAGTTCTGGTAGGGGAGAATGTCGTTCGAGAGGTACAAGCTATAAGAATGCCAACATCAGTGCCTTGTATCAACAATGGAGGGTAACGGAGGGAGAGGGAGAGAAATTGCGTGATACCGACCAAGCGATCGACATCCTTCCCCATTGCAAGACGTCTTCGTACATCCATGCGATAGCCTTCCCACTGTGCACATCCCATGGTTACAGGATTGACATATACAACCTTTTTCCCCTCGATGCTCCGTGGCGTTAACTCATTCTTGAAGTCGAAGCTAATTCCCATTCATTTAGTGAATGATCATAGCAGGTTTTGTCACACGTGAACAGGGATGAATATGACGAAAATGACGAACATAACATGCCATTGGTCAGCGAAGTCGACTGATGGAAGATGGAATAACATACCTAGGTACATCTACGAAACTACAGCGCTCAAACCGTTCACAAGCATGAAAGCGGGTGCTCGTCGCATCGCGTGTGACGAGAGTACGAAGAAAGGGATCTGATATATGCGTGTAGACCGCATGTTTGTATCGATCGACATGAATCTGGAGAAGCAAGTATGTCAGTAAAACGGAACCCTACGTGTAATGATAGAAATGAGAGGGCATATGAGGCAGCACAAAATACTGTAAAGAGTAGAATGCAAGCAGGATGTAAGCGCATATATGCGCCATGGAAAGATGAGAACAGTTACATACAAGCCGCAAGGGAAAAAATAGAACGAATAAATGGATTCCGAAACATACGAAAAGATCGCCCATGATATATAGATCGTAAAAATGGGCGTTTGCTTACCTGACACTGGAACGCTCGCGCGATACCCTTGAGCACGTCCTCATATCCCCAAGTCCACGAGTTTATGAAGAAATAGGTGTCCTTATCAAACAGCGCAATGAGCTCGACCAGGCCTTTGACCGCGTTTTCCTGCTCACGTTCGTAAACCATTGACCGATCTGATAGTATCTGGAATAATCACCTTTGTGGGGACAACGGTTCCCCTCAACATGCACGCCGTATCCAAATAAATCGCATTTAATGTTTTTGTCAAGCTTGCTGCTTGGCCGCCCCGCGCTATGAGAACACGGAGATCTTCCTCTGCATCTGGGATGTATGGTTGGAGAAACGGATTTCGAGTTAGAGATTTTAATAGCCAATGTTCGGCGCGTACGTCGCCCGTGTGAAGAATCGTGCCACGAGGACCTTCAATGAGGAACCTATGAAGCAGGGATGAGCGTTAGGGAGAAAACATACAAAGTGAAACGCACATAGCGGCACCCGGACAGTGATTTGCATCAATGAGTGTAATAGTCACCGTCTCAGTCGACGATAACTCAAATTCAGTTGGAGTATTCAGTGGGACCGCGTGCTTTGTGTTGATGTATCATGTCAGAACACGAGCGTGAAAAGAGCTCTTGCACTCACCAACAAATCCCTACTACATGCTCCACCTTCAACCTTCAAATGAGCAAACGTCTTCATTGCAACTTCACCTGCATCTTTCTTTGCGCGTTCCATATAAATTTCATGCCTCAAAAGCATCTCTTTTGTATCAGGCGAGCATACTACCCGGGCAGCAAATGATTTTGATGATAGGCCGAGAATGTGGTCTGTATGTGAGTGGGTGAGGAGATATAGTGCTGGTGTATTATACGGAGCTGGAAGGTGAGCTGTGCAGGTGAAACAGTCGACACGGATGGGATAAGGGAGTGCAAAAGAGGCGTAGGGCGTTCCTGGGGGCATTGCTAGGTGTCGACAACTATGGGTGAATGAGATAGGAGAAGCATGTAGGAGAGAGTTTGGTGGAAAACTGACTCAAGTCGGAAAGAGTCAGACAGGAGATGACCAAAGAAGGACGAATCCCGGGGAGTGCTCACTGCTCAGTGTGGCATGGCCCAGTGATCAGTCACGTGGTACGTGTCAGTGACCGGCACTGCGGCGACAACCGCCGGCTTTCTTGTTGTAGATTTGTTGGCACTCCTCGGTGTCGACGTGTTATCAATTCACTCTAACATGGATGAACTTATCCAACATTGGGGTACGTATAGAATCCCTCGGTACCCACGGTGACCGGCCACAGATTGAATTGTCATTAATCTCATACAATTGTATGTTTTTGATACAGGCCAGATAGCAAGTACCGGAATATTGGGTACAGCTCCTGCCTGTTGGGTATAAACCTTGATACGTCCTATCCAGCACGCTCCCCCCGCACACAAAAGCCAGACTGATCTTGTAACCGTCTTGGCCCGGGAGCACTATCTAATGTCCCCGTATAGGTGAACGCCGCATACTAGCAAGTACTCCCGACGTTTATCAGTAAGGCTCTTCAGACTGATTAATCTCCTTATCTTTCACATATTAATAGATTCCTTTCCAAACGGTAAATCTCCGTACAAATATCTCGCACATTCCTGATGCCATTCAGTCAGACAAACTTCTTTTTTTCATCATGCTCGCGCCACATTTTAATATCGATAAGCCAACATGCGACCTTATTGTCATTGATCCTCCTTGTTGCACGCCCCAATCCATTTGGCACTTGGCACCGCACGGAGACTGCGTGACTTTGAGTTCAGCCCCCCAAAATGGATTTACATAAGTACCATGCGATGATCATTACGGCTCCGAAAGTCCTAAGCTAGACAAAGCCGGATCCGTCCCATACTCAAGTTTAAGCTGCACTGAATTGTCGTGCCGGCGCCGGTGATCTGTATCTTACTATTCCGAATTTCCGAGGCAGTGGACACGCGAACGTCGCGAAGTACTCGTGGCTGACACTATGCCATCCTGTCTTCGTGTCCCAGTCAGCTCGAGGCGAATTCAGTACTAACGGCCCTTTGAAATGTTGATTCTATCACAGCATAATTTCAACACTCTTTCTCCTTTTGTTCACTTCGATCTCCCAAGTTCCACATTCTTCTTTACTTAAATCCCTTTCAGCTGCCTGTAGGTTTACGCGTACGGGTTCAGAGGGCCCCGGGTGGAGATCACAATGGCGCTATCTCGTTCAGCTCGCATAACACTGTTGCTCGTCATTGACATCCTATTTTTCTTCTTGGAACTCGTCGTTGGTGAGCCACATCTTCAGCTATCACTTTGCTCAAATGATCAAATTCACGGATCAACAGGTTATGTTGTCGGTTCCCTTGCTCTCGTCGCCGATAGCTTCCACATGCTCAAGTAAGTGTCAGCCTTCAAGTCTACGACATATAATTTTGTGACCATGACATTTGTAGTGATGTGATGAGCTTGGTTGTCGCTTTGTATGCTATCAAGGTTCGAGCCAGACCTAGTCTTTCTTCGTTGGTTTAGTGAACATGATATAACAGCTCACGGGAAAGACCGCCGATCATTCTCGTTATTCCTATGGCTGGCATAGGGCCGAAATTCTTGCAGCTTTAACCAATGGTGTTTTCCTACTTGCATTGTGTTTCTCTGTTAGCTTGCAGGCAGTGGAACGCTTCTTCAGTATTCAAGGTCAGTCCAACAGGCACTTCATGCATACCTTTACAAATACCCTACTATCAAGATGTATCGCACCCACTTCTCGTGGTCATAGTGGGAGCCTGCGGTCTGGCCTCAAACATTTTCGGGTTTCTCTTGTTCCATGGTACTGTCGCACAATTCCGATTGCTTCGCCATATTTACCATTCATGTCTCAGAACATGGTCACTCTCATTCGCATGGTCATTCTCATGGTGACAAGGAGAGCGGCCATGTACATGCATCACATGCAACGCACACTGTCACCAACGATATACCCCTTCAGGACTCATCGATCACAGTTCGTACTCGCACAGGATCTTACTCGTCGATGTACGGACACCCAGCCGCTACCCGAGCTGCAGTTTCACAAGCCGCGCAGGATATTGCCATAGCTTCCCCTGGTTCACACCAGCGAAACGCCTCATCATCATCTCGTTCTATACGGATGGTTCCTGACGGTTCGGTAGAAATAAACATCACGGAGACTCGTATCGACCACCAGCATGGCAAAATCGAATCCTCCACAAGACCCCCACTTCCGAGCGGTCAAAGTCACAGTCATGGTCATTCACATGGATCAATGAATATGCGCGCCCTAATGCTTCACGTCATGGGTGATGCTCTCGGCAACGTTGGTGTGATTGTTACAGGTCTCATTATCTGGCTCACCACTTGGGGTGGTCGGTTCTACCTCGATCCCGCAGTCAGCATCATCATCACTATCATTATTTTCACATCTGCCTTACCTCTAGGTAAGACAACTCTTAGTTGTATTCTAACGCGGAGACACTAATTCACTCTTCTCCAGTTCGGAATACCTCGTTCATCTTGCTTCAAGGAGTCCCACACACCGTATCGCTCGAAGACGTGCGCGATTCCATCCTGAAAGTAGACGGCGTCCTATCAGTACACGAGCTTCACATCTGGCAGCTCTCAGAATCCAAGATCGTCGCATCTGTACACGTCATGGCCTCGAGGAACCATGATTTCATGCCCATCGCTGCGGACATACGCAAGGCTCTGCATCTGAATGGCATCCATTCCAGCACCATCCAGCCGGAATACCATTACCGTCCTTCTATAACCAGTGAGGATGGTCTGAAAGTACGTCATGTGTATGCTGTTGATTAGCCTATAGAACTGATGGATTTGCAGACATCTGTGGATTCGCCTTGCTTGATTCTGTGTCCTGAAGATCAGCATTGCGACCCCCTAGAGAATTATTGCTGCCGTAAGTGATTTCAGGTGTTTACCATGCGTCCTCATGCTGATTCATTTCTCAGCGCCGCCACCGCCGCCCACTGTGTGAACACAGCCATAGTACCTATACCTTATTCTACTTCATTAAATAGTGGAGTCATGATCCAGAATGTGATTATGTTATTTGATGCTGCCACCGATGCGAGTGGTTTGTAACCTGTTGTGTTAATTAACACGCGTGTAGGCTGTGCAACGGCAGTCGTCGATAGGGTGGTGGCATCCAGTGTGCACGTTTGCACACTCATGCAGACGAACCTGGTAGTCTGCTCCGTGATCCAGACCTCACACAGCAGACAACTATTGATCCCCGTTGGCTATCTCTCTCTTGCCCTCAAAAAGCTTCACTCCCTTCACTTCCCCAACATTGCCCTTACCCACAGCTGTAAAGTCCATGCTCCGTTCTGCCTTTGGAACACCCAATGCATCCAATAGATTATGTGCAGCCTCGGGAATGAAGGGTTGCAAGCATATACCAGTGACCCGCAGAACTTCGAGCGAGAGGAGATAGGACACTTGTGCAGCTTCAGGCGGATTTTGCGTCGACCAGGGCGCGGTGTGTGTTAATGCACCGTTCGCCTTTGAAATTCGTCAGGAGGGTTGAACACGAAATGAACAAGACTGCGTACCTCCCTGAGGACAAGGACGATTGCATCGAGCGCATCTCCCACCTCAAACTTCTCCATACATTGCTCGACTCTTCCCTTCAGGTCCCGTAGCGATGATAGCACGTCACCGTTGGGGCCATCCAGGGACTGATCAAGGAGCTGAACAAACGTGAGTTGAGGCGCAGACGCTACACGTTTCTGGATTGTTCTGGAGGTGATGCGCATGAAGAAATTGCCGAGCAAACTACGGATTTCGTCCGCATGCTTCTCGAGTTGTTCAGGAGACCAGTCTTGGAAATAAAGCATCTTTCGTAAATACGCGGGGAACGAGAAAGGTGAACATCCGTACCAACATCGTCTCTGAAACGACCGCCGACGCGTGCCATGTAAAATCGCACAGCATCAACACCCCATGTGTCCATGGCGTCGAATGGATCGGCTACATTGCCTATAGACTTCGACATCTTGCGCTGCTGTGCTGTCCAGTGAGCATGCGCAAGGAGGGTATGAGAGAGCGGCATTCCCATCGCGAGGAGCATAGCAGGCAGGTACAAAGCATGGAAACTTGATTTCCCGTGTCAGGTATTACCAATGAAGCCCGATGCGCATTGTGACATACCGAACAATATCCTTCCCAATGACCTGAATGTTCGGAGGCCACAGTGATCCTTGCCGCTCAGCAGGAAATCCAACTCCAGTGAGATACACTGTCAGTGCGTCGAACCACACATACATAGTATGTGACATATCGCCCGGAACGGGAATGCCCCAACTCAATCTCTCCCGCGGTCGTGAAATTGACAGGTCATCAAGAGGTTCATCTTTCAGGGTCTGTATCAGCCTTTCTCGGTGAGCTGATGGATATATTGATTTCGGATTGGTAGTGTAGTAGTCTAGCAAACGTTCCTGGAAGCTGGAGAGACGGAACTTGTAGTTTGACTCGCTGGACCACTCAACTGCAGAACCAGTTTCAATAGAGATGGGAGTTAAAGAGGAGGGTGGATGAGTGATCTGACTGTCGGTATAGAAACATTCATCAGAAATAGAGTACCATCCAGAATATGTGCCCTTATAGATGAGATCTTGTGTGGCGAGATCGCGCTACGCGGTCTGGGTTTGAGAAAATTGGCTGTTTAATGAAGAATATACACACCCATACATATTCCACAGCCTCTCTATGTCTAGTTTCAGTCGTGCGCAAAAATACCGTGTTACTGATGTTAGCACGAGTACCGAGCCTCTGTAACGCATTTTGTGTCAATGAGTTTAAGAAGAAATGGGCTGGGACACACACGAAACTGCTCGCTGAGAGTATCACAGAGTACGGAAGGCTCTATTCCGCGGTCCTTGGCGGCCTTTTGGATTTTCAAACCATGTTCGTCTGTTCCTGTCAAGAAGTGCACTAGTCGGCCCGGCTCAGAGATGCGCGTAAACCGAGCGAATATATCAGCAGTGACAAGTGAGTACAGGTGGCCTATGTGCGGAGCTAGAACGCATTAGTTGAGAGGGTATTGAGGAAACGGAGTAGACACCTGCGTTCGGATAGAATATTGGTGTAGTGATGTAAAATGGTTTGCTTGTGGAAGTGTCAATGGCCGTAGAGAGAAATCGATACAGAGCAGGTGATCGTAATCTACGTGAAATGTAAATGGGAGCCCTTGTTGGAATTTTGTGGCAGAACAACATTCAGGCAGAGGATGTTGCGTTTCTAGGCGCGTTCTGGCGTTGTTTTGGCTTGTTGAAAGCTAAAGCTAAAGGCCATGTCAAACAAGTGCAAATCGACCTGCCGGCAGTGATTGTAACTTCATGTCGATCATGTTATAATTGAAGGGTAACTTCACTCATAGGCTTTTACGACGACGGCAAATGATTTCAGCGGTTGGAACTGGATTATGAGTGCTTGGAAAAATCTGGAGTCTTCCCTGATAACGTTCTCTGATGTGCACGACTGTACAACGACGCTCAGTGTGCAATCAGGGAGAAAACGTTTCTAACTATAAGTTGATTCTTGAAGACATGATACGTGTGCATGAACGCTAGTACTTACTGTCCGTACAAAGCTACAGTTGTATCATAGTATATGAAGTAAAATTCAGTCCGAGTCCCCAGCATCCCTGCAGTGCATCGTCTGATCCTGCAGTTCCGCGCGCGCTATTAAGGTCCAATTATTAAAAATGCGACAATGCATCACTCTAGTGTCCCGCCCTCCACGACTGGAAATACCAATGAGATGAATTCACCATCCTTATTGTGTCCTATCTTCGCCGTTGCCACCACTATGTGTTTCAAGGTAATGATTGATTTGCGACCATTCATGGCCAATAAAAGTATTCAGCACGAGTTTCTGGAGGCCTGGCCATATTTGATCTGCAGATACTTGTCGTATAGCCTCGAGTAACGAAGAGGCAGCCCGGGGCCCTGTCAAATTGAGGTGTGTAATGCCAGGAAAAATTAACGCAAGAGTGGCGATCAACGAGGAGAAGCGCGCGCCATCGATGCGATGAATGCCTAGGGTGCGGAGGGCGGGGTACTGATGATCGTCAGTGAACAACTGATGCGAAGAAATGTCGACCACGAGACCGTAGGTCACCAATGAGGCGAGAAATGGAAATGAGGCGAAAACACGCATGAAATCATTAAAAGTCGTAATCATGATCTCTGATGGTATGTCATTTGTGAGGACTAGAGTGGTGATTGTCGAGTGGCAGGAATTTATTCCAGAAAGTATCTTCATGTTGGCAACCTCGAGGGTAGAAAGCTTTGGAGTGCAAGACTCATCAAAAAAGAGGGCCCGTGACCAAGGCTTGACTTGCATCTTAGAACCATATAGCCTCGCAGATTCGAGGGATGGAAGATATCTTCCGTAACGCGTAAAGTAGAGCAAAACAAAATCGAACATCGGTTCCACCAGTCCAGATCGAAGAGTGAGTGAGCGCAACCGACTTGCATAACGGAGAATGATGTTCAGCTGAGCAAGCAACGACTGTGGTACAGTTCTGGTGAACGTTGTTAACATTGCTGGCCAAGGATATATGTCGACATCAATAGGTATATCCGCAGAACGATGGATGCGCGTTAGAAGAAACGATGGGGTTTCCTCCGGGCACACAGAGATATAGGTCCATAGTGACGGATTAGAGATGGCTATAGTTCGCCATCGCCGGGATACGTGCGACGCTGTCTTTTCAAAACTGTCGCCGCTCCTATCTATCATCGTCTCAGCGCCGTGCTTTATTATTTCCACGAGAATCTCGTCTGGAAGACGGAAGAGTGGAGTAAGATCATTCTGGTGCTCCCCACCGTTCCTCGAGCACGAACGAGCAAGAGGTGATTGAATACCCTCGGCAGGTTGCTGGCATCCTTGTCCCTCCTGTCCACTCAAATCCATGTCTGCGAGGGTTGTATCTGATGTGCGCTCCACATCTGATGAGCTACGTGGTCGAGTTGTTAGGATGTTTAAGATGACATGCATCTATAAACCCACCTTAGGTCTGCAAGCGGTTCCTCAAAGGTCACCATTATCGTGCTAGGCTGCATGGTTTGATAAAATCTAGACACAGTTAGTCTAGCTCGCGTGAACTAACAAACGGCGAGACGCACCCTCAGTCGCGTGTAACGGACTGAGGAGAGAAAAGGAAAGACGAACGAGAACCAGTACTTATATGTAATACCCCCCAATCTGACCCGCATGGTTCGTATTCTGTTTTCTGTACTCCGCTGAACTGTCGCGTCGTCACGTGCAGAAAAATGGGAATTGAAAAGCGGCATCCGTATTAAAACCAAGCCCAAGGCATGTGTGAGATGTAGTCTCACATTACCTTCCATTATTACAGGGCGAATCCTTGTACTGAATAGGTATCACTGTTGAAACGCATTCCACGCCTCATTCAAAGCACCAAACACCCCATTGGCGATCATCCTCTGTTCAACTGTCGTATTTTGCGCGTTCAGCTGCAAGAGGTTTGATCAGCTTTCGTGGTCTCGGTCAAGAAAACGATAGATGACAAAGGCAACATATACCGGCATCTGACAGGACCCAGAAACTGTCATAATAACTGACCTTGTCTGGATGTACACGTGCAATGGCACGCGTGTAACGAGACTTTACTTGAGCATTCGACACAAGCTCATGCATCCCCACTTTCTGCCATCTTAGCTCTGGCCACAACACAGAGTCGAGGCTAGCAATCAATGCACGGATGTTAGCTTCTTTGCCGCCTTTCCATGCTATTAACCGAGCATCGACGGAATCCTTGAGTTCATATCGCTGGTTATCTTCGGTTTCAGCTGCACTGGTCGCAGCACGCAAAGCCTTGAGCGCCCCCGAGTTGGGAGGAGTTGGCGCGGGCTTGATCGAGGGGGCTTTGGGCTTTGGCTTGGGTTTTGGTACGGGGGTATCCTCGTCGGCACTAGAATTGAGCATCCGTCTGCATCGCCCAGCTCCACGCGCGCCTTCGGCACGTATGTTTGACGGCGTCCATGCAGCACCCGCAACTGATTCCCAGTCTTTCCTTGCATCGTCCCATTTTTCTCTTCCCTCACAGGCTTCTGCACGCCTTCGCCAAGCTTTGACGAGGGCTTCCCCCAGATCTACCCCCTCGATAACACCTCTATCATCACCAACTATCTCTATCACGCTCGCACAGTCCTCTATTGCACCACGGGTCTCACCCGTCTTGAGCCTTGCGAGCGCACGGTTGTTGTGCAGTGGAATAAGGAGGATGTGTGAAGCTGGCAGTGCAGCAATGGCAAGAGAGTAAGCAGATTCTGCATCTGCATACTGCCCGAGTTTATATGCGGACGTGCCCGTGGCTTTGTGTGAAGCAGACGTTGAGAGGGCTGAAGGTGATGCGGGGACCAGTACACGTTGTGGTTTCGGAGGTGAGGGAACACGAGCAGGACGAGATGGAGCTGCAGGAGGTGGAGGCTGTGGTGTTGGACGACCGCGTCGGAATGGAGACTGATAAACGGGGGCCTCAGATGAGAAAAGATCCACTTCTTTCGGTCGAGACTGCGATGGTGACTCGACAGGCTGTGAGGGAGGTTGTCTGGTCGGCCCATCTTGTCGTCTTGATGATCTAGTCGGAGGGGGATTTTCTTCATCATCCTTGAACCCACCAGTCACTCTCCCATCATGTTGCTCCACGCCAGCTCTGTCCGGTACTTCGTCAGATATCCAACGCGGCCTTCCACCTCCTCGCTGGGTCCCTGCCCCAGCTCGAGCCGTATTTGCACGTTCTTCGTATATCCGCTGTGCTTTCTCCTTGCTCTCCTTCCAGAAAGCATTTGCGCGATTGAAAACGCTTATACCGATTTCGCTGGCTTGTGCAATAATCTTCTCCGCTTGCACGTTAAGATCTGGAGACTGATGTGCTTCCGGTTCGGTACCGCGCGGTATTTCCCTGTCTCGGTCTCGGTTTGAGTTAACACGCTGATTTGGTGGGCGTCGTGGAGGCGGCCGGACTTCGTAGGCATGTGGCGAGGGAGATGGGGTGGAGGAATTCCCAGCACCATTTGCGAGAAGAGTCTCTAAAGCGGCTTGTACATCGAGACCAGTATCCGTAGCTGCAAGCGCTATACGCGCCTGTTGGGGAGAGAATCCCATTTCCACAATTTGCCCAACGATGTGTGGAGGTGGTGAGACAGGCCTCGATGAAAGGCGCTGTAATTGAGGTGCTTGAGGTGATGGTGTAGCGCGAGTGGATTGATCCTGCCCGATCAATGGACGATGAGTGCAAATCGGTAGGGGAACTTTAGTGCAACATACACGTGAAGACGATGTGACTGCATCGACTGGTCGTGCCAGGTCACCCAAGATGTCATCATTACTATCATCAGAGTGGGTCTCCAAAAGGGCATCCTCGCGATCACCAAAGTCAAAGTCACCAGGTGTACGTGAACGAGGAGGGATTGGGGGTTTAGAGCGAGAAGATGAATCAAAATCATCGAGATCCCAGAGCGTTCCTGCAGGCTTCTTTTGGGAAGTAGACTGTGGCTGAGGGGCTGTAGAGTCAGATGAACGCCAGTCGTCATCTCCCACTGGTGATTTCATGGTAGTGGTTGAAGAAGATGCAAACACAGAGAAATCGAAGTCGGCTTGTGGTGAAGGAGAGGGTGAAGGGTGTGAAGGTGTCGACTGTCGTGCAAGAGAATCGAGGCCATCCCAAGCAGATGGCAAGGGTGCAGTGACCTTGGTGGGTGCCTGGCCTTGCTGTAACTTTGTCCTCTGAGCCGCTGCCGCGCGCTCAGCCATGGTCATATTGGCACTATTACTTCTTCCATTCGCTAACGAGCCAGAAAAAAGAGTACTGAAGGCATCTACATTTCTCGCTCCACCTGCTGGCACAGGGTTTCGTGGGTGGGTGGTGGAACCGGTGACCTGCGGGGAATGCGTGCGTGAGGTTGGTTGAGAAGCAGAAAGAATGGAGAATGCATCATGGGACCGCTGAGGAATGTTGGTTCGTTGTTTGGCAGCCCCAAGTATCTGCGGAGGTGTAGGATTGGAGGGGGCAGATGAGCTCCAGAGGTCTGCGAATGAGTCAGACATCTAAATTTTGAGTAAGTCTGGAAGTTTGAAAGCCCTTCGTCTTCAAATCGTTCTCAAGATCAGCCACGAGTAGACCAGCTACGTTGAATCTATAGGTGAAGAACTAGAAAAAGCAATATGCAGATATGTGGGCTGCTACTAGGCCCTGGAAGTAGATGAGACGTATTCAAGCTAATGTAATCGCTCTTGGCAGAAGTCACATGGCGTAGTCAGCCAATGAAGTTTCATATAAACTAAAACTTGCCAGACGCCAACACAATTTGCGTACACCGAACAACCACAATTCTAATCCACGCACAAGTACTACATCACTATGATTAGAAAGGATCAAATACACTAGAGCCTGGACTAATCAATCGAGATTCCGGATGGCTTTGAGACGGCCACCTTTCCAAGCCTGAGGATGCTTGGTCCTCGATTTGTTCTAGATCAAAGCAAGGTATGTGTCTAAGCCTTTCAAGTTATAAATAATGATCGTCGGCTTCCTTCTGCTTTGTTTAGCTAGCAAAGATTCAGTCAAAGCCCAGTTGCGGGCATTCCAGGTGCCATCATAATTGCATCGTGGCAATGTGGCTCATTCAAACCTTTATGGCGGCTTTGGCGTTCGGGAGGGCTGCTGCGCACATGCCTGTGATCTCAGGTCTCTCATATCGAGTACTATGTTCGCTTGTCATTAAACTGGTGATTATTCTTCCAGAGTCGTGTTCAGCGCTTGCGCTGCACAAGAATAACGGTCGAACACTCCCAGGGGTGCGTCCACAGCCTCGTTCATCCACAAGCAATTTTCCATTGTGCATGCCAGTGGCTTTTCCACAGTCCACTACCGAAAGCAAGCAAGGATCCGATGGCTATAAAGGTCTTACATCTGGCGTTGGTTGTGAATCCCTATCCACTCGATTCTACACCAAGCATCCATACAATATGAACTCTCGCGTTCGCCAAAACCCCTTTTCAGAAGCCCACATGGGCATCACGAAGTGTTTCTGTGGAAATCTGACGGTGGAAAATCACGATTTCTGTTTTTGCTCTCCGGAGTGTGCCCGTGCAGATGCTATGGCCGCCCTCGGGGGAGAAGATTCCCACTATCGGAAAGTCGTGCGGAAGGCATATGTCAGCTGCGGTGCTCGGCCGCCTGCCATATACAAGCGCAAGGCAGAGGAGAAAACTCCGATTGCGAAACATGTTCCAGCCATCCCTCGACCTGCCAGTGCAACGCAACACAAAAAGCAAAATATAGGCGACCAGAATGATGGGTCTGCCAACAAAGAAAAGGTGTTCCCTACGCTAGCTCAAGTCACGACTGCCGTTCTTGCTCGAAAGGCAAAGCAGGGAGGCGAAGCAACGGTCGAGACTTCGATGAAAACTCCCCAAGTCGCCATTCAAATATCCCTCGACGCGCCCCCCGTTCCCCCATCTATCCAACAAACTAGGCCAGGCCTCGATCGGGGCGTTCATAAATCACCGTTGACACAATGGCGTGGTGCGCCACAGCAAATTATGCCACTAAAATTCGACGACAAGACCGTTGCCCTCAGAAGTCAACCACCGATCCTTCGCCCGGTAGCCGAAGAAAGAGGAAGGGAGAACGGCGATGATACTCATCTTCCTCGAAAGCTGGATCGTCGCGCAGAAGAAAGGCGAATGCCTCCACGCCATCAACGACCAGTCCTTCCAAACACGACCGCTGCATCCCGCCCTCCGGGTAGCCTTCGCCGCTCAGCTTCTTTAGGTTGGCACAGCCCAGCTGAACAACATCGCGATCGCGTCTCGGAGGACGAATCTCTTAAGGAATTATTCGACCAACTTGAGGACGTTCGAACTTGGTTTGAGGGATGGAATGGAATGTCAAAGTCCAACGCGAAGCCGCACGGGGTGTGATTGGATAATTAGACGTTCAATGCTGGGGACGGTCGATGATACTCAGGTCCCAGAGGGACCCGAAAGTTGTTGTGCAAAAACAAACATATTTAGTACGCCAAAGTCGGCATATATGTATAGGACGTTATACTTTATCTAACGTTTTGTGGAGGTGCCAGCTGTACATGTGTCATCTTGGAATTGTCTTTGTAATGGACCCCAAATGTAGACTGTCCTTTTGCGTCACTCCCGGCCAAGTGACCTTTCTTCCTTCGAGTACGTGCGGTGTCATTCGTCAACCGTTCAACGTTCAACTCTAAAAACGGGACGACAAGTTGCAGAGACATGTGGATGAACTTGTATGATCCATGGGCTGCTCTCTGCTGCTCTTCCTAAGGTGCAATGAGGGTATTGCAACCTGCTACTGATATTAGCATTGTGTCATTGTTGCTGGAAAGCGTCAATAAGTCTAGGTTTGTATCGGACTCGGAGGGTTTTACTGCTGGCTGCCAGCAGCCACGGAAACTCGGACTATAAATCTCCCAATAGATCCCACTTCGAATCAAACAGCAACGATGAAGATATCTACCGTCCCTGTGCCCTCTTCATTAAGTCTCTGGACGACCGTACGCTCGGTCGGCGCATTCGATATCGGTTGTTCATTTGCTGCATTATGGGCTTTTGTTAAAATCCTAGGGGCGCTTCGCTGGCGATTGAAGACGACTCAACTGCGGGGGTCCCCCTCGTACCAGCTTCATATACGGCGTTTCGCATGACCTCGCCTCATCTCATGATAGCAGTGAAATGTATGAACGTTGGGCGACGGAATATGGGGTCGCGTATATGATTCCGAGCGTCCTCGGACAGACTACAATCGTGCTGTGTGACCCAAGAGCCATAGCACATTTCTATGCACGAGAGACATGGTCATATGTGCGCACGCCCCTTGAAGTGGCGCTTTTGGAGGTAACAGTATGTCAACGTCATCATCTTACCTTGTCTGGACTCTGTCTGACATCTCTTGTCAGCTTGGCCCAGGGATACTACGGGCTGAGGGTGAAAACCACAGGAGGTACTGTTCAGCTCTTGTCCTTGCGCAAGCGAATAATCGACTACCTGTGAATTAGGCAGCGGAAGGCCCTCACGCCAGCTTTTAGTAATGCAGCGATTCGGAAACTCACATCAGTGTTTTATGATTCAGTATACAAGGCAAGGGTTTGCGACGTGGGAAATAATAAACCCGATAACTACAGAAGACGAGTTACAACAGGGAGGGACAGCAAGGAAGACGGGGGGGGAACGACAAGACGTGGCTTACATCCCATCGCTGATTGGGCTAAATCAACAAAGTTTGCTCAATGACACGCTCACGGAGTCATCTGGTCACCTACGAGTAGTGACTACTCCAGTACCCATTTGCACTCTACCGTGTGTCGCAAATACACACACCGAAGGCGGACCAGTGACTAAACCTGCCATGCAACCCCGATCGTTGACGCACCTACCATACCTGTCAGCATATTAAAAATAGAAAATTCATCTACATGGTCTTCCATTAGTGACACCGACGACCGTCGTCCGATAGCCCTCACCTGAACACATCTTTCTTGGGTCGCAGAAAAAGACGTGGAACACCCTCACCCTCTGACGGAAGAATAGACTCGATAGGAACCAAGCAGAGCAGACATAGTAGACTTGATGGTGCCGCCGACTCACTGTATGCCCGGGATCTAACCATTTAGGAAAACATCGATAGCATTGTGGGACATAGTGCTGAATGTCGGGTGCATGGTATGGGCGAGATTACCTCTGCTGCTCTCTGCCGGTGTCAACATCTTCGGGGTGGCCTCTGCCAATTTCACGTATATCCAACAACATGGCCAATAAATCGGGCGAAGCGACTGTTGTATCCGTAGGATGCAGCCCACTGCGAGCAGTAGACAGTGACTTCGTTGCAGCGTCTGGAAAGAACAGTTGTGCTGAATTGGAATGGAGAGAAGCATCCTAATATGTAGGGGTGCCTGGATGCTCGGTGGAATAAGATAGTAGTACTGAATATACTACTAGTTAGGCTCGTAATACGTACCACTACATTCCTGCAAGATTCTTTGGTTGAGGGTCTCCCACTGTATTTGCGATTCACTGTCAAGTTACCGTAACGGCACTTGCGCCCTTGGTGACTCCTCGAAACCGTGTTGAACTGATTTACAATGTTTTGCCTTGTGCAATTTGGTCAAGATATGGGCTCGCCATTGGAGTTTCAAGTTTTCAGCAGTGTGCCGTGCATGGTAGATGCAAGTTGACATCGAGCCGTGGAAAAAAGTTAGCACAGCTTTATTCATGGTAGATCTCATACGTCACTGCCAGTTAGACGCTTTAACGGATAACTTAAAATACACAACTCATGATTATTGTGTCTCTACTGGTATTTCATCTACTATCTGCGGGTCGCAAATGCGGACTGATAAATCACTTGGGAATAGAATGACCAGGGATGATGGTGTATCATAGTCAAGCTGCTGTCCCACTGGGCCAGCCGCCAGCGATTGCGCCGTGCGTTGAACATGCGACGCAGAATCTGGACTCCCGAGTCAGCAACGATAGGAATCGATCCGAGTCATCATCTCACCAACCCCTTATGTCATAATGTTTGCTTTCTTCGATTTGATCGGTTGATCATCTTTGATGGCGTCTACAAACGTTCTGCATGACAAGCAACACCGAGCTGTATGGTATGCGCTAGAAAATGACAGCAGCATGGCCTCATAATGAGTTCAAGGCATTCCTGGCGCGGTCAAACTGCCCTTAATAACACCTGATTTTGGCGACAACGGATGGACAGCGAGCGGGATACATGACGTTTATCCCTTCCCTGACAATAGTAGTAAATCCTCGTCGTGCATAAGACTCAGTCACGGTAACAGCGGTACTACATAAGTACTTTGATTGGACCCATGCTACTAACACTGCTATTGACTTCATTCCTTTTCTCACAGATCTGTACTGCACTCTGCATTCACGTCTGCCAAGACACGCGCCCATCGTCCGCCATTCCAAGAATGGAGTTCCCGGAGTTGTTCTTCGTCGAAGATTTTATTCCACCACATCGTTCTGCAAGCCACCACCATATCCGCGAACGAGAAGGTATCCCCCATAATCCACTTCCCGCCACTTTTCTGGTACCATTTATCGATCTCATCAAGACCCTTCTTCAAGTCTTCCCACTGCTGCTCTACGTTCGCTTCTGACACGGCCTCCCAGCGCGTTTCACCGAGCAGTTCCAAGCGCTGTCTGAATGAAGTACTCCCTGTTTGAATCGTTCAGGATTTCGAGGGTCTTCGTCAAGATAAGCTTCACTGCTTTTCCGTAGGCAACGCTGCAATATGCAGGCTCGAATAACCCTATAAGAACGTTGGCGCCGCGTGGTATGACCGGCTTCTCTGGATAGGTCTTATCCAGGTACTCAGCGATCGCCAGCGAGTCGGCGACGACGAATCCAGTGTTGGGATCCTTGATCACTGGAAGGGTGTACCTGCCCCCTTCCGTAGTCGAAGCGCCAACTTCGCATTTCATGGTCATGGGAATATCCTTGAACTCTACCCAGACGATCGTATATGGGAGACCTTTGTATTCCAGGCAAAACCTATCATCTGCATGTTAGCAACGTGCAGCGATGGCTCTGACTGTGCGACTTGCCTGGTCTTTGCAGGGTTTGGAGCCCATATATTATTCGGGGCCTTGCTTGGTATGTCGTACAGTATGATGGGCTGCATCGAAAATCTGAAGGCTGACTTGACTGCCAGTAGTTATTCTAGTGTTGAACCCATGGGCGTTGCACTATATACTTTTTTCATAGGATGTGTAAAGTTTTTTTATCTCAATCATTAATGGATGACGATGTATAACCCTAACAGCGGATTCTGATCAGTTATAAGTGATTTGTGTCACCCCACAATTATCAACCTAGACATCAATCATTTGCCAACTCATCGACAGCACGACGCCGAGTCCCAAATCTGCTCAAACTCACTTTCACGTGGAGGCTTATACGGATTGCGGCGCATCTGTATGTTACTCATTTTCGCTGGCAAGGTGATGTCCGGTACGAACTGACTGGGCACTTCCCAATGTTGCCAGCGCTAAACATGAAGCCTAGATCGAAACTTTGCCAGCTTATGTGTTATGCCGGCCACTATACTGTGTGTGCCCGGCCTGGTGCGCTACATGACGTGGCAAAGTCTCTACCTATGTCACTTGTTCACTTCAAGTTCGACATCAACTTGAACGTATGTACTCCAGTATTTTTGATGTGAGTATCGATGCGATATCTACAGGCCTACTTTCGACGTTTAGCCAGATGGACCGGCGGCCTGTGAGACACTCTGGATATTTTTTTATACAGATTTCAACCGACTCTCCGCGTTCATGGCCATTGGCCACTACAATTCCGCTGAATCGATTTGGAGTGGAACTGAATTCAAATGGATTCAATGCCAATTTTCGGAACATGCAGCTGTCCCGGGTCTTATTGGTACACGGATCTAGTGGTCGTCCCAGTGCGAGAGCTTGTCACTCAAGTTCAGTGCTGGTTGTGGAGTCCCTGCGATTTATACGTGGCTTTCTGCAATTTCATTATCGTACACGTTGAGCCAGTGTTGTTGTGTCGAACCGACCGATTGCAGCTGATCGATGATCCACAACTTCGGCGCGCTGGTACACATATTGCTATATAACATGCACATCGACATCGTATGTACAGGTGAGGTCTGAAGATCTGAAGGACTCTAATTGAGGCGACTTGTGAAGCATGCATTATCATTTCTATACCCCTGAAATGATTGATCTTATACGTGCAAGTCTTCTTCTAAGCTAAATTACACTCCTTCTCGACATCTTCAAGGACTTTGGCCCATTTTCCCCCATTCCAAGAACTGATCCTGGCCCACTCATCATCCTTCAGCACTCGTTTGCATGTAAGCAACCAACAAGCAACAATGATGTCTGCATATGAAAAAGTGTTGCCCATGATCCACTTCCCGTCAGTCTTCTGGTACCACTCATACGCAGTATTGTACCCCTTCTCTAGTAGTTTCCAGTCTGCATCAAAGTTCACATCCAAGGGCAACGGGACGTCCACCGAAAGAGTTCCGATGAAGAACTTGGCGCTGGCCGGACTCAATATTTCTATGGTGCGTGGCAACATGGGCTTAAGCCAGGTAGAATAAGGCTCATATAAGCAGAGTCGAACGCGCGTATCATGGGTTCTGAGTTATTTGGGAAGATGGGCTTCTCGGGATATGTCTTTTCGAGGGTAGGAGACGATTTCGAGGGAGTCAGTGATGAGGGCACCGGTGTTGGGGTCGCTGAGGACGGGGATGGTGTAGACGTCCGAGCCATTTCGGCGTTTGCTTGGCTTTGCACCGATGGACTTCATAGCGATGGAGATATCCGAGTATTCGACCCAGATGGTCACGAATGGAAGTTCCTTGTAGCTCAAAACGAACCTGGGGCGCAGAAGACTTTGGTCAGATACCAAAGCTCGGCATGCAAGCAGCAGAACACGAAGCACTGACCTCGGCTTTGCGGGGTTGGCTGACCAGTTATTGCCTGGTAGCTCGGAGAGGATGTCGTACAGTACAAGCGGCAGCATCATGGAGTACTGAGACGTGGGGTTTGAGGCGCTGCGGCCAATTTTAAACTCTTCTTCAAGGCTGAGCTTCACTCGTAAGCACCGAATGCTATCCGAACTTGATTAGCGCACGTATAGCGCTTGATGCATACTAGTCCACATCGGGCAGAGAGCGTTGTCACCGAATCTGTATAGTAGGACCATCCAATGAACTTCAACGTTTCAACTTTGAAGAAGGTTCACGCGCGCCGCGCGGATCTCAAACGCCCAGACATAGCCACTGAGTGATAGTGCACTATAGTGCTTGATCAACGCTGGTGCGCTAGTACACTTGTTGCTATCTAACATACACATCGACATCGTATGTGCAGGCAAAGTTTGAAGATATGAAGGACTTCTATTGAGGCGATTTGTGAAGCATTCATTATCATTTCCATGCCCCTGAAATGATTGATTTATACGTGCAAGTGTTCTAAGCTAATTTACACTCCTTCTCGACATCTTCAAGGACTTGGGCCCATTTCCCCCCATTCCAAGAGCTGATCCTGGCCCACTCATCTTCCTTCAGCACTCGTTTATGCCACAGCAACCAACAACCAATAATGATATCTGCATACGAAAAAGTGTCGCCCATGATCCACTTCCCGTCAGTCATCTGGTACCATTCGTACGCGGTATTGTACGCCTTCTCTAGTAGCTTCCAGTCTGCATCAAAGTTCTCATCCCAGGGTAATGGGACGTCCGCCGAACGAACTCCGATGAAGAAGTTGGCGCTGGCGGGACCCAATGCTTCCATGGTGCGTAGGAACAGGGACTTAAAGCCAGGAAAAATCAGGCTCAGATGGGCAGAGTCAAACGCGCGTATCAGAGGTTCTGAATTGTTTGGGAAAATTGGCTTCTCGGGATATGTCTTTTCGAGGGTAAGAGGCAATTTCGAGGGAGTCGGTGATGAGGGCACCGGTGTTAGGGTCGCTGAGGACGGGGACGGTGCAGACCTCCGAGCCATCTCGGCGTTTGATCGGCTTTGCACCGATGGACTTCATAGCGATATGGATATCTGAATATTCGACCCAGATGGTCACGAATGGAATATCTTTGTAACTCAAAATGAACCTGGGCAATAGACTTTGGTCAGATATTAAAGCTTCAAGTGGCATGCATGACAACTACTGACCTCGACTTCGCGGGGTTGGGTGAAAAGTTATTTGCCCCGGAAGATTGGACATAGCATCGTACAGAACAAGCGGCAGCATCAGTGGAGTACTGAGACGTGTGGTTTGAAGTGCTGCGGTCAACCTTCAAGTTGAAGCTCTTTTTTAAGGCCGAAATTCATTCGTAAGCACCGAATTCATCTGAGCATGATTAAGCACATCGATGTCCTTGATTCTGATCACCGGTGTAGTGCTGGTATTGATCCTAGGTGCATACTAGTCCACATCGGGCAGAGGGCGTTGTCACTGAATCTATGGAACACATCAACTACCAACAGCCCATGACACATAAGGAATGCAGCCATTCCTTCTTTTACAATGCCCTGAACTTGTGTGATGGGCGGCGCGCTTTGTGGTGGTGGTTTGGCAATACCTGTTAAAGGAATTTGTCAGCGGTGATCTGGCAAGACACCGCTATACTATGGGCCGTTTCGATACTGCCAGTATCATCAATCTCGACTCCGGGACCGGGGAAAGTAGCTGATGTGCTCAGTGCTAATAAGGATTTGGCACCTGTGCCATCGAGAAAAGTCACCAACAACTTGCAAGCACCTTTGTGCAAGAGAGGGTCTTGACAGAGACAGGCTACGCCCAGACACAGCCACTGAGCGCACTAGTGCTTGATCTTGGCTTGATCAATCGATTAACGTTGCAACTCCCAAACAGCCCATGTCACATTACAAGGAAGGCAACCATTCCTTCTTTTACGGTTTTACCATCGTCTGAACTTGTGACTCGGTATGATGCCAGTTTTGTTTTGCGTCGAATCAATTGCAGTTGATCGATGATCGTATGTGCAGACGAGGTCTGAAGATATGAAGGACTTCTATTGAGGCGATTTGTGAAGCATTCATTATCATTTCCATGCCCTGAAATGATTGATCTATACGTGCGGTGCAGGTGTTTCTAAGCCAATTTACACTCCTTCTCGACATCTGCCAGGACTTTGGCCCATTTCCCCCCCCATTCCAAGAACTGATACTGGCCCACTTATCATCCTCCTTCAGCACTCGTTTGAATGCAAGCAACCAACAAGCAACAATGATGTCTGCATATGAAAAGGTGTCGCCCATGATCCACTTCCCGTCAGTCTTCTGGTACCACTCGTACGCAGTATTGTACCCCTTCTCTAGTAGCTTCCATTCTGCATCACAGTTCGGATCCCAGGGCAACGGGACGTCCCCCGAACGAGCTCCAGTGAAGAACTTGGCGCTGGCGGGCCTCAATATTTCTAGGGTGCGTAGGAACATGGGCTTGATGCCAGGTAGAATAAGGCTCATATAGGCAGAGTCGAATGCGCATATCAGGGATTCTGAGTTGTTTGGGAAAATTGGCTTCTCTGGATATGTCTTTTCGAGGTAGGAGGCGATTTCGAAGGAGTCGGTGATCAGGGCAACCGGTGTTAGGGTCGCTGAGGACAGGGACGGTGTAGACGTCCGAGCCATCTCGGCGTTTGTTTGGCTTTGCACCGATGGCCTTCATAGCGATGGGGATGTCTGAGTATTCGACCCAGAGGGTCACGAATGGAATATCTTTGTAGCTCAAAATGAACCTGACGCAACAAACTTTGGTTAGATATTGAAGCTTCAAGGTGGCATGCATAACATGGACTACTGACCTCGATTTCGCGGGATTGGGTGAAAAGTTATTGCCCGGGAGATCAGAGACAATATCATACAGAACAAGTGGCAGCATCGTGGAGAGTACTGGGACATGGGGTGTGAAGTGCTGTGATGCAACGTTAAATATCTTTTGCGGAGCGCAAGGCTGAGCTTCATTCGTAATCGCTGAATCATCTGCGCTTGGTTAGCGCACATTGATGTGACACATACTTACATATTTGAAGCCTTCATGAAGAGAGTGCACAACAGATATCGCCACCGCGATACGTATTGCTAGAATTCTACCACGGTATTGGCACCTTAAGCCGTGATAAGCCAAAGCCGCCAAAGCCTGGTCAGGACCTGCGGGCAGCCTGACGCTGAATCATGATCAAGAAGGAATGACTGTCTTCCTTCTATATGGAGCTGAGGAGTGAAAACAAACAGCAGGCAACAGCCGAGTTACTAATTTCCGCGGGTGTGTTAGCACATCTTTCCCTGTGGTTGCTTTCTTTCTCCCTATGAGCTCGGGGTGAAGCGGAGCGTAGCTATCAGACTTCCAGGTGCCTTTGGTTCTCTCCCGAGTCTCCTAGATCTGAGAAGGGGTACAATAGGGCTTACGAATTTAAACCGGGGAAAATGTGCACAAGTCTTTGCAGATGTCGAGCAAGAGTGCAAATTTGGTGCCACAGAATTTCTGAAGACGCGCGGTTAGGATGAAACATTTGAAATGCCAAATGACAAATTTCCTTTAACAGCTAGTAAACTTCAAACCACCACCGCCACAAAGCGCGTCCCATCACACAAGTTCAGGCCATTAATTTTGTATTAAAAGAAGGAATGGCTGCCTTCCTTATAATGTGTCATGGGCTGTTGGTAGTTGATATCACTGGCTGTGTCCGGGACTCCGGGTGTTTGAAACCCGCACACGACTGATGTGTCCCACAGATTTAGTGACAATGTCCTTGCCCTATGTGGACTAGTATGCATCAAGCGCAATACCGATGTTCAAGGACATCGACGTCATCCAGTGCTTACGAGGGAAGCTTAGCCTTGAAAAAGGAGTTTCAAAGTTAGTCCGCAGCACCTCAAACCCCACTATCAGTACTCCATGATGCTACCGCTTGTCCTGTATGACATCCTCTCCGAGCTACCAGGCAATAACTGGTCAGCCAACCCCGCAAAGCCGAGGTCAGTGCTTCGTGTTCTGCATGCCAAGTTTTGGTACCTGAAACACAGTCTGCTACGCTCCAGGTTCGTTTTGAGCTACAAGGATCTTCCATTCGGTGACCCTCTGGGTCGAATACTCAGACATCCCTATCGCTATGAAGGCCATCGGTGCAAAGCCAAACAAACGCCGAGATGGCTCGGACGTTCTACACCGTCCCCGTCCTCAGCGACCCCCAACACCGGTGCCCTGATCACCGACTCCCTCGAAATTGCTTCCTACCTTGAAAAGACATATCCCGAGAAGCCCATCTTCCCAAACAACTCAGAACCCAATGATACGCGCGTTCAATTCCGCCTATGAAAGCCTTATTCGACCTCTGTTAAATCTATCTTCGCACGCTGCACAAAAATATTGAGTCCCGCCAGTGCCAAATTCTTCATGAAGCTCGTTCGAGAGACGTCCCGCTGCCTTGGGATGAGAAGTACGATGAAGACTGGGAGCTACTAGAGAAGGTGTACAATACCGCGTACGAATGGTACGAGAAGACTGACGGGAAGTGGATCATAGGCAACACTCTGTCGTATGCAGACATCGTTGTTGCTTGTCATTTGCTGTGGTACAAACGAGTTTTGAATGAGGATGAGTGGGCCAGGATCAGCTCTTGGAATGGTGGAAAATGGGCTCAAGTCCTTGCAGATGTTGAGAAGGAGTGCAAACTGGCTTAGAAGACTGCGTATACTGTAGGATTTATTTGAAACAATGATAAATTCTTTCGACAGGTAAACCCAAGCCACCATCGTAGTCACAAAGTGCGTACCACATAACAATGCCTGGCTTGCTACCTAGGTCAACGGTCATGCGCACTGTGGGCCTAAGCCCAAGCCAGCCCGCCAGACTCGCGTAGCGAAATCGACACCAAGATTGCCGCGGGGCCGGGTAGTGACGCATGACCTAGAAGAAGCAGAACATTAGAAATAACTTAACTAGGCCCAAGGCTCGCGCAAATGTATTTCCACCATACGGCCCTTCGTGTTTCCTGTATTTTGCGTTTCTTTGTATCAAAACGACATTACCTTAGCTCAAGCGCCCCATGAATTAGGCCAACGGGAACCTGCATGCTGTCCTTGATCACGCCAGTGCTGCTGCTCGCACAGAGCTACTGGTGGCTCCAAAAATCATGACACCTAGAAATCTTTGAGTGATTGGAATCTTGGGACCACAAGACCTCATGAACGTAGCTTTCGAGAGCCGCGTTCCATTCCAGTTCTCATCCTTAAAATCGCAATCAACGTCTTTCCAGAACCCATGTCCTGAAGCGATGATGATATTTTCTTCGAGATTGGCGTCCAGTATTTCTTGCTGATAATTACGAGTCTTTGGCACCGAATCGACAGTGACGAAAGGTTCTTCCATGTTATTCCTCTTAACTAGAGTTGAAGGATGGGTCACAGGCGGTACAAAGACAAGATGTGAAAGAAGAATAGCGCAATAAGCTGAGCATCAACTTAGATCTGCTGACCACTTTCATATGCGAATATTTGGCCTTGTCGAGGGAAGATGAACGTGCAAGCACACCAGACTAGTAGCATTGTTTGCCTAGTAAACTTTCTAGTTTGGATGGATGTAAGAAAAAAGTGGACACAGGTTCATGAACTTTTATACAGACATATCTATCGGTATCATTCTTCTGGTGACAGCCAGTTCAACTGGATACCGCGAGCAGCGCATACGCTGTGTAGCTCATCCCTATATTGTGCAACCGCAGCGATCCGCTGCTTGGAGTAGTGGATGCCCATTGGTATACGATAAACGTCCAGCGATTGTAAGGAGGGTTGCCAATTCGTATGTAGCAGCACCAGCACAGTACGCATGCTCGATATACCCTCAGAGAACGTGAATGTCTCTAATGTTAATTGTAGATCGAGCAAACGTTCTTTGTCGATTTCCGATCCGTCGATGCGAAGTCTTCGCACGCCTGCGAACCCAGATAGCGCCGAAATAGTCTCCGGGTCGATGCGTGTTATAGAATCATGTTATGATTCTGAGGTGGACCTTCTTCACAGAACCTCCAATGACCTTGGCCAAGTGACCTAGGCTCACGCTCGCGCCTATTCCCTGGACCACCAAGCACTCTATGCTCTGTGAACTCGATTCAAGCCATTTGCATAGGTCAAGAGACAAATGTGTTTTAGATATCGATAAAGTGAAAGCTTGAAGCGAGGCGGCGAAAAGTGTTCCAGGAGACCGCCACCATTGTCACTCTGAATCATCTCAAAGGACTCGAGATTGCATAAACGCGATAGAAGAGGGGCAAGGGTGTGGAGGTTCTGCCCAGATACTTTGAGCTCCCTCAAATACGGGTACTCGGGGAGGGACATGTTGCTGGTGAAGCACAGGGAGCCATACTCTCCTGCAAGGTACCTGAGTTTCCGGGCAGCACGCAACAATCTCTCCAGCGAGTGTCGCATGCTCCTCTGGTTGCTTTTTGTTACATTGATGCGGCTCAGGATGCATAAATTGGAGAGTGTGAGTAGGACAATGGCCGCCGAACCTCTCGCGCACGGTGCAAAGAAGTAAGCGAACGGAGTTGACTCGAAACAGTCGAATATCCTGGTACAGAACTGCTCTTGCAGCCTCGTACCAGGCTCTTGATACAAGGCTGCAGCTAAGTAGAACGTTCACTATCTTTCTCCAGGCTTTTCTATCCTCGCACCGCTTCGATCTTGATTGTAGAATTAGGGCTAGGATTTCTGCTGGCAGAAAAGGTGAAGGTGAAGTAACGGGATGCCCGCTGCCAGGTTCAACGAGTGAAGGATTATCGTCGCCCTCTCCGGTTATTTGTCGTATGTTGTTCTCTGGATGACACCACAGTCAGCGAAAGTTTCGAAGTTTCAAGGACTACTTACTTGTGTAAACGGAGGCGGGAAACGATCCAGACGCGTCTATTCTGTCGCCACAGCTCATGGTCATCCTCTCCGACATACCCCGTGCCCAGCCTGGTTTATATACCACACAAGTCGAGTGCTGAGCGCTGAGCGCTGGTTGGTCGATCGAGGAGTGATTTGGCAGGCGAGGAGTTTGAATTTTAGCAGGTGCCGGTTGTGCCGACTTGTACACAGACCGGCCATTTCAGATGCCCTGAGCCTCAACATGAAGAATGGTAGAAATATATATGCGCGAGCCTTAGGCTTAGTTATTTCTAGTTTTCTGTTTCTTCCAAGTCGTGAGCCACTACCGGCCCCGCTGCAATCTTGGTGTCGATTTCGCTACGTGAGTCTGGCGGGCTGGCTTGGGCTTGGGCCTACGGTGCACACGACCGATGACCTAGGCCATAAATCTGACTGCCAGGCTAATATCGTTGTGTAGTGCGCACCTTGTGACCACCATGGTGACTTGGGTTTACCCGTCAAAAGAATTTATCATTATTTCAAATATCCCTGAAATAGATCCTATAGTATACGCAGTTTTCTAAGCCAAATTGCACTCCTTCTTAGCATCCGCAAGGACTTGGGCCCATTTCCCCCCATTCCAAGAACTGATCCTGGCCCACTCATCTTCCTTCAGCACTCGTTTGTACCATAGCAACTGACAAGCAACAATGATATCTGCGTGCGAAAAAGTGTCGCCCATGATCCACTTCCCGTCAGTCTTCTGGTACCATTCGTACGCGGTATTGTACGCCTTCTCTAGTAGTTTCCAGTCTGCATCAAAGTTCACATCCCAGGGTAACGGGACTTCCGCCGAACGAACTCCGATGAAGTACTTGGCACTTGCGGGACTCAATGCTTCCATGGTGCGTAGGTACAGGGGCTTAAAGCCAGGAAAAATCAGGCTCATATAGGCAGGGTCGAACGTGCGTATCAAAGGTTCTGAATTGTTTGGGAAAATTGGCTTCTCGGGATATGTCTTTTCGAGGTAAGAGGCAATTTCGAGGGAGTCGGTGATGAGGGCACCGGTGTTGGGGTCGCTGAGGACGGGGACGGTGCAGACCTCCGAGCCATCTCGGCGTTTGATCGGCTTTGCACCGATAGACTTCATAGCGATATGGATATCTGAATATTCGACCCAGATGGTCACGAATGGAATATCTTTGTAGCTCAAAACGAACCTGGGGCAATAGAATTTGGTCAGATATTAAAGCTTCAAGTGGCATGCATAACAGCCACTGACCTCGACTTCGCGGGGTTGGGTGAAAAGTTATTGCCCGGAAGATTGGACATAGCATCGTACAGAACAAGCGGCAGCATCGTGGAGTACTGAGACGTGGGGTTTGAAGTACTGCGGCCGACCTTCAAATTGAAGCTCTTTTTCAAGGCTGAAATTCATTCGTAAGCACCAAATCCATCTGAGCGTTGGTGTAGCGCTGGTATTGATCCTAGATGCATACTAGTCCACATCGGGCAGAGGGCGTTGTCACTGAATCTGTGGGACACATCAACTACCAACAGCCAATGACACATAAGGAACACAGTCATTCCGTCTTTTACAGTGGCTTGAACTTGTGTGATGGGTGGCGCGTTTTGTGGTGGTTGTTTGAGTTTACTACTTGTCAAAGGAATTTGTCAGCGGTGATCTGGCAAGATACCGCTATACTACCGTAGGGCCGTTTCGATACTGCCAGTATCATCAATCTCGACTCCCGGACCGGGAAAAGTAGTTGATGCTGCTCAGTACTGATAAGAATTTGGCACCTGCGGCACCGAGAAAAGTATTGTCATTCGTCCACCGGCAAGCACCTTTGTGCAAGAGAGGGTCTTGACAGAGGCAGACTGGGACATGGAATAGATGGTTCGTGACATGGATTGGAAATCCACGGTACACTACTATAGGCTATTTTTAAAACTACATTTAGTCAGCTGTTTATGGAAAGCCTGACAGTGACAGCCGCGCTCATTTCCCTAACAGTCAAAAAAAAAACCTTCTAGCCCTTTTAGCTGTATGTCTATCGCGACTCCGTCACTCATGCATCATGTCTTATTTCACAAGCACCTATCCTCGAGTCTCGCATCTTCGTTGGCTTATGCTGCCTTGTCTTGTACTTTCTGTCTCTCGGATTGCAATAAAACTTGTCCGGGTCCCCCGAGCATGGAGCGGACTCCGCTTGCCTAATAACCACAAGACCTTCATCCTGGCGTAAAATCGATTCAAGTACTTACTAAGCTGGTTCTATCCTGCCTTGAGGCGCACTGGCAAGGCAGTGAAATCGATCATCGGTTGTTTGCGTACCATTGTGACTCCGCCAGCGCTTGATTCGATAATATTTGATCAAATGCCATGCAGATACCAACATGTCCCAGAATCTCTCAAATGAACATTTGGAAGTGCGAAAACGAGCGCCATCAATGCGGGATGATGATAGAACATAATGCCGCCATCCCTAGGTGCAGAGCGTACTTGAGAGACCACAAGAACGTGACAGAGCGAAAGACAACATACTTGCCATGGCATCGGATCATCAAAAACGCTGAGTATGGCACAAACCTGTGGTGAAGCTAACCAAAGTTGAAGGCAATCTTAGGAGCAACGTCAAGGCCGCTACGACCTATGCGCGACCCCGGAACTGCATCCGGGACGGAAAGCTGATCGACTCTGCATCTTCTGCTGAACCTTATATCGCAATTAGTTACGTGTGGGACACCCGTCCTTCTTTCAAAGAATGGGAAGGCAGGCGGGTCACAGAGCAGGCATTACACATCGCCGACCGACTCTCGAAACACACCTCATATGCTCTGTGGATCGATGCAATCTGCATTGACCAGGACAACGAACCAGTAAAGATGGTTGAGCTTGCGAAGATGGCGGATATATACCGCGGAGCCACAGCAGTGTTATGCCTTGTACCGGAGATAGACCAAACGACAAGCAGAGTCGTGGAGCATGGAACCGGAATCATAGATTTAGATGGGTTCCGTGCACTTGAACACGCTGGAGACACACACGGGATGTACATGTTCGCTTCCCAAGGCTCAAACGAGGCGTTGCACAAGCTATTCAGCAGCAGGTGGTGGACGCGTGCCTGGACGTTTCAAGAGGCAGTTCTTAATCGCGTAACGTTTTTGGTGGGAGAGAAAGAGGAAACTATTCCCATTTCCGACGTCCTCAAAATCTCTCACCCGATTAGTCGACGGGCAGCGACACAGAAGAAAGACAACTTGTTGGGGCAATTATCCAGTTTTTGGGACTCGGTTCATTCCATGTCGGACGCGATGAAGGTATACATGCCGCTCGGGACAGCTATATCGAGCGTGTGGAGGCGCCAATCTACCGTCACTCATGACATGGCGTACTCTCTGCTTGGTGTGTGTCGTCTAGAGACAATCACACCTGACTATCGCTCCCAGTGGAGAAAGTGTTCACTGACCTTGTGGACAAAGCCAGCTCGAAGGGGGACTTTTCCTGGCTGAGATGGAGCCACTTAATCGACAGAGACGCCACATGTGAAGGAATGTCCATGGTGCCCGTACCTGCAACTGTGTTAGCAACCCCTGCCAGTGCTATCACAGAGTGGCGTTCCGTAGAAGTTCCTCAGAGGTCAGTTGTCCGTGGAGGAGCCGTTGGTGTTTGCATTCCGCATCGGTCAACTGGCGTTATAAGATGGCAATCACAACCGGAAGACATCAAGGGAATTATCAACATGCTCCAAAAGCTATCATACGACCCCGAAGACATATGGAACTTATTATTTGGTCTGCACGTCGGATTGGCGTGCGACGTCGATAGAGCCGTGGGAGGATCTGGGCTGGCTCAGGCGTTGCTCAACCTGGCGACTGGATACATCGACGGCACGATCAAATTGGAGGACTCGGAGGATGATTTGGTAGGACAAAAGCCATATACGAGAGGATATGGGTTCACGGCTTATGCATCCATGGCAGCAAAGGTTTGGAGAAATGCGCAGTCGGTCGTGATGCGCTCCCAGGGTGGAACAACAGTTGTACCTACCCACAGCGGAACAGGACAGGCGCGACTGCATAGATTGCCAGTTGAAAGTTATAGAGGGACGTCCCTGTGCCTTGTTGTGCATGATAGCACGAAATTTCGGGCTAGCGCAATCGGAGTCATGGTAGAGAATGATCATGCAGGGAGTGGATCGTGGCAATTTACCCGGTTTTCTTGAAGATACCAGCTTTTTTTACCGACTTATGCTTGGTGATATCATGATGGATGGTTTGATGAAGGACTTCCTGTACTACTCTTTTGCTTTTGACTCGTCTACGACTGGGCTGGTTATCTGTGATATACATGTATACCCTATGTACATAGTCCGCGTACACCACATAGAGTGCTGGCTATCCAAGTCGTCATATTGCACTTTCTCTTTCCACCACATCATTCGGTTTGATTGTCAAGTCGTACTAGTATTACGGCGGTCTGTGACAGGACCGTTCATTTTCGGGTTCACAGCGGCTACACTTCCCATGGATGCATAACTTTATCATGATCCTTCAGCTACAATTATCGACGACTTGCCTCACAGACAGGCTGGTCACAACTTACCAGTATCTTAATGCATCACAGACATGTTGGAATTCTAATAGAATCACTCATAGTGTGCCTACCTAATCTGTAGTATTGGGGGTCTTACAAGAAACAATTGCCATATTTGTGTCAAAATCGAGCGTGGCTGTTAGGGAAATGAGCGCGGTTGTCAGGCTTTCCATAGCTGTCGCATATCGCTCATCCACACAAAAGGTTTGTCATTTGGCATTTCAAATGTCCGGCACTAGGAAAATGCTGCGACTGCTGCGGTATCTGTCGCGACACGTTTGGATGACAAGCACTGGGAGGTCCCAGTGACTAGCGGTAAGTGTAGCTGATGCACACACCGTTTGGGAGTACCGCAGCAGTGGCGCAGCATTTTCACGATGCCCCCCTGAAATAGATCCCACACGCGCTCGTCTTCAGAAATTCTGTGGCACTTTGCACTCCTACTCAAAATCTGCAAAGACTTGAACCCATTTCCCTCCATTCCAAGAACTGGTCCTAGCCCATTTCAAAACTCGTTTGAATGCCATGCGACAATGATGTCTGCATATGTGAATGTGTCGCCCATAACCTACTTCCCATTACTCTCCTGGTACCATTCGTAAGCCGTATTGTACCCCTTCTCTAGGAGCTTCCAGTCTGCATCACGCTTCGGGCCCTCGGGAGAGAACTCATCCCAAGGCACCTGGAAGTCCGCTAAACGAGCTCCCATGAAATACTTGGCACTAGCAGGGCTCAATACTTCTACGCAGCGCATGAGGATGGACTTCATGCTAGGTAGGAACAAGCCCATATAGGCGGAGTCGAAGGCGCGGATCAGGGGCTCTCAGTTGTTTGGGAAGACGGACTTCTCGGGGTATGTCTTGTCGAGGTAGGAGACGATTTCGAGGTTGGAGTCGCTTAGGACGGGGACGGCGAGCCATCTACGCATTTGTTTGCCTTTGCGCCAATGGCCATCAATGTGGCAGCGATGTCGGAGAATTCGAGTCAGATACCCTTGTAGCTTATTGTAAACCTGAGGGATAGACCTTGCTCAGATAAAATCTTCATTCATTACAAAATTACCGCTGTCCTCGGCTTCGCCGTGTTGGGTGACCAGAAATTGCCTGATAGATTGGAGAGGGTGTCATATAGGATAAGCGACTGTATCATATGGCGTTAGGACGTGGTGCAAGTGCTGCAGCTACTTTTAAAGTATCGTTGGCCGAAGTTTCGCTTACAGCCGGGGCATTTGAGGATTGGACAAGGGTAAGTAGTCCATAGTCCAAGGCTCTAGAGATGGTATCGATACGCATACAAACTTACACATTAGGCAGACGACATTAATATCTGCAAGAAGAACATGCACGTGAAGTACTGGCGTGGTCAATAATAGCACTAGAACACCTCTCACGAGTCCCGGTAACCCGACGGTAGTAGACGCTGGGTCAAGCTGAGTGAAAACAGCCAAGTTAACAAATTCTACATGTGTTAGCTCATAGCATCTCCAACAACATTTTCCCTGCACTTTCCTTTCGCTGTTCCGTCTACGCGAAGATATCCAAGCAACTCCCGAATCATTTCGCCCTGCATCTCCACCGTCACTCGTAGTTCTGATATCTGCTGACTCAGCTCCGCTTGATTATGAGCGAGCTTCCGATTGGAAAGGTCCTTTAGTGGCTCTGGAGGTTGAGATTCTAGTCGATGGTGACCAAAGGCAGCCATAGTAGAGTTATGTTCTCGTGTGATTCCCTGATAAGTAGAACATCTATCTAGCTGAATTGTGAAGGGAAATGAAACAGACTAACCCCATCATCGGCCATCTGCTCCCAGACTAGGCTAAATTCTCTACCGAGAACGAAGCTTGGGAGGGCGATAAGAAGCAAGCCAAAAGCAAGAAGAGGAACTGTGATCAAGCGCCCGAGAATAGAGCGAGGTGTAATCTCTCCATAACCCACTGTAGTAATTGCTATTTTGAAAAGGAAAGTGAGCTACCACGACACGACACCGCAATGTGCCAGATCACCACTTACTGACTAGCACGAACCTGTCTAGGTCTTAATAAAATATATAGCAAGATGAGAAACACGAGCTCACCAAGCGGCTGCGGGTATAGACTATGTGGAGATAAGCGTTAAATATAGATCAGTAGATGCAAAGGAGTAGTCCGTACTTGGAACTGAGTTGCGTCACCATCTGAATTAATGAACGTTTCCAAATTATCGTCCCAAGTACCACGCTCTGAGAAATATCTGAGTAATGCGTTCAGTGAGAAGGGCTCGGATTGAGTTGAGTGGCAGAGTACGTACAATAGCGTGCTGAACACGGTCAACACCATTGCAATAAAAAAACTAAGTGCAAGCAATGCGTGATGTGATCTACGAACAGCCAGATACATGACCTCGATGGTTCTTAATGAAATGATGGTCACATGTACCCTCAGATCAAGAGATATATGTATCCTTACAGAAGTATGGTGCTATTGTATCGGAACGGCCTGAAGACCCGCAATAGTCGAAACATACGCAGAATGGAGAAGCGGAACAGGACAGACTGTCAAAAGTCAGTTCGGTGAGTGAGAAAACAACAGATCACTGACGGTATCTTGCTGCAGCACTATCTCAATGTAATAGGGCAATATAGCCAGCATGTCAATGACCCCATAGAAGGCTGGATGAAGATCCACGTGAGAAGATATATCGGAAATTATGATATGACACGTACAGAACATCCATTTAACCAATGAGATCCAAGTGGAGCTCCATGCGACACACCGTGCGGAGTACTCTACGGTAAAAAGAAGCACCATACTTGTTTCTAGACCAAACCATACTCGAGGGGAGATAGAGTGAAAACTTGGCACAGTCTCCAAAATTGTAACGATAGCAGAAAATACGATGAGAGAAGTTGATGCAAAGTGGACGAGAAAGGCCGACAAAGATGATGTTGGAGATTCGAGCAAGTCGAAGAGGGCACGTTTCCACGGTGAAGTTATGGGGTCTGGAGGCTGGTCGAACGATGGTGTAGTTGGGAACACGTCTTCGACATCTCTCGGAGTCTGTTCCTCGGTCAGAAATCTTGATGTGGCTGGTGACCTTAAACGAGAGAGAGGAATTGGTTGAGACATTTACCAACCAAGCTGCTCGAGAATGGGCGCCTCAATGACAAGTGAGGAAAACTTTCTCTCACGCCCAACATCCTATATTGTGACTGGTCTGCTGCGCAGCCTGAGTTTTCGGTGTCCATTGCTCTTGTGAAGATTTCATTGGACACGCGACCCTGAGGCTCCTAGCGTTCGTGTGGATTGGTCCATAGAGAAAGTTTCCCGTTACCTAACTGGAAGATCATCCACCGGGAATCCTTCGGTCAGTTTTCCTTTTGTGCTCATACGACAGATAAGGCGCGAAGGAAGTGCTGCGCTCTGATACAACCTGACACAAATCAGCTTAGCGCGCTGTCCATCTTTCGCATCTTGTCTTTGTACCACCTGCGACCTATCCGTCAAGAAGAACAAAATGGAAAAACCTTCTGTCACCATCGATTCGGTACCAAAGACTCGTGATTATCAGCAGGAGATGCTGGACGCCAGTCTCAAGGAAAATATAATCATCGCTCAGGATACAGGCTCTGGAAAGACTTTGATTGCGATTTTAAGGATGAGATATGAAATAGAACGCGGGTCTCAAAAGGTACGTACAGGTTATGCATGCATTCCAAAGGTCGTGTTGCACAGAGGTTCCTAGGTGTCATGGTTTTTGGCGCCTACAGTGGCTCTTTGCAATCAGCAGCACAGCGTGATCAAGGATAATATGCAGGTCCCTGTTGGCCTAATTCACGGGGCGCTTGAGCCAAAGCAATGGACTGACATTACCTTGTGGAAACGAGTGCTGGAGAACAATCGCGTTATTGTTTCCACTCCACAAGTACTCCTTGACGCGCTCAGCCACGGCTACGTTCATATGGGGTTGGATATCTGCCTCCTAGTCTTCGATGAGGCCCACCACGCGGATCGAAATCACCCCATGAGCTGCATCATGCGAGATTTTTACTTCTCCCTCCCTCCCCGCCTCCCCGCAGCCCGCGGCTCTAGTGTGTCGACTAAGCTGGATGAACGTCCCATGATCTTGGGCCTCACCGCTAGCCCTATGTTCGGCGGCAATGCTACTGTAGCCTTCCGGTATAGTCCTCAGATTGGAGACTATGAATATAATTGACACGCTATCCAGGAAATTGGAAGCCAACCTCGACTGCGTTATTCGTAGTCCTCGAGCTAATCGGGATGAGCTCTTGACTCATGTCCACCGTCCGATTTTCCGACACGTGCGCTACGATACCCCACAATACCATGACCCCAACTATACTTCTAAAAATTTATCAGCAGTCGAAGCCGTTATCGCTACTATGAACATTGAGGAGGACCCCTTCGTTATACAGCTACGTCAGAAACTAGCGAAAACTGCCCGAGGCCCAGAGTATGCACGAATGGACCAGAAGCTGTCAAAAGCTATTCAGAGTAAGAAGACATACTCCCACGGCGGAATGAACGATCTCGCGAACGCGGGCAAAGCCATATGTTACGACATCGGTCCATGGGCGGCGGACTGGTACATCGAAAGTGTTGTATCCCGAGCACTAGATAAACAAACTCCCTGGGACGAGTTGATTGGGATCTTGCAACCCAAGGAGAAGACTTACTTGATGAAACATTTGTCTCAGATCAAGCTAACACCTCTCTCTTACGATCCTACGGACATCGAGGCCGGGATCACGGACAAAGTCCGCGTCCTATTGGAGACATTGGAGTACGAAAAGGATTGGTCAGAGTCATCGAACGAGCCTTACAGTGGCTTGATCTTCGTCACCCGTCGTGACGGAGTGTTGGCATTGTCGGAGGTTCTGAAGAACCATCCTCGCAGTGCTCATTTCAGACTTGGCTGCCTGCTTGGAAGCTCTCAAAGCACCTATCGCAATTCCTTTCTTGACATCACTCGTACACTTCTGAAAGACCAACCTCAGGCAGATATTCTCGAGGGCTTTCGGTCTGGAGACAGGAACCTCATCGTCGCCACGTCCGTGGCGGAAGAGGGGCTTGACATCCAGGCCTGTGGAAATGTGATCAGGTGGGATATCCCTGACAACATGGCGAGCTGGGCCCAAAGCAGAGGTCGTGCTCGCAGGAGGCGGAGCTCTTTTGTTCTTATGTTTGAATCGTCAGGTATCGACAATGCTAGAGTGGCGGAGTTCGAGAAACTGGAGGCCCAGATGACAGCCCTTTACCTGGCTGATCGTGCTTCCAGGCCAGCGGTCTCCAGTGATGACGAAGTACCCGATCCAGATGAGCCTGTTTTCAAGGTGAAGTCTACAGGGTGAGTGATATGCGTGTATTTAAAGCTATCGTGCTCATCCATAGATAGGGCTATGCTCACCCCGCTACTAGCGGTGTCTCATCTCAATCATTTTTGTGCTGTTATTCCAAATTCAGTCAATCTTCCCATCTATGACATTGACCCCCCTGATATGCCCGAAGGCTGGCACTCTTTTGACCCTGCGAAACGCGTCGTTCCACCTCCATATCCGGGACCATTCGGGTGCACGGTGACTTTACCAAGGCGGCTCCCAGCGGAATTCCGCATCTTCTCAGTTGACCGTATATACCCCACAAAGCAATCTGCATACCGACACGTTGCATTCAAGGCATACCTCGCTCTCTATCATGCCAATCTCCTCAACGATCATCTCCTGCCATTGACCAGCGTGGTCGAGCCTGATTTGGAGGAGGAAGTCAAGAATCTTCTCAAAGATGTGGAGAAGCGATCCAGCATGGCTTCCGTCACTAGCCAGATGAATCCTTGGCAGGATGAATTGACGGATACGGCTTGGACAACTACTCGCATTGTCATACCAGGCTTCTCTCCTATTCGCATGCTCACCCGAGTCGACCTTCCATCTTTCGCGGCTATGGAGACACCCGTGCTTTATCATCCTCGTAAAGGTCGCATCGATGTTGAACTGCAGGCACAGGGTGTGGCCCGTCATTCCGCTAGTGACCTTCAAGCTGCTCATGAATCCACACGACGTCTGTTCTGGTGTTTGTACGGAATCCGCATGCAGTGGGACAAATTCGACTTTTCATATCTTTTTGAACCTGCTGAGGAAGACCCTGACCGAGATGTGTGGGATGCGCGTCGAAAGTGGCTGCGGGACTTGCAAGGGGAAGAGCCTTCCGGAGACGATCTCTTCGCAAACGCAGCCACTTTCGGACAGGCGTTCTCGCACCCGACTGATATCACCTGGATTCGCGATGGGTTTCCCTACGGCAAGGTTTATCGCTTTCTAGGGTGGAGACATGATCCTCTATCTGAGGAAGAGTTGCAAGATTTCATGGCTAGATATTCAAAGATGCCTGAAATCGAAATCACCTACCCGTTGCTTCACGTAGAGGAATTGCCGCAAAGAAGAAATTTCTTGCAACCTCTACCGTTCATTAGTGATGCGCCTCTCAGGAGGTCGTTCCTCCCTCCTCAATCATCTCGCGTCGTTCTTCTTTCTCAAGTGCAGTGCGACCATGCCATTCTGATACCCTCCATCATTCGCCACATTTCAATCGCTGCAACTGCCGTATCTCTTCGAGGGAGTCTGCTTACCGGGACTCCACTTTATCATATTCCTTTCTCTCTTCTGATCACAGCGATTACTGCCCCTGTAGCCCAAGGTCACGTTAACTATCAAAGACTGGAGACTCTCGGGGATGCCGTCCTCAAGTTTTCGGTGTCAATACATCTGATCGCCACCTATCCCTTCTGGCACGAAGGGTACCTCACCAGGCGTAAAGACCATGCTGTCTCCAACTCCAAATTGGCAAAGGAAGCCATCAGGCTATCCCTGTACAAATGGATCGTACGCGATCGATTTACCCCTCGGAAGTTCAAACCACAGTACTTTACTATGGGAGAAGTAAACGAGATTACTGAGGACGTGGTCGCTGGGGATTCGTTTCAAGGAACACTCAAAGCCCCTGAGGACCTATCCACAAAGATGCTTGCGGACGTAGTAGAAGCCATCATTGGAGCTGCCTTCCTTCACGGAGGGTACAATCTTGGCATTGAATGCACCCGACTCTTTGACCTCGGCATCGACCCCAAGGCAGGGTGGCAACCCCTTGAGGTTTATATCGAGAAGGCTCTTTCGTGTGTGGAAACTGCTGAGGTCCCCACTCCAATGACCGACATCGAACGCATGTTAGGATACACATTTACTCACAAGCTCCTCCTCGTCGAAGCCATCACTCATGCGAGCTACCAGTTCGATCTTCGAACGATATCGTATGAGCGTATGGAATTTTTGGGCGACTCTGTGCTCGACATGATCATCACAGACCATCTCTATCACTACCCAGGAAAACAATTTACCCCGGGCCAGATGCATATTCGCAAATCTGCCGTGGTTAACATACATTTCCTCACTTATATTTGTTTCAAGTGCTCGCTGGAGAAAGACGCGAGCTTACCACGTCCCACCCGTGACGGCATTGTTATGGATGAAGAAACGCAGCAGATACACTTATACCAGTGCCTGCTCCATTCCAGCTCAGTAGTTTTTGACCAGCAAAGAGCGACACTCGCTCGTTATCGGAAAGTGAAAGATGAAATAGAGGAAGCCCTCCTTCGCGGTCCCACGTTCCCATGGGCAGCCCTCACTCGCCTCCAAGCACCCAAATTCTTCAGCGACATGATCGAGAGTATTATTGGCGCCGTTTATCTCGACTCTCGTGGAAATATGGATGTCGTTCGCCAAGTACTTCGTAAATTGGGTATAATGCAACAATTGGAGCGCAACCTGAAGGACGACGTTGACGTTTTGCACCCACTTACCAGGGTGCATATATGGGCTGCACGCCAACAAAAGGAGTTAACCTCGGAATTTGAAGAGGAGAGGGGTCATGTGACCTGCACCATCACTGTGGAAGGCAGAGAGCCTGTGCAGGCCACCGCAGAGAAACGAGGACGGGCTAGCCAAGAGGAGGCACGATTTGCGGCAGCAGAAAAGGCGATACAGCTTTGGGACGTCCGAGCTAACGACGGAATCAAAGATGCATGAGGTCGATATTTGATAGTCTAAAGACATGTAGTTGTAAAGTACAAGGAACACGGAATATTGATGAAAATACATGGGCTCTGGGTTATTTCTAATGCTCTGTCTCTTCCCAAGTCCTACCGACTGTCTTGACCAAGTCTTGCTCGGTGATTGCCTTCCCGCTAGTAAAGTATCCCGCTGCGATCTTGGCGTCGATTTCAACACGCGAGTCCGGCGGGATGAGATGCTCTGGAAAGAGGGTCATCATTGATCCACGCCAACATTCAGAAGGTCACCCACCTGGTAGATCATACCGCTTCAAAATGGGAATTCCAGATTGGACAATCGCGTTGTATTTCCTGAGATACACGTGTCAGCTATGATCAATGAACGGTACTTATGATCGACGCACATATCACTCATGGACACCATGTTATCGATCTTCCTGATGCCGAGCCAGTGTAGCACATCCGGCATGAGTGCCTGGAATCGCATGTCCTTCACGCCAGCAATAAGCTCCGTGGACTTGAAGTATTTGTCGGCAGAGTCGCCACCCGCGTTTACGGAGATTATAGACCAAGTACCTGAAGAGGTGTTGTGAGCCTGGGAGTACGAAAAAAGAATTGATATTCACTTTGTGACTTCGCCCAGCGCTCTGCCCTCTTTGCGGAAGTACACTACAAGGCCGACCCCACCCCTCTGGGCGCAACGAATACACTCTTCGATCGCATAGACCAGGTAAGGTTTGCAGGTGCAAATGTCGGATCCAAAGACATCAGAACCATTACCTGATAATTATAGACATTCAGATACGATTAAGAGAACAGATGGAGAGACATGCATTCATCGTGTACACGCAAGGTCAATTCCTTGGACTCATCGGACAGGAATGCAGGGTTTCCGACTTGGGAGAGCGGTCAGCAGAAAGTTTGTGGATGAACAACAGCACGAACAAATGTAAACTGTCAAATTTCCAATGGGAGGGAGGAAGACCTTAATATCGGGGCGGGTAATCAATTCAGGATACATTCCTCCAGTGTCTTCGAAAAGAGCACGGCGAAGCAGGCTCTCGGATCTGACGGGGATTAGAAACTTGTAGATTAAGACAGCAGTGGCCACCTACATCCCAAAACGTTCAGCGACGCCAGGCAGATACCACACTGGCTCAACAGCTGCTTTACTGGTGGTGATCTCTACGCCAGAATAAGCGTCACTCTCCGTGCCATCGACATTTCTCAGAGGACGCGTGGCCAACACAATCTTGCCATCCACCTCGAGTTCGCCTTTCCTCGCAGTCTCGTCAATTTCACTGAGTTTGATGTGCGCCTTTGTGACTGCTATACTGGGACGAACATCGAGTCCAAGTTCGTCGACCTCTTTTCTAAATATCTGAGGCACAAGGTGTCCCCAGGGGTCAAAGGAAACGATCTTGTGCGGATCTGACCATGCAGGTTGTGGAGGAATAGGCACGGGCGGCTCGGTCATGGAGTAATCGGGTTTGTGGGTGGGGTTAAGAGTCCCCATAGCTATAGCAAGGGCGCGATAAATCGAATATGAACCGGAGTGGGCACCGAGCGCATTGCGTTGCTTGACTGAGGAAGGTAAACGTGAACAGATTACAGGTCCTCTCACGGAGGGATCAGGTGCACCCCATTGTAGTGGGAAAGGTTTGATTCCATGCTGGTCAGGATGAGCTGTAGAGGTCGAAATTAGCTGAAGTTAACAATGACAGAAGTGTGTGAAAGGTAGTGTCGAGATAGACTTACTAGTCAAAAGTATTCTCCCTGGATACAGAGCCTTCTCTCGCTCTTTATCGGTCTGACTGTGATCTGACGGAGTGCTCGCCTGCGATGCTGAAGCCAAGTGGACCTTGCTCAAGGAAGAGGAAGGTGATAGCAACAAGGTTGACGAAATTGGTGAATCATGGTGGCCTGTGATAGGAGTTCCATGACTTGGTGGACTTCCAGGTGTGATAAACGCATCCAACTAGTTTATGAATTGTATCAGTCTTCACATTTATAGCCTAGAGCGTCATTTTACCTTGGCCTGCAGGGTCTGCTGTGAGACCTGAAGTGCGCTGAGTTGGGCTAAGATCTGAGTCAAGAGAGCGTCAGAGGACATAATCGTAAGCAACAGAAAGATTTGGTAAGGCGATTATAGTGTACGCCGTACAAGCGAATTATGCTGCTGGTGTGCTCGTGCGGTTTAAGGGCTCTTAGGATCCAAGGCGATTTAGAAAAATGTTACACGATAAGCCGGATTCCAGTCTCGATCGGAGTCGTTTGTTCTTGAACACCTTCCTGTTTCGGATCATGACATCAACACGCTCGATAATAAGTTCATGCAGGATCAGAAGCCAAAGAATAGAAATCGTTGTTAGAAATCATAGCATAAGTAGTTAATATAAGTAGCCGATAAGTAATCGCAACATAGTACATAGTGTGGCATATTCATATCAAGCTCCGAGTATTCAAAGGCATTAATGGCTCGCTAATCCTCCTCGTCCGACCTCTCATCAAAGTCCGGTATGAAATCTGTCGTCTCGTTCCACGCTTGACGAAGTTGGAACACTGCCTCCATTACAGATCCCCTTTCGCCGTTCCGATTTTCAATTTGGCTGTTCAAGCCTGCGAACGAAGCCGAGCGACGAATGATACGTGATCGCCGAATAGTAGTAGTCTGTCTGACTTGATGGTGAGCCAAGGTAGGGGGCCTAGACCCGTCCTCCGTGCGGTTCAGAAGTCTCTGCGAAGCAGCCTCTTCCTCGATTTCCTCTTCCATTTCTTGTAATATCGCTCCAGTTACCGATGACTCTCTTCGAATCTTCGCGTCAGGCTGGGAAGTCTGTTTTTTGCGGAACATCGCAAAGATTGAACTACGGACGCCCTTGTTAGGCCCTGATTTAGAGGGCAAGGAGTGCTTGAGGGTCCGCTGAGGAAGAGGGGATTGTTGTGCGCCAACGAATTCGTTCCGTGGTTCGAAGGGTCGCCGAGTACTGTAAACAGAAGCGTCCTCGCCTTCGTACCTCCCTTGTTGAGTGAGAAGAGAACTCGTAATTTCTTTAACCGTGGGGAGGGCCTTCGTCGCCTTGGGGGGATGCGGAGGATGCTGTGACACGGAGACATGCCTCGAGGGTGAAACACTGCGAAGCTGTTGCTCCGACTTGTGCCTCAATAGTACATGCTTTGGAGCAGCCGAGTTGGCACATGCCCTCTGCATGATGTTGCGATAATGGCAGTCACCTTCACCGCCTAGAGTACGCAAGGAATCCGCGCGAGCACAGTCAGGAGAGCAAAAACAGAAATCATGATCTTCCACCGTCGGTTTGCCGCAAAAACATTCTTTGACACCGATGTGAAAAGCATTGGTGAAGATGAGAGGGTTCATTCTGAGTGATCAGTGACTTACAACCGCTGCCATATACAAGGGTTTTATAGCCATTGAATCCTGCATGCGGACTGTGGCGGAACACTCATAGTGGGAGTGGCCTGTGGACTAATGCAGTTGTGGACATTCGGGAGTGTTCAATGGCTGTTGTTGTGTATAGTGAGTGCAAAGCAAAATTTTAATGAACACAATACCCACCCGATATTTGAGATGCGTTCGACGCACGAATGTGTGGCCTCACAAATGGGAGTTGCCTGAGGACGAATGACGTTGCAGATATTCGGGAGTGTCCACCGGCTGACATGTGTAAGGCTAGCCCAAAACTGAACTGTGACGAACACGGCACTCAACATACGTCCTCACACCGGGGCATTTGCACCCTTAGAGGTGTCCAAGACTAGATCGATCATTGCATTCGTCGGTATAGTAAGTAGATCCCCTGGCAATCGGATATCAATTGAAAAAAAAAAACCTAGAAGCTGTTATTAGGGAAGAGACAGAGCTGCTGAACGTGGGCAAAAACAATATTGAGCACGCTGATCAGCACATCAGCCCTTCCAATCGACATTGGTGTGTATTTGATGAGCCGACCGATGACCTTGAGTCACTTGGAGGATCGGTTCTAATTGATACTATAAGGTTATGAGCGTGCGAAACACCTTCCTTCTGTGAACGCGATAGTCAATTTTGTTGTACTGTACCTTGAACGGAACGGTAGGACCTGCAGGACTCGCCTCGGCTTCAGCTAGTATCAGCAGCCTCCATGCGCAAGCAACTTGATCCCCGTATACCCGTACTAATTAACAATAATGTCAAGAAAAATCACCGGTCCTTCATAGTTCTGGTCGGTGATAAGGGGAGGGACCAGGTATGCAGATGCTGCTACCTCTTCTCTAGTTTGTCGACCGTCCTTGACTTTGTCTGTTCTAGATCGTGAATCTCCACTTTTTGCTTTCACAAGCGCGCGTGTCGGCACGCCCTTCAGTACTATGGTGCTATAAAAAGGATCTTGGTTTTACCGCGTGAGTGACATGATGTTACTTTGCGAAGAGACCTGAGATGATCTGTAGGGCACGAAAAAAGCGAGAGGCAAAAATCAAGCGGGACGTGAAGAGAGGTGTGCGGGAGCCAAACGAGCAAAATCCATTCGAAATTTTTGTGACTGTCACGGATATCCGTTATACGTACGTGAACATCGATAATATCTAGAAGCAAGCTTATAGTCCTCTAGCTATTATAAAGAATCGCACCGTATATTGGGAAACACCTATGGAATGTGCATCCTGCAAGATTTTGAGGCAATCACACCCAATCTCCTGGCACGCACTATTGAGACGGTAGAAGGCGGCGGACTAGTGGTGCTTCTCCTGAAAACAATGTCATCTTTGAGGCAATTGTACACTCTTACTATGGTGCGGTATTACCATCTTATCCAGAGGGTCGCTCACTGATTCGTTTGGCAGGATGTACATGCCAGATACAGAACCTCATCTCATGATTCGGTAATTGCGCGATTTAACGAACGGTTCATTCTCTCCCTGGGATCTTGCTCGGACTGCTTGGTTTTGGATGATGAACTGAATGTCTTGCCCATATCTAAAGCCAAGGATATCACCCCCAATTGAAGAGGAACGCGGGAAGGGTAAGGTGGACTCCGAGCTCAAGGACCTCAAGGATAGTCTCGCAGACACAAAACCTGTCGGGCGAGCTCGTCAAGCTTGCCAAAACCATAGATCAAGGCTCGAGCTGTTCTAACCTTTGTCGATGCGATTGCCTGAGAAGAACACTCTCATCCACCGTCACGCTCACCTGCTGCTCGAGGTCGCGGTAAATCTGCGGCCCTAGGCTTGGCAATCGCTGCCGCTCTCGCTCATGGATACTCAAATATTTTCATTACGAGTCCCAGTCCAGAAAACTTGAATACACTTTTTGAATTCATCTTCAAGGGTATGGATGCTCTCGGTTACGAGGAGCACTTGGACTACGACATTGCACAGAGTACGAATCCGGAGTTTAATAAGGCCATCGTCCGCGTAAATGTGTTCCGTCAGCATCGTCAGACCATTCCAGGTGAGTACTTCCGTCTCGGCACTTGCGCGCACATTATGACAAACAATTCTCAGTATATCCAACCTGAGGATGCACACGTTCTTGGTCAGGCCGAGTTAGTTGTCCATCGATGAGGCAGCCGCCATCCCCCTTCCCCTTGTCCGCAATCTCCTGGGCCCGTACCTTGTTTTCATGGCCTCGACAATCAACGGATATGAGGGCACAGGTCGATCTCTTTCTCTCAAACTTATTCAACAACTTCGCGAAAGTACCCGACCTTCACTCACAAAAGATGCTGCTGCGCCTGTCGAAGATGGTGCTACTGCCTCAACTTCCAAAAAGCCCACGCGCTCCGCCGCCCCTAAAGCTCGAACCCTTCGTGAAATCAAACTTGAAACACCTATCCGATACTCTGCTGGCGATCGCATCGAAAAATGGCTGAATGGCCTTCTTTGCTTGGATGCAACGATCGTACCCAAGGCCGCTCAACAAGGCTGCCCGCACCCTTCTTCATGCGAGCTATACTATGTCAGCCGAGATACGCTCTTTAGCTACCACCCCCGCATCAGAGGTGTTCTTGCAGCGCATGATGGCGTTGTATGTTGCCAGTCACTACAAGAATCAACCAAATGACCTCCAGTTGATGTCGGACGCCCCAGCACATCACCTTTTCGTGCTCCTACCCCCCATATCAGACGACGAGTCTCATCTTCCAGAGCCACTTGTCGTACTGCAAGTCGCACTGGAGGGGAATATCAGCAAAGCCGCCATCATGGATGGCCTGAGCCGCGGTTTGCGAGCAGGAGGTGACATGATCCCTTGGCTTGTCTCCCAGCAGTTCCAAGAAAGCAAATTTGCACTCCTCTCTGGTGCCCGGATTGTACGGATCGCAACCCATCCCGATTACGCAAATGTGAGTTATCCGCAATGTAGTTTAGCTTGTAATTTATTGGCCCGCTAGATGGGGTACGGATCCCGGGCTCTGAAAGCGCTAAATTCTTTCTACAGCGGAGAGTACTTTAACTTGGATGAAGCTACTCCCGCCGAACCCTCCTATCCCGATGCAGCAGCCCTAGATCCGGTGAGTACGACATCCGTTTCAGATATTTTTGTGAAATGACGTGCATCCGGTGAAGGAAACGGATCTTAAAACGGATCACCCCACAGTGCGCGCCCCTGAGGCGATGCCCCCACTTCTCCAGAGGTTATCAGAAAGGAAACCTGAAACTTTGGATTACCTTGGAGTCTCGTATGGCCTAACGCCTCAACTTCTTCGGTGATTTACTTTCCATTAATCCAATAATTCCTATTAATAACCGACTTCAGCTTCTGGAAGAGAGCTGGATATGTACCACTATACATCCGTCAAACGCAAAGCGAGCTAACGGGAGAGCATACGTGCGTTATGGTCCGGGGACTTAACAGTTCGACCGATGGCGAACTGGAGTGGATGGGCGAGTTTTCGAAAGGTGCGTTTTTCTGATTATCCATACGGAACACAGCAAAAATTGTGGCGTAGATTTCAGGCGGCGGTTCCTATCTCTGCTCTCTTTCAAGTTCCGTGAGTTCGGCAGCATCACTGCGCTAAGTGTGCTTGAGGCTGCGGATATCGGCGTGAAGAAGCTCGGTGGGAAGAAGTCGCGAGGTAAAATTGTTTTCAAGAGCTTTCTAGGGTTTGTTGACTTACACTACTTCTAGCTGTTGAATCGTCAGAGCTCTCCATCCTCATATCACCATTTGACCTGAAGCGTCTAGAGTCATATGCCAACAACATGCTTGACTATCACGTTGTCCTCGATCTCCTCCCAACAGTAGCTTCTCTGTATTTCGAAGGACGGTTAGGAGATGACGTGAGACTGAGCGCGGTTCAGGCCTCTATCTTCCTTGGTCTCGGTCTTCAACGAAAGACCATCGAGGAGGTCGAGGTACACTATTTCATCATACACACTGGATGATACTCAAAGACGTGGTTCTTCAGGGCGAGCTGTCGCTGCCGGTTTCACAGGCACTAGCTTTGTTTGTCAAGGTTATCCGCAAGATCACAAAACATCTTGTCGACATCCAGAAGGCTTCGATCGGCGCCGATATTCCGCTGGCCCTTCCAACCACAACTTCACGTGTTGGAGATGGTGGTGAACCTACGCAGTGGAAACCTGTTGAAACACATATTGAGGACGAGTTAAACGAGGCTGGCGATGAAGCAACAAAAGCGCTTCGCGAAAAGCAACGCGAGATGATTGACTCTCTGGATCTGAGCAAGTGAGTGCGATTGCATCCTCCATTTTGCCGCGGACATGGATCGACGGGACCTAGAACATCTATAACGTGACTTATGGTCGTGCTCCACAGGTATGCTATTGACGATGCCAGCGCGGACTGGAGTGTCGCCGAGGCACAAGTATCGAGGCTTGCTAAGGGAGAAGGAGCTACCGTTATTAGTGTGAAGACGATTGAACCTACTGCTGGCAAAAAGCGGAAAGCGGAAGGTGGAGATGAGAAAGATAAAAAAACGACGAGAAGGGGCAAGAAATCGAGGCGCTGAACAAAGTATATTATAAGTACCGCTATCGAGTGACGGGTGTTCCGCGGATGCATTCCGTGTGTGGTCAGCCTCCGTCGTAAGCGTGAGCTGTTGGCGCTGTTTGAGATCAATTTGAAATCATTTGCATACATAACAAGCACGCTACATGTAGATTTGAGCCCTGCTGTGTCATGACGGACTCATAGATAACAAAGAGTTTGATTGTAGCAATATGTTGCAGATTAGTGATAGTGGCCCATCATTCGTTGCTATGTTAGTATGTATCTGACCTGACTGAGTACTGAGAAGGCTTGCTAATTGCAGCTTGTGACTATAGACAGTGCAGCCTATATGTAGTATATGGTAATAGCTCCCGATAATGGGCGTTGAGTCTTGACGCGGACGATCGATATGAAGGAGTCAAGTGCAGCCGGCCAATCGATGAAGCTTAGAAGTTCCACGTTCTTTACATAATTGCAGCGAGGACATAACTCACCCTACTTATTCCCGCTCTTCTAATAGGTCACCTTGCGTCTGCCATGACGCGTCGGCTATTAATTATGTAGCTTTGGGTTAAGTTTGGGCCAACCTCTCGCACCGTGCACGCCAGCACTATGATCAGCGCTGCAGCCTGGAGGCTTAGCGGACACGTAGCAATTGAGAGCCGAGTCCGCAACGTTGTGATGAATTGAGGTAGGGACCCCAAGGCACTGCTAGCTAGCACTTAGCTGGCACCGTCAGCTGAGGAAACGGGTTTGTAGTAGCTTCATTTTGTGTGGGGATGAGATGAAGCGTGAGTACTTGATTTTGGCACCCCGCCTCAGATATACTTATGTTACTTTATTAAGGTGCCTGACGGGTTAAAATGTTCCTGATCTCGTTCTCAATATAAAGTAATATTATGACAGATGTCCTAAGACCGACCTCTCCTCGATCAATTGTCATCCTCCCCCATCATGGCACCAAGATTTTTGCGGGAGCTCATCCCCCGTCGAGAGAAGCGTGCCCCTGGCAGTGTAGTTGCTGCGTTGAGGAGTCTCACATGGATGCACTGGATTCAGTTCTGGTCTGGGTCAGTGTCATCCTTCCATCGCTAGCACTATCATCTTAACCACATGTCGCACTAGCTGGCTTGCCTGGACATGCGACGCCATTGATTTCTTCGCTGTGTCGCTCACGGTAACTCCCTTGGCGACACAATTTCATAAGTCCACGAGTCAGATCGTACGCTGTTTTTGTCCTTCCCTCGCTGCTTGCGCGCTAACGCACAACACGATCACAGACGACCGCCATTACGTTGACTCTCTTGTTCCGGCCTGTCGGCGCTGTAAGCATTATTCCTGCTGTTTCTTACTAACTAAACTTATCGTTTCATAGATTATTTTCGGTATCTTATCTGACCGATTTGGCCGCAAGTGGCCATTGGTTTACAATCTCCTTCTCTGCTCTGTCCTTGAGCTCGGAACTGGCTTTGTCAACACGTTTTCACAATTTCTCGCCGTTCGTGCCCTATTCGGTATTGCTATGGGTGGAATATGGGGACTTTCGTCAGCCTCAGCTCTTGAGAACTTGCCCGTTGAACTTCGTGGGATTGGAAGCGGGGTCTTGCAGGAAGGCTATGCTGTCGGATACCTGATTGCAGCCGTCATCAATCTGACCTTGGTAGCCCAGCACGGATGGCGGGTACTTTTCTGGACTGGATCAGGCATCAGCTTTTTTGCTGCAGTCATTCGGTGTCTTGTCCCAGAGAGCGCGTTCTTCCTGCGTGCCAAAGAACAAGAGATGGCGAAAGGGACTAATACCTCGCAGAAAACCAAGATTTTCATTCAAGAAACGAAGGATATGCTTAAGCGTCACTGGCTCCTATGCATTTATGCTGTGCTCTTAATGACAGGCGAGTCTTCTCTTGTCCCTAACAATCAACATATCAACATTCCTGTGCAGGATTCAACTTCTTGTCTCACGGTTCACAGGTAGGCGCATCTCGTGCATGAAAATTCGCGGGACGAGCCCATAATGACATACACGTTCAGGATTTATATCCCACATACATGGAGGTTACCAAGGGTTTTAGTGCTCACGATGCCACTGTTGCAACCATTATTGGCAATTGTGTGAGTCTTATAAAATTATCTGTGTGCAAATTCTCAATGTGCACTAACAGGGTGCAGTTGCGTGAGTTGTCAATTGGTTATGTATGCATTTCAAGTTCTGAGGGTCATACAGTGGCGGTGTTATCGCTGGATGGGCCAGCCAGTACATCGGACGCCGCCTGACGATCGTGTATGTGCCTTTAATAAATGATGATTTCATGATTTTACACAAATTCCATCAGAATTTTTACGCTTCTCATCGGAGGTAAGCACCAATCCTGGTGATATTAAACAAAACTGATGTTCTCTCGCAGTGTTCATTCCATTATGGGTTATACCCACCTCATTCTCTGCCCTCTCCGCTGGGGCATTCTGTATCCAAGTTGGTGTTCAGGGCGCTTGGGGCGTCGTACGTGCCCTCCTACTCTTGTTGCGACCCCGGCCTAAAAAATAAATGTACTAGATCCCGATCCAACTGGCCGAGATGTCCCCGCCAGCTTTCAGAGCAACATTTCCTGGTGTTGCTTACCAGATCGGCAACGTAGGTCGAATGAATATCGTGCGATGTTTGTGGCTAATGTTCGCGGTAGATGGTATCGTCAGCGTCAGCACAGATTGAAGCCAGTGAGCGGATAGTCACAATTCATTCCGTTAACGAAGTTCTTAATGTATATTAGCTGGTGGTGCCAACTTTCAGACAACGATCATAAAGGACGGAGTTCCTACTCCGGAGCCAGATTATGCAACGGTATGTAACAAAGTTCCACTCCCGCACGGTCTTATTCATCACTTGATCAGGTGCAAGCCATCTTCATTGGTGTCGTTGCTGCATTCGTGGTCATTATCACGATCATTGGGCCCGAGTAAGTCTCGCACGTGTACTTGGACATACAGACACTCACCTTCCTTTAGAAATCATGGCTCGCATTTCGAGACACACAAGGCCGCTTTCGAAGAAGGAGGTGGAAGAGATGATGCTGTGGCGGATAACGCATCACAAACGTCATATCATGAAAACGACGAGAAGAGCGGCGCTGCTTAGGCGCCTCCACCACTGCGTAAATGATTGTAGTATTTATCCACCACAGTTTGATGACACTTTAATGGACGAGTTCGCAATGGCCCAGGAAGCCGGGCTTCCGGTTGATGCATCGATGCTTTATGTAATAATGATAGCCAAATTTAGCGCCAAAGGGCTTTGTTGCCAGGCCAATGAATGTCGAATGTAAGGCCATAGGCGCCTCGAGGCCACGTGATGATATTGTGGGTTCAATTTGAGTTTCAAACGTTCACGCTGGCCAGTGGCCACCTACCACCGTGACTACTTCAGGGTGCTTAATACTAGTACTGGTGTACCTGCCGCCGCCATTTGGCCTTTGTTCTTCACTGAGTTTCTTTTGGGAAACAGGACTTCTGTCGGCTGATACCTATCCTTCAGGCCAAGATTACAGGCCGCTAAACAATATTCACTTCAGGTTTTTCGCTGACTAGGAATTATTATGGACTATAGCAATGCTGGCCGTACCACTCTGGCAAGCATGCCATCTCTTTGAGGTACGATGATGAAGGACACGGTCTCATATACGAGTGGTTGGCCGTCGCCAAATCAAGGGATAACCAGGAGGCCTTCCAACTTGGCTGCCTCAAAGGCCAGACTGACCAAACACAATGCCAGATCATGGAGATATGTCCTGGGCCTGCCATTTGCCTGTAATGCCTGCTAATCCTGCGATCCTTATAAAAGACCAGGGAGGTATGATGATACAGCTCTTTTAAAGCTGGACATCCAAGACCTTCAGCTGTAGAGCATAATTGTGTTGCCCGTACGCTTGACCCACCGATGGCGCCTCAGAAAAGGTACTCTAGCCGATCCTCTGGGGAATCTTCATCCGTATGTGTCAGTGGAATTAACCCCTCATGACAACATATTCATCATCTGTAACCCGATAGTCATCTATTGAATGGAGCACTCCGCCCCCCCTCACCTACGAAGCAATGTTCAGCTGAACGTTTGACGCTACCAAATGGAACAACAGCACATCGTGTCCCGGCCCCGTGTCATTCACACGATCGCACGATTCCGTTTTACGCCAATGGTAATCCTGGTGTCTCGGTCAGGAATGTCTTGAGTGGTGGACATGTTCAGGACAGCCCAGAACGTGATTTTAAGGCGGGGTCTCTCAAAATAGTCTTCCAGGTACAATCGATGCATGTTCTAATTCGATCGAGACCTGATATTTGATTCGCAGTGGCCAGGTTATGATTTTTCGGATGTTCTTCATGCCAGACACATCACAATCAATCCGAATACCAAACAGGAACTCGTAACTGCACTATGCACTGCATTGCATAAATTTTACTTGTCTGCATCAGTGGGTAATACCTTCAAAATTTGATTTTCGTCAGAACTAACCGAGTCCACAGAAAATAACACCTTCAGTCGAATCTGGCTCTTGGGCCCTCTCTTCACGAGTCCGCTTAGGAGATATCATGCTCACGTCCATACATTTCGACGCTGGTGTGTGGTTTCCGCAGTTTTATGTACTCCGGAAGTAGTAGTATTGTTGGATTCGTTGAGTCGAATTCGCGCTTATAACACATAATAATACATGTATAATATAGCAGGACACATGTCATACACCTGTAGGTAGTGAATATGAGAAAACGCACAAAGGACTTTCCTGCCGCGTGTGCAGGTCCCTCCACTCTTGAACTTATACTCGTGACAAGTCGTCTGAGGCAAACCGTCGATAAACGCAGATCTCGGGCTGGCTGGCCACGATTCTATCTCGAACTTGTCGCTCCACTCCTATATGCGTAAAGGTGGCATCTTTTACAGGCAGTGATCGGTGAGCAAAAAAATCGAGGCTACGGTACGGCACCAAGCGAGAAGATAGCATCACCTGCGCCTTCAAAGTTTCACTAGCTTCACTCCCGAGACTCGGTACCGCACAGGACAGCAAACAGTACTACTTGTGCTTTGTCGCTCATATTGAACCACATTATATGCCTTTTTTTGGTAATTTCAAATTTAATCAGAACACAGGTTCACGCCACAATGTGCAGGACTACTAGTGCCCAGTGTGGCTGCTACATCGACCCTAGGCCTGTCACCCATAGTTGTAATTTCTGTATGCTCGTTGCAACAAATGCTCCTTGTGTAACCAACAATCGTCACCAAGGATGACTAGACTAACACACGGTATTTTCTCTACCAATGTTTTGGTATGCCTCACCCGGGCCCCCGTGGCAGTTGTCGGAGACAGACATTGGTAATCATTCCAAGCTCTCTCTTGAATGTCTCGTTTTAATCACCCACTCTGTTCTTCTAGTTTCATGTTTATTGTTGTCACAACGTACGTAGTACCTTTACGGTCTGCTACCATTTGCGTCAAGGACCAGTTGTTTCCAATTACTGGACCACCCGCAGTTGGTGAGCGTTGGCTTCCGTTAGACTCCATAAGGATGCATATACACAATTACTCTAAGGATTATGTTTTGCTGACAGACGCTGGATATTGACAGGTCTTACGTTGCGTTACACGTGCGTCAAAGACAGTTTGTCTCAAAGTCTCTTAGTGACACTCTTGGTGACGCCGCCGTTTAATGGAGAAAGTTACGTTCATTGTGTCACGGTCTATGTTGTTGAATGGTTGGTGTCCCGCTTCATAATTTACAATTTATTGAACAACTTTGAGTGGTCGCTTTGGCCCTAGACGACTGGCGCTTCATGACACGCACCGCTTTGTGGTCCATGTCGAAGCTACGGGTAGTATAAAACACGCGAGTGTTTAGGATGGGCACCCCATCAACTCGAACATCTCAAATATTCTGTAGCACAGATTTTATATTTCAGCTTCAATCAGTCCAGTATGGCATACATGCAACCCAACCAATCGATTGTGAACTCTGGTGGAGCCGGGTCTCCTGGGGTGAGCCTTCATGTTCTTCCCGTGTTTTTTTCTTACGCAGAAATTACATCAGTACTACGCTTGGCAAGCCAATCCTGCCCCTCACCCCTTGACGATAGGTACCGAGATGCCACTATATTGGGGCGCCAGCAATGGAAGACAAGTGAAGCGTGTTCCACGCTTGCGGGAATTTACTCCTTCTCAGCAGAGCTTCCCCGGCATCCTTTTTAGCGTTAATGGTTGGGGCGGTGTGTCCGTGACGGATATTCTGAACCGACAGACAGTTGTTGATTATCCGACTGACATGGTATTCGCTCATCACGGCTGGCGAGCAACTACTCTGGCACTAAATGTAAGCATCACCTGTCTCTGATATAATTGTGTATGTTAACCAATTTACGTAGTGGCCCGGATACATACCCAACCGTTCTTCGGATGCGTCTCGTCGTCGCTTTAGCACATATATGAATGGCAACATACCAATGACTCGTCAAGGGTTCGCCAAAGTGATTGCCGAGCTGATTCAAGATCTTTACCACTGTGCAAAGGTTTGTGTGATCTTAAAATTGACACAAGGTTACTAACTCGTCGGTCATTAGGACAAGCCCGTTGCACGTGGTTGGGAAGATTGGGGATTCAGCGAAAACAAAGTTGATCCGTCGAAGGTGTTTATCCTATCGGCCCATTATTACAGGAATGTTTGGGTCCCTGAGCTCTACGTCGATGGTATACCCATGATGCTCTCTGGTGGACTCCTTTCCCCTACGACCTAATAGCACAGACATATATCTTTAATTTTCAAGTCACTAACATTCCCTATACGAATCACGACACTCCATTGCGCCTACCTTACAATGTCATTAATTCATTAGCCGGTCTAATGTTTATCGTTTTTATTAGGTACTAGCTTCACGCGCATGCATATCGATCGTACCCTATTTGAGTACAAAAATAGAAATCCACCTGCGCAATGCCCTGGTTTGGATTGAGAAGCGGAAGTTAGAACCTCGTGGGCTTGATGCTGTACGATAGTCTCCATAACTGCCCTCTAAAGAAGAGACGATCAGCCATGAGACATCCAGTGTATTGGCAATTTGGTCCTCGAGGCAACACGGTGCATATAAGCCACCACCTTCTGCGATAGTGGAAGATGACCCATCTTTGCTACCTTCCCTTCGAGACACAGAACTCTAACTTTTAGCGTGAAAAATGGGCACGTCGATGTCCTCCCCCCTTAGACTGCAAAGTCTTCGGACTATCGCTGGCATCGTTCGTACAATCATCGAGGAAATTCGGTCATCGAGGATCTTCGAAAACCCCACTTTTGCCGACCTAAGACTGGCCAGAGACTCGCATCCTCAACGACAAGCTAGTAGGACATCAATGGCAGGGTGGCAGGGTGATGAATGGCAGGAAGAAGATCCTATTACTATGGACACCGAAGAAGAGATCAGAGAGGAAGGAATAGATGAGCTCCTAGCCGCTCGAGCTCCACACGCCACCGGGGGAAACGTTGGAGGATCTTACCCTGTACAAACAGATGTGTGGCGGAGGCCGAGCGAAGTGGGAATACATGCTGTAGAAGAAGCTCCGCGTAGGCGTCTTTATGAAGCGCCAGAGCGTTGCGCTGCTGCACTCCACATGAAGACGAAGGAAGAAGGGGTCTCGGCCACGAGGTTGAACAATGAAGGCAAGGAAGTATCCGTTGTCCACTTGCATTTGGGCTCAACTCGAGGTGCAGCAGATGTTCCAATAACTGAAGATGCCATAAATTGGAAAGACGACCCGCAGACCTTGGAGAAACACAGCGCGTTCCAGCTCGTGAGCATCCCCAGTGATGAGGAGATACAAATAGCGAAGCAAAGAGTCCAATACCAAGAGGGGCTATTCCATTTCGCAATGACGGGGGTTTCTGGTGCTGGAAAGTCGTCGCTGATCAATGCCTTCCGAGGCCTTCGAAACAGAGATCAGGGGGCTGCACCAACGGGCGTGGTTGAGACCACCACGGATATCACTAGATTCCCAGATCCAAGCCCCCATAACCCGTTCGTTTGGTATGATGTCCCAGGGTCCGGCACGCTGAACACACCGGACTGGCAATATTTCACTGCACACGGACTCTATGTTTTCGACTGCATTATCATCCTTTTCGACAGCCGCTTTACAATGACTGACCTTGCCATGCTGGTCAATTGCCGGCGTTTCAACATTCCTACTTATATCGTGCGGTCGAAATCGGACTCACATATCAGAAACATCATCAAGGAATCGGGTTACGACAGCGATGAAGATGAAGATGAAAATCGCTCGCATCGCAATGCATTGTATAGCTCCGCACGCGAGCAGTACATTGCTGAAACTCGCGCAACCGTGAAGAGCAATCTTCAGGAGGCGAATTTGCCCGATCAAAGGGTGTACATTGTCGCCAACAGCACCATGGTCTCCACAGTGAGAGACCAGAAACTATCGGAGAAGACTATAGACGAACTAGAATTAATGCGGGATCTCTTTAGGGAAGCCCAGTCAAGGCGTTGTGGTGAAGGTAGTCGCTCACAGGCATACGAAGTTTGAAGTCTAGAGCCCCGTCCATAGTCAGGTTGCAGCAATTGTCGGTATGTACCACATCTATGAGAAATCATAAAAAAAGAGGACGTGGTCCAGCTGGTGTCACGTTCATCGGTGATCGATGCATTAGTGCCAAGGTTTCCCCCGCAGAGCATCTCGTATGAGAATTCAGACATTTGATTGACACCCAGCCTCTGGTAGTAGTTCTGCAATCGTATGAAGCACCAGTGACGTTTATAGATCCGGCCTGATTTTCACAGCTATCTTGCAAAAAGTGGTTGACAGAACGAGTTCGACGCAATGAGTTGCAAAACGGCTGCAAGGTTCTGTGGCTCTGTGAACAACGCACGCGAATTGCTTCCGCGGGATTAAACGCACCCTTGGCAGCACTTTTGCGTTGTTCCCACGGTCTGTTAGACCCGGTTTCATTGTAGGACGAAACCTATCTCTGAGACCTGCCTCTCCCCGGGGCCTCCCCTCAACTCCTCAAGAGGTACAACGTGAACAGCACCCTCGCAAGTCACCCCATGGACTCGTCCGTTATCGTTGGAGGGTAGCCCCCTCCTATCCTAGTGGCCTCTCAGGGACCCCCCAGCATGTTATGAAGGCGCAACCAAGTCTTCTGGATCAAATGCCCGAGGATGAGTGATGTATCACGGACGATGTAAGTTTCGAGATGGAGTCTGTGAAGCATAAGTCCGGACTCGGAGTGACAAGGTCGGAGAATCGAGACAAGAACGTTTTTTGGAGCAAGGAGAACATACCGTTGTAACTTTTTCGAGGTCCGTTTTGGCAGTAACTCCCCGGGATCACTTGTACATCTCATCTTGTTTTAATATGTTTTCACTTTCATTTCTGTATCACTGGCAATTCATGGATAGCTGGGTTATTCTTGCCCCGGTATCTGACGCTGAAGTTTCTCCTCATGGACTTCAGAACCTTTTTCTGCAGTGGTTTACTCGATCCATGGAGAATATATCACATTGGACAAGTATCCCGTCGAGCTTCTCGTCAAATCCCTTCCCTGAGGAAATCTGTGTTGCAACGTTTGATTTTAAAGTTACTGTGCAAGTCTCATTTGAATCACGTTCATGCGGATGAGTGAACGTGAAAAAGGATTATCCAACAAAGCCGATAGTTTCAACCTGCGGCCTTATAAACAGACTGAATTTCATTTATTGACGGAACACTAAAGTCGCAGTCGCGTGACAGTCAACTGGCTATATAGATACAGAGATGCAGAAGCACGAGCAACGAGAAAGGAATTTGTGGGATACAAGCAGGAGGGTCGTGATCCAGAAAAAGAAAAGAGATCTATACACAAACAAAATCTAAAGTGGTATGGAGCAAGCGAAATCAAAAGCACATGGTATCCTTTATAGCCTTTCCACGAAGTGACACGCATCCTTGAGCTGCTGAGATGTTGGTCCAATCTACATAATCGAGTGTTAATTGATTTGTCTTCCTGACATATCAAACACCTACGTTTTCGGGATTGAAAGGTGAGAAATGGTCACCTGGAATTGACCAAGTTTTTACAGGGGACTGTGTGAGAGCTTCCCATTCGCCAACGACGGCACTTTCACTTCCACGATGTTGCAACCAGTTGGGAACGTCCAAACCCGGAGGAGCATACCCCTCAGACGAGCGAAGGAGGACTATCGGAACTTCAAGCTTTCCTTGACGACATGGATCGTAGACAGAAAGGAGTCGCGAGCTTTCTTTGAATTGTTCCGCGACAAGACTTATGGTTCCTGAATCAATTCCTCGGGAGTGTGCCTTCGTGACGTGGTTTATAACAGATGATGAAAGGGGCACGTGTTTGCCAGGACAGGGAGAGTCGATGAGAACGATGCCGTGGACACGTACGCCGTTCTGAGCAAGCTTCTTGGCGGTTTCGAAGGCCACTACACCACCAAATGACCACCCTGTCTTGCACCGTTAATAATGTCCTGCTGAACAATAGCAACCGACTGCTTACCGCCAATGATGATCCGATCTGACTTCGCACCCAAAACGACTTTGGCGTAGGATTCTGCTATCTGCTCAACGCTCTCCCATTTTCCACCGGTAATCAGACAGGGATTGGAGAGAGCAAAGACGTCACGATGTAACGGCATCAAACGACTATAATGGCTTATTAAGCCGCTGCCATCGTGAATAAGAAGTAGTGGGACAGCGGCTTCGTCCTTGCTGAATTGGAGTTGTGACATGCGAGTATCAAACGATGCGGGTTGTAATGTTCTCGTCGAAGATCTTCCCGAGGACTTCTTGGGGGAGGAAGATTTATCGAAAAAAGCACTCAAGGATGCGATTGTGGAATAAGATTCGAATGCGTCGTGAGGGAGGTCGATATTGAGGTCGACTTTGAGCGCATGTAGAGCCTCTAATGAACTGAGAGAGTCAAGGCCGAGCGACTTGAAGTCGGAGTCATCCTCTACATCGGAAATCGGAAGGCCAAGTACTTCCGCAATGATACCTCTGATGCGGATGCGTCTGTCACCATCAGATATTGTTTTTGTCGACTTAACGGATCTAGCTGGCGGTGATTGTGGTCTTTCCAAGGACTTCTGGGGAGTTCTTTCCACAGACTTATCGGGGGAATGGGGTTTATTGAGCGTAGCACTCAATGATGCAATTGTGGAATAAGATTCGAATGCGTCGTGAGGGAGGTCGATGTTGAGGTCGCTTTTGAGCGCATGGAGAGCCTCTAATGAACTGAGGGAGTCAAGGCCGAGCAATTTGAAGTCGGAGTCATCCTCTACATCAGAAAGCGGAAGGCCAAGTACTTCCGCGATAATACTTCTGATGCGGATGCATTTGTCACCATCAGATACTGTCTCTGTCGACTCAGCGGATCTAGCTGGCGGTGGTTGTGATCTTTCCAAGGACTTGTGGGAGGTTCTTTCCACGGATTTCTCGGGGGGATGGGATTTATCGAGGAAAGCGCTCAAGGATGCAATTGTGGAATAAGAATCGAATGCGTCGTGAGGAAGGTCAACTTTGAGATCGGTTTTGAGCGCGTGGAGAGCTTCTAACGAACTGAGGGAGTCAAGGCCGAGCGATTTGAAGTCGGAGTGATCTTGTATATCGGTAGTCAGAAGGCCGAGCACCTGTGCAATGACATATCTGATGCGGATGCGTGTGTCATCCTCAGACACTAGGGTTTCCGGTGAAGATGGCCTGCTGGAATTACCAGAGTTACTTGTTTGTACATCGCATGTGCTTTGTGTACTGGCTGAATTGGTTCGATTGCGTGTCTGCGCAGGGGCGGAGTCTGCTGCATTTGCCAACGCGCGAGCAAGACCGTTCATGCGGACGCGCTTGAATTGAATGCCTTTCATAAGCGCGACAACACGATGAGGCTCTTGTTCTTGGACAGCATAAGCCTCGGTGAGAACGGTGTGGTTAAAGGACATCCATGACCCGCGACAATGAACAGTGTATGTTTGTTCTTGATCAATGAACTCGGAGAGCATCTGGAATGATCCGACCTCGCTGCAGATATAAGCGTCACCGATATCGCCTTGCGTATTTGCTAGGAATCCAGCTGTATGGAGGAGGGTGTCGGCGAAAATGGGATTAGAGGCAAAAGAGAGTCGTGGGGCATCTGGAAGCTTGATCTGCGCTATACCATCCATTCCATTTGCGCTGGCAGTCAGAGACTGGATCGTGTGATACTTCGCGGAGTATTCAACAACACGAGGGAAAACAACTTTGTATAGCGTTCGAGTGGAATAGACCTCTGCTTGACCTTCCTTCCGAGAACCAATCTCCGAAGCACTGGGTCTGGGCATGACGCGGAATTCACTGTCAAGATTAGCAGCTGTCTCCTTGGTGGATTGGAAGCGTATTTCTCCGCGGACGTGAACCGATTCATCCGGAGAAGATTGCAGTCTGGATGTTATATCGAAGAGACCAGTGCCATCTTCGTTGATGGTGATATGCGTGCGGACGACCCGATTGACTTGGGGATGGTAAACAAGTGGTTTCGCAAAATTGACTCCTCGGATGACAACTATATTCTTCCCAAAATCGAAGTTCAGATGACGCCGTGAAAGATCTGCGCCCGAAAGAACTTGTTCAAGATAGATTGATGCTGGGCATAGGTAGTGCCCAGCAACCTTGTGTCCTTCAATAAACGGAGCTAAAACTTCGATGGGAGTATCGAAACTGGCCGTGTTGCCGTTCTCGTGCGATGGGTACTGCGCCCACCACCCCAGCATGGTATAGTCAGATATCATATCGGATTTCGCAATGCTTTGTGATGGCGCTGTGCTTCGTGCTGGTTCCATGCTTCGTGTTGGTGCCGCGCTTCGTGTTGGTGCCGCGATTTTTGATGGTGCTATGGTTTGTGATGGCGCTGTGCTTCGTGCTGGTGCCACAGTTTGAGGTGATGAAGGAGATTCATGGAAAGGTTCTTTGTATGGTACCCAAACTTTGTTCCTCTCGAGTGGATATGGTGGCAGATCAGCGCAGGTTGCTGGGGACAGCTCCGAAAAGACTTTGCGCCAGTTCAGAGGAGCATTGGTTCTGTAGAGCTGGGATAGGCTGGAGGCAAGAGTAGCGTTATCATTTTTGTTCAATGAAGGCAATAGCGCCGCTTCGCTAGGAGCAGCCGCACAAGCCCGTATCATCAACAAGCATGACGCTTGGGGTCCCATCTCGATCCAAGCATCTATCTGTGGCAGCGAGGGGTGCTTACACAGGGTGTCGACGGTGGGGGCAAAAAGAACAGGCTGACGGAAATGCGAAGAGAAATAGGTTGCGTCGAAGGTCGAAGTGTCTCCTGCGGGAACAAGTCTTCCAAGAACGGTAGAACCAACGGACACCTTTGGAGAAGACAAGGGTACAGTTCGTGCTAGCTGGGTAAGATCATCCAGAACCGGGTCCACTGCTTGACCGTGATATCCATAGGGAACGTCAAGGAGACGGGCCTTGCATCCTGTAGTTGCCAACTCCTCGGTCAGAGCGTGCAGCTGAGACAGTGGGCCAGAGACGACACAGGCATGATCACTGTTGACGCAAGCGACAGAGAGATCCGAGTATGACCCAGATTTCAAAACGGTGTTGGTCTGTTGCTCCCCGAGCCTGATAGCCAACATGCCTGATGCACTTGGCACACAACCACGCCATGTAAGGCGAGCGCGTGATGCGACCAAAAACAAGGCTGCCTCGAGCGAGAGCACCTCGGCGATGACTAAACTGGCGTATTCACCAAGGCTAGTAAGATAATGTTAGGTATAGACCAGACGTGTATTGAAATAATCTTCACCTGTGCCCGACGACCGTGGAAGGCGTCAAACCCCAATGTATCCATAATGTTGCCAACGCGACTTCTAGCGCCATCGTAGAAGTTTGAGACACTTCAAACTCTTCCATTTCATCCGACCCACTATCTGCATCTGCAGCTTCTCCAACAATACTTGGAAGGATACCTGCAAAGCCTTTGGACACGAGGTATCGGTGACACCTGTCAATGCAGCGCTGGAAGACCGGAGAGGTCGAAAAGAGGAGTTTCCCCATGCCACGATAGTAGTTGCCTTGTCCAGAGAAGACAAAGACAACTTGACCGAAATTTCCCTCGGAATGAGACACCTCAGCGCTTGCAAGAGCTTGGACAAGTTGCGCCTTGCTCCCTACGTCAACTGAAATTCTGAAGGGGTACAGCTGTCTTCTTGCCGTGGCAGTATACGCGATGTCACTAATGGAAATTGAGCGATTTCTGGCGTCGTGAAGCCACCGGAAGTAGCTAGAGCGGAGGGTTTCGAGAACATCGCGAGATTTGGCAGAGATACCAAAGACGTAAGATGTGCCACTAGCTGCAGATTTCGCTTGCTTTGGATACTCTTCCACTATGAGTGCCCCATTTGAACCTGATGCTCCAAAGTTGTTGAGTAGTGCCATGCGAGGCGACGATCCGCGCACCCACGGCGTGGGAATCGTGTCGATGATAGTATTATCCTGGGCTAGCGGTGTGATACGTGGGTTCAATATCTTAAGGGAGATTTGAGCAGGAATTGTATCATGTTGGAACATGAGCAAAATTTTGGCGAGTCCAGCAGCGCCAGAAGCAGCTTCCAAGTGACCGAGGTTGGCTTTAATCGAAGTGACATGAAGGGGGTTTTCGCTATCGCGAGCACGGCAAAGAACGGCGCGAATACTCTGGAGCTCAGCAAAATCTCCAGCCTGGGTGCCAGTACCATGCGCTTCTACGACACTGACGCGTGATGCATCGATTCCGGAGTTCTTTAGGAGCCTGTTCATCAGATAAACCTGGGAAGGTACGTGAGGGTGGGTGATTGAATGCGCCAGCCCACTCTGATTGAGATCAACACCACGGATGACACCGAGAATATCGTCATTCTCTGCAACTGCATCTGAAAGACGTTTGAGAACGAAGAGAGAGCATCCCTCTGATCGAGAGTAGCCGTCAGCCGATGCATCGAAAGATTTGCACTGGCCGGTTGGGCTGAGAAAATGACCATGATCCAGGCCAATGAACATCTGCAAGGGGGGCATCATTAGTGTTAAGGATTGATATCAAGAATCCAGAAAGTCTCGCTTACATCCGGACTCGACATAGTGTTGACTCCACCTGCAATTGCAGCCCTGCAGTCTCCATTGACAAGTGAACGACAGGCTGTGTGGATTGCGACAATTGACGATGAACAAGCAGTATCGATAGTCATCGAAGGACCGCCAAGTTGCATTGCGTACGATATGCGCCCACTAAGGAAAGCTTTCAGGGTTCCTGAATGTTTGTCAGAATAAGTACTGCATCGAGAAGAAGGCCGCATACCTGTGCTGTAATGCACGTCAATATTCTCCCGTAAATTGTCTGCATAATCATGGGTTGCAGTACCGACGAAACAACCAAAGCTATCACGCTGGAAAGACGGGGGTAGCATCTGGAACATAACCAGCGTTCTCAAGGGCGTCATGAGCAGTGTGCAGAAGAACTCTTTGCTGTGGATCCATGCTCTTTGCTTCCCTGGGCGATACCTTGAAGAATTTGTAGTCGAACTCGTCAACACAATCTATGAAATTTGCGGTATGAGCCTTCATCCCCCGACCGCTTTTAGCGTCGGCAGATGTGTAGCGCTCTAATTGGAAACGATCTTCTGGAATCTGTAACAGGGAAGTTTAATGTGTATGATACCATGGAACGCAGAAACAACATACCTCAGAAATGGTATCGATTCCTCGCTCAAGAAGTTCCCAGAGCTCGTCCGCGGTTCTTGCACCACCAGGCAAGCGAAGTGCCATCCCGATGATTGCTATCGGCTCTTGTTTGAAATCATTCTCCTTCGGACTATCAGGGATACTGGAAGCGCTAACGGCCACATCCGTACAAGTAACATTCTTGTTTGATGAGAGTGATTTCTCCAGTATTCGGAGAAGACCAGAGCTAGGGCCGAAGTTTAATACTTGCGTGGGAGCATCGGCCGGTACCGAACTACCAAGCCCCTGTGCCACAGACAGCCAGTCTACAGGAGACACGATTATCATGTCAAGGACTGCGTCAACAAGAGTGGAGTACTCAGAACTCGGCAACAGATACTTCCCAGATACGGTCGAGAATACGGGAAATCTAAGGTTGGAAAAATCAGGAAAGCGAATCAGATATCTTCCGACATCAGCCAAGACTTGGTCGCGGACATTGTGGAGGGTGCGTGCGTGATATAAAGCATCTACAGTTGTTGGATGAATGGTGCAGGACTTGGACATTGAAATTGAGGACGAGAAACGCTGTAGGATATCAGGATGTCCCGAAACGGTGACGTGCTGTGCATCTAAAATAGCCGTGAGGTGAAGGGAAGAATTGCAATCGTTCTGATAATCTTTGTTGAGCTTTTCTTGAAGGTCACGAATGTGTAACCGCCTCTCACCTTGGTTTCGAAATCGGAGATGAAGCCCAAGACATCGGCTCTACTCAGGCCGACACAAACGACACTCCAAGGGAGTCCTGTGTCAGGAAAGCCTAAGGCAGATTGAAGCTCCCTGGTTCTATACTGCATAGATCGCACGCCGATCCAAAATGTTAGGCGAAATGCCTCTACTGCATTTGACATGAACGTGAACACACTAGTTGAAGCTCCTACCACGCATGCCGTGATAATCCCTGAGGAGAAGCCAGACACCCCAAGACTGTGGTCGGGTGCGCTTGAGAAGTGCACAAGGTATCTCAGAGCTTGAACGAGGAAGAGGGATATTCCGGAAATGATAGGATTATTCTGGTAAAGACTCGAAGATGATAGAAGCGAGGTGGCTTCCTCGAAATCGACGAGGGAAATGTGGGTTTCGTTGAGCTCATCTCCTGATAGCTTCAATACCTCTGCACGAAAAGCCTCGTGGCATGCAGTCGAAAGCAAATGGCCAGATGGTGAACGGATGTCGCGGAGGGCCTGCTGAAGAGCAAAGGCTAGGGCACCAGCTGAAGACCCTTGGCCAGGAAATAAAGGTACGGAAACGGTTGGTGAAGTACGGTTTTCCATGCTAGAAACTTGAAGGGCTTGGAGTAATATGATATAACTTTGAGAGTGATGGAACGAACTGCACTACCTCTCTTTATTAAATACTACAGGGTATGTTATGGCTTTAGTACTGCTTCCACTGGGAGGTTCATACATAGATTTTGGCATCCAGTCCAGAGATAGCACTGGCCTACCGACGGCTTGCCTCATAGAGGGGCTGGCCACGCCTCTAAGCACTGGCAGGTACGATCATTGCGGCAGTCGCAGGATCTAAAGTTTAAAATTAGGGACGTTCAAAGTTGAGGCGTTTTCGAGGCTGTTTTCAAACCTGTTTTCGATTTTCGGCAGCGACAGCGGGGGCCCATCGGACTCCGAAATTCGTTAAAGAACACTACTGCGTCAAATGATTCAAAGTTTGAGTGGGAAAGGCATGTCAGTGGATTGAGAAGCAACAGCTGGTATATTCATATCAATTGTACGAAGAGGACGGGCACCCACCCGAGATGTGACCTCCGCGGTCTCTCTCATTCCTTGACAGAACTTATCTTTCACTGTCTTAATCATCACATGTTGCACTAGCTGGCTTGCCTGGACATGCGACGCCATTGCTTTCTTCGCGGTGTCGCTCACGGTAACTCCCTTGGAAGTTGGCGACACAATTTAAACAGTCCACAAGTCAGATCATACGCTGTTTTTGTCCTTCCCTCGCTGCTTGCGCGCTAACGTACAACACGATCACAGACGACTGCCATTACGTTGACTCTCTTGTTCCGGCCTGTCGGCGCTGTAAGCATTATTCCTACTGTTTCTTTCTACATATTGTAAGAACGGAGCGTTTGATCCCGCGGAACCAATTCTCGTAGCCGCCATGTGCCCCATTTTAGCTTAGGTGTGTGTTTCATAGAAATATTCATTCAAAGTTCGCTAAGTAGCAGAAATTCTGACGCCTTGTCCTTAAACATCCTCATGTACCTTATGGAATTGCCGAAGGAAATTAAGGTCTAAAAATGGACTCGACGTTTTCTTGAGCGCTCGAGCTCTAGGCTATTGCTGACGTGTTCTTACACCATCTCCGCCGCATGAGCGCTCCACTTTCAAGTAATCGAGCCCCTGTCAACACTTCTTCTTTCCTCCGGAGCTGCACTGTTTCTGTATACTTTCTCTGTCAATTGTCATGGCGTCCTCCTGCTCTTTTCACCGTATTGTTGGCATTCAAATGCAACTCCTTACTCTCTTGAGAAGAAGCGCAGCCAAGGACTCACTCTCCGACGGAGATCCATGTAGCCCGCACCGTCCACAGGCGAACGGATCGCTTGTACCAACTAAACCTATCATTTCATAGATTATTTTCGGTATCTTATCTGACCGATTTCGCCGCAAGTGGCCATTGGTTTATAACTAGCTCCACACCTGTTGTGCCCTTTCACGAAATACACGAAATACGCGCAAACCATGCGAGCGCCCGTCACGCGTCACTCTCCGAAACCCGTTCTCCCCGGGTCAAGTTGGAACGAACCGACAGGAGGCGAGCCGGGTAGAACGACAGAAGGGTCGGCCATAATGCATTAATGATTAAGCAAGCGCGATCTATGTAGCGGTATACGCCAATAATAATAGACAAGTATGTACGCTCTAGAGGAGAACGAAAGCAGACAACGAAGATAATGTCGCATACTGCCGCCGGAAAAGGCCGAATTCGCGGAGCAAGGTCCGCGTCGGCAACCCTGATCCCTAGTCCGGTATTGCTATGGGTGGAATATGGGGACTTTCATCAGCCTCAGCTCTTGAGGACTTGCCCGTTGAACTTCGTGGGATTGAAAGCAGGGTTTTGCAGGAAGGCTATGCTGTCGGATACCTGATTGCAGCCGTTATCAATCTGACCTTGGTAGCCCAGCGCGGATGGCGGGTACTTTTCTGGACTGGATCAGGCATCAGCTTTTTTGCTGCAGTCAGTCGTGTTCTTGTCCCAGAGAGCGCGTTCTTTCTGCGTGCCAAAGAACAAGAAATGGCGAGAGGGACTAACGCCTCGCAGAAAACCAAGATTTTCATCAAAGAAACGAAGGATATGCTTAAGCGTCACTGGCTCCTATGCATTTATGCTGTGCTCTTAATGACAGGCGAGTCTTCTCTTGTCCCTAACAATCAACATATCAACATTCCTGTGCAGGATTCAACTTCTGGTCTCACGGTTCACAGGTAGGTGCATCTCGTGTATCAAAATTCGCGGGGCGAGCTCATAATGATATACACGCTCAGGGTTTATATCCCACATATCTGGAGACTACCAAGGGTTTTAGTGCTCACGATGCCACTGTTGCGACCATTATCGGCAATTGTGTGAGTCTTATAAAATTATCTGTGCAAATTTTCAATGTGCACTAACAGGGTGTGGCAGTTGCGTGAGTTGTCAATCGGTTCTGTATGCATTTCAAGTTCTGGGGGTCATACAGCAGCGGCGTTATCGCTGGATGGGCCAGCCAGTACATCGGACGCCACCTGGCGATCGTGTATGTGCCTTTAATAAATGATGATTTCATGATTTTACACAAATTCCATCAGAATTTTTACGCCTCTCATCGGAGGTAAGCACCAATCCTGGTGATACTGAACAAAACTGATGTTCTTTCGCAGTGTTCATTCCATTATGGGTTATACTCACCTCATTCTCTGCCCTCTCTGCTGGAACATTCTGTATCCGAGTTGGTGTTCAGGGCGCTTGGGGGTGCTTGTCACTCTCATGCAAACTTACCAAATCACCTATAAGGGTGCGAAGTGGATGCTGCCCATGGTCCTCGGGGAATATTGCACGTCTCAATCTTACACTTGTGTTGGTTCTTCCTGACGTTTGGCTGTAGTTTATGTTATAGGTTTCGGATTTCGCTTCGTTTTGCATTATAATCCTGATTCACTGGGGATTTACATCGCCGAATACTTGATGATCGTATTATCTGTGAGTCAGCGTCAAATTGCAACGGTAGTCGTTTGTTAATCCTTTATAAAGCCCTGTTTTTTCATTGCCACGAATTACGTTCTCCTCGGTCGTCTTGCCAGGGAAATTGACTGCGTCCATCGGGTCTTGCTTCCAGTGAGACGGCTCACCCTCGTTTTTGTCTCGTCTGACGTGATTACCTTCGTTATCCAGGTGAGTATCGACTTATTTTTTTCAATGAGCTTCTCTGACGATGTTTTGCCAAAGGCGGCAGGAGCCTCAATAACTACGTCCACCGTTTACAGTTCTGCTTTGACAGGACTTCATGTATGTTTCTGTACCCGCGTTTTTCCCAATCTGAGTGAGCTCTAATCATCTCTGTCAGATCTTTTTGGCCGGCCTCGTTTTGCAACTGGTCTCCGTCAGTTTATTCAGTGTCATTTACGCACGATTCCTCTACAAGGTCCACGCTGAAGAGCAGACCATTTGGATGCGAGACTCAAAGCAATACTGGAATAGCGACTGGCGAACACTCGCCGCTGCCGCAGCGGTCAGCTGTATCGGCATTCTGGTTTGTCTTTCACGCAGAAACCTTGTCGCCTTTAACAAACGCTTGTACAGATTCGTTCATGCTACCGTGTTGCGGAGGTCGCTCAGGGGCTTTGACGGCAGCCTCAGCTCAAGTGAGACAGCCTTCTACCTGGGTGATACGCTTCCCCTTTTTGTGGCCATCGTGATCTATGTTCCGTTCTGGCCCGGAAGGTTCATCACAGCCAAGCTAGCGCCCTCCTTCAACGAACTGCAGAATGGTCAGAAGTTGTCATTTCCTCGCAGTACTTTAGGTTACAACCATGAAGTACCCACAATGGTGCTACACGACTGCTAACTACACATATTCATTGCTTATTATATCAGGATACACATAACAAACGAATAGGTGCTATATAGGGACCTTGCGGATCCGGTAGTGTCAGTTCACGTATGTTGGTCCAGTGGCGAGAGCGCTTGAGTAGGATGTTGATTACAGTCCCATTTAGAGTGCTTATTATATAGAAGGAACGACTGTCCTATATCAGGTTTGAGTATACGGAGACTATTGAGGAGTACGTACTCGAAAGTACTCAGGATAGAACGATCGGACTGAATGAATACATTTGCCATACGCGAGGGCTGGCACAATTTCACACCAACATCAGAGAAAACCTCCGTCAGGAAATTCATTACAATATTCAAACTCGAGCTTAAAACAGTCGAATGTAGTATTTTAACAGAAATCATTGTATTTTAGAATATCCTATCGGTCAGATTATACTTATTAGTTAAATAAGTATACCTGTCACTGAACGAGTTTACGAAGAAGGTAGAACAAAGCTCTAGAACAGTACTGCTCGTCCATTGGCGAGGTGCTACTGGGCCGAATGATGTACACCGCTGCGAATATCAGAAACATCAATAGTGCTGGAGAGACATTCCGTTACGAATGAGGCGGGAAACTTTATACAAACCATGATTTACTTCAGGTTGCCCGAATGGCATGAACCATTGCACATAAGCAAAGTGGGTAAGTCACTTAGCAGGTGTGCGAAATAAGGCAGCTGACTTGTGCAACGCAATACCCTAAAATTCATGAACATTAGTCTACACCCGGACTCATCTGCAGGCAGAGCGATCACATTTCCAGTAGTTTTTATTGTTTGTATTGGTACCTAGATGCATTTTGATACCAATCAATCCATGAAAAGTACAGGTGGTCGCCATATGGTGCTGGTGAAAAAGAGCAATGAGAAGGGGCAACAGATGAGAGCCTATGAGAGCTTGCGTCAGTGCTGCACAGCTGGACACGATTGACACCGAGCCAGCGGCTATTCGTGCTTATATATGTTAGATTAGAAATATGGCCATATCATGTTGGTTGGTTTTCAGGGATGCTGTTTTCGATTTACGGTCGAGCTTGAATGTGCTGGATTGAAAGCGAACATGATACAAGGCAGGCCATGTATCTTTTCTGTATGAGGAATCTGAACCTCCACGAATCTGCGACGAAGAGCGGTAGTGCGGACTCGCGCATTTCGTACCAATCCGTTTTCGACGGACATGTTTCGTTGTATTACACATACAACATTTACTTTGGGATCCAATTGATGGGGAGGTATTCGGATGAGTCAACATCGCGAGGTAGTCTAGAGTTTGCTCGAGTGCGTCTGGTGTACGCCAAAGCCATGACGGAGGAATATAGTTAGGAGAAAAATGTGGGATCGCACGTGGAGCAGGCATTGGAAATTAAGATAGAGTACAATTGCAAAAGGAGGAGTATGGAGGTAAGCACGCGAATTGCTTCCGCGGGATTAAACGTTCCGTTATAGCATTCATCACGTCATGCTGTGTTGTCTCGTCCACCGCGTCATATAACCATGACACAAACAACGGAGACTGTTAAGACCGGTAGTAAGTATGTCTAGGGTGTAAGCATAGTCCTAGTGGTACGGACATTTGAGGGATCCGCGTTTGTGATGATAAGCGTGACTTAGAGTTAACGACGGCCTCTAGCAGGGGCAGTAGAGCGGTGGGCTTAAAGTTTGCACCCTGGCACGCGATCGAACCATGCGAGACGCACACGCGGATGGACACCGCGCCAAGGTCATCTAGATATGGCGCCATTTGAAATGTAGTTAATGTGGAGCTCAATCTGTGGAAACACTGGATGAGATTGCGCGTTCCTAGGTTTTTTGCTTTGTGAATCGGTGTGGACGAGGAGGAGGAGCGGAGCGCTCGAGCCCCGATGATCACTTCGGAATCGGGAATCCCCGACCCGTTAACGATGATCACCACGTTTACTTTGTTTCTTGACCAACGACTCTATCTATGCTATCGATGAGATGTTTACCCTGTCGCCCACTGAGCCGACTAACGTTCACGCTAGGTAGTATATATTAAACTTCCATCATACGCGACAAGCTCGGTACAGAACCGACAAACCGTATCTCATCAGAACCCCATTACCCTATAGGCAAGATGCGGCAAACAAACCCTGACCGAATTCGATTTAGCAGACTATCTGAACGAGTTCGAATTTGTCCAAGATGTGATGCCCGTTAACTGATATGCATGGTCCATCCATATGGGTCTGGGGGTTACTTGGAAACAGAAGTGCAAATTGAGTATGTAAAAAACTCATCCCCGCCCTTATACATCTCGCACTTACCATGATTTGTCGATTATCACAGGGTGATGGTTTGTCCTATCCTGTGATCCGAGATGAAATGCAGTGCTCAAAAGTGGAAATTGTAGCTCCCTACTGTTACGATACCGATCACACAGGACTCCAGAGTCACCCGAGTCAACTTTCTCAGCATGAAGGTTTGATCTGAGTGATATTAGAAGCACCACTTTGTATAGAGAATCACTGATGGCATGAAGCGTGAGTACCTGCGGCCAAAGAACCGTAATGGCGGGCTTGCCCACCGGGTGCCTGAGCTCAGGGGATCCTGACCGCCTCCCGAATATAAAGATGATCTCATGTTGGCCCTCTTCTGAGATCAGACTATCTCTATCATGCCACCGAGATTTATTCGCGAGCTCATCCCGCCTCGCGAGACTCGTGCCCCTCTCGGTGCTGTAGTTGTTGCCCTCAAAAGTCTCACCTGGGTGCAGTGGGCTCAGTTCTGGTGTGGGTCAGTGTCTTATCTCCTTCATAATATCATATTTACCACATATCACAATAGCTGGTTTGCTTGGACGTGCGACGCCATTGATTACGTCGCAGTAACGCTTACAGTACCGCTCTTGTCTAAACAATTTGGAAAGTCAACGAGTGCGATCGTATGCCCTTTCCCTTCCTTTGTTGTTTTTTCGCGTCGCTGATGCACAACTCGGACACGGTCAAAGACGACCGCCATAACGTTAACGCTCTTATTCCGAGCAGTCGGCGCCGTAAGTGCTACACCTGCTATTCCCTGCCAAGCTCACCATTTCCTAGGTGATATTTGGTATGATATCTGACCGGTATGGGCGCAAGTGGCCCTTGGTTGTTAATCTCCTTATCTGCTGTGTGCTCGAACTGGGAACTGGCTTTGTCGACACCTATTCACAATTCCTCGCCTGTCGTGCTCTATTCGGTATTGCTATGGGTGGAATCTGGGGACTTTCGTCATCTTCAGCTCTTGAGAACTTACCCGTTGAGCTTCGCGGGCTTGCAAGTGGGATTTTGCAGGAAGGCTATACTGTCGGCTACATCCTTGCAGCTGTTATAAACTTGACCTTGGTAGCCCAACATGGATGGCGGGCGCTTTTTTGGGCCGGAGCAGGCATCACCTGTTTCGGCGCAGTCGTCCGTGCTCTTATTCCTGAGAGTCCGTTCTTCTTGCATGCCAAGGAACAAGAGAAGGCGAAAGGGACCAATACCTCGCAGGGTTTCCTTAGACAAACAAAGGAAATGCTTAAGCTTCACTGGCTCTTGTGCATTTATGCAGTGCTCTTAATGACAGGTTTGACTCTCTTTTACTTCCTAACACCTACATACCAACACCTCCCTGCAGGGGTCAATTTCTTGTCTCATGGTTCACAGGCACGCGCATACCACGTATGAACGTGCACTCGATAATGTAATGTCCGTCTAGGATCTTTATCCCACGTACCTCCAGATCACCAAGGGCTTCAGTGCTCACAATGCCACTGTCGCGACCATTATTGGCAACTGCGTGAGTCTTACAAACTTATCTACTTGTCAAATTTCAACGTGCCAAACAGGGAGCTATTATGTGAGTTGTTGGTTGGTTCCGCATGCAGCCTAAGTCCTGAGGGTCGTACAGCGGCGGTGCTATTGGTGGATGGGTGAGCCAGTACATTGGACGCCGCCTGACGATCGTGTATGTGCATCCAATAAATGATGTTTTCACGGCTTTACTCACCTTCCATAAGATTGTTTGTGCTTCTCGTCGCAGGTAAGCACCAATCCTAGTAATAGATAACGAGACTTATGTTCTTTCGCAGTGTTCATTCCATTATGGGTTCTACCCTCGTCATTCTCTGCCCTCTCTGCTGGAGCATTCTGTGTTCAATTAGGTGTTCAAGGCGCTTGGGGCGTCGTACGTGTTCGCCTACTCTCGTTGTGAACTTGACTCCTAACATCATCGTAGATCCCGATCCAACTGGCTGAGATGTCACCACCAGCATTCAGGGCAACGTTCCCTGGTGTCGTTTACCAGCTCGGCAATGTAGGTCGCATGGACATCATGCGATACGTATAGCTAACACGTTCGTGGTAGATGGTTTCTGCGGCATCAGCACAAATTGAAGCCAGTGAGTAGACAGTCACGTTCCCACTCGCAAATAAAGTTCTTACATTGATCAGCTGGCGGTGACAATTTGAAAACAACGATCATGGAAAATGGAGTCCTCACAGTAGTCCCAGACTATGCGACGGCGAGTCACTGAGTTCCGCTTCCGCACGGTCTCATTCATACTTCATCAGGTGCAAGCCATCTTCATTGGTTCCGTTGCTGCATTCGTGATCGTTATCGCACTCATTGTGCCCGAGTAAGCCCTGCGCATGACCTTGGACAGACAAATACTCACATCGCACTAGAAACCACGGTTCTAATTTCAAGAACGCCGATGCTGATTTCCGCGACGGGGATGAGGCTACGGATCACAAGTCACAGATATCATGTCATGAAGTGAACGAGAAGAGTAGTGCTTAGGTACCCCTTAACATCTTATTACTTGTCTACCACGAAACGAGACGAATTATTGCGTCCGTTTAAATGAACGGGTTTTATCCTCTACGATATAGTTGCGGTATGAGACACAGGGGTGCGCAATGGAATTCTGGCAAGCCAGGTGCGCTTCACCTGGCGTTGCAGATGGCGATTGTCTATTGTAACGAGTCTGGCAGGCGCCTTTCTTCCTCTGTTCACTCCATGTAACCAAATGTTGTGCTCGTATTCAACACATTTATCCTAATTATTTCTTAACCAGTACATGAAACGAAGTAGCATGTGGGTTTCCCCAGGCATTTCATCGCTACCACTGCCAACGTAGCTTCTGTGACTCAGTGAACTGTGGACAGCCCTTTCAGTCGATCGAATTTCGGGACAACTTGCGGCTCGTTCGAACTGAGATGATATTATGCGGTCAGCTAGGTAAATATAACAGTGGGCTCAGTGGGTATGAGATATGTAGTCCATATACAACATACATAAAAAAATTATCGAGTGATAGTGTCTTAGTAAATGAATTCATGACTAGTTGGAATGACGACGATGGCCAAAGAAAAATCCACAGCAGCTGACTCCGATTTCTTCTAGTCCGCTTGTCGAGGCTTGTATTTGTGTGAGCCGTCCTCGAGGCACAGGTGCCCCCATTGCAGGTTGGTCTGGTCGCGTTGAATTGTCGACCACATCGCCATTGGTGCGTAGTATGGTTGGAGCCGCTTCTGCGTTAGATCCAGGGGCAATAGCATATTTCTGTAGAGTGATTTCAATAATATGAAAGAGTAATGACGAGTTACTCACGTCTTCATCGCGCCAAGCAACAACATCGACGGGACGTCTGGAAGATCTTACGGGAAATAAGCTGGAATTCCAGTGCCAGAGCTGGCGTAGTATTGGTTGGGGCGCATTTGCAAGTCGAGTGCTGGAATGTATGGGTTTTTCCCCCTCGAAACTGCAGTAGTCGTTCCAAGATTGTTCGACGATCTTTGCTATCGAGGCACGCGGTGGGAGTGCGATCATAAGACGGCGGGCCCTGCTCATCGGCGCGAGGTTGATTTCGCTGTTTGCCTTTATCCTTTCTGGCGCAGAGTGACCGCGCTGAAGGCCGTGTTGAGATAACAGTGTGCGAAAGTTGAAACAGCACTTACATCATCAATACTTTCACCTTGTTCACCTTCGCATTCGCCTTCTGGCACTAGTCGGCTGTGTTTCGTGGTTGCGAGCTCCAGTGACGAGTTTGAGCGAACGCGACGACTGAAGAAATCACGCTTGGAGCGTTCTTGTGGAACAGACTCGTCTGGCGGTGGGCGACGTGGAAAGATAGCATTCCAAAGGGGGCGAGCCGAAAATAAGGAAGGGAGGTGGAAGCCAGGCGACGGCGATGGAAGATATTGTTGCGAAGACTAAAAGTACTTGTTGTCAGCGCCAATGCTCTTGCATGAAAACAATAATCTTACCTGGAAGAATGTGTCATCGTGCGCCTCCTCGATAAACTCATCACACCCCTTAGCGTCAGCCTGCAATAATACTGTGAGAAAGGAAGACAAGCAGTCAAATCTGAGGGTACTGACGTCGAGGTATGATGATGTGGAATTGGACCGAGTTTCCTGTTGTGTACTGCGTCTGCCACGTAGTGAAAGTGCTGGAAGCTGAGGAGCTATGTCTTTGACCGTCCATAGAGTGAGTTTCCCGTAGTCTCCGCCATATACTAGGTATTTCCCGTCTCGAGAGAAGGATACGCAGAAAAGGTTTGTACGATTCTCGGGCAATGGCGGGCCAAGTGGCTGGTGGGATTTTGTGTCCCATAGTTGTGCAATGCCGTTTGTGCCTACGCACGCAAGTACATTTTGTGTGGGTGAAAGTGCGATGGCATAGAGAGCATGGTCGTGCTGGAAGCGATGGAGTACTGCTCCTGATTTGCTCTGGAAAACACGTGCCAATTTGTCGGATGCGGAATAGAGTTTCTTGCTGTTTGACGACCACACCAAGGACGTTACAGGGAACCCCAGCTGGTCTTCGATAGGGCCGACAACGAGCTCGCCAGTCTTCTTGTTCCAGATGCAAACTGTCTTGTCGCCCCCACCTGATGCGATTCTCTTTCCAGAAGGCGCATATGCGAGACTCCGCACAATGTCCTGCTTCGTCTCTATCGGGCCCACCTTGATTTTTCCGCTTTTTGCTTTGCGAATCAGAATTGTTCCATCTTCGGACCCGCTGGCGATTTGTTTTCCGTTGGGTGACCACGAGAGCGACCACACCTTCTTGCCATTACCCGTCCAAACGCATTCGATCATCTCTCCATTGGTAGTCCACCGCTGAACAGTTCCGTCCTCTCTCCCACACGCAATTGTCTTCCCGTTCGGTGAAAGTGCCAGTGCATATATGCCTCCTCCCTCCCCTTTCCATGGTTCCCCGACAACAAGTCCCGTGTCGCAGTTCCACTTGCGCATAGTGCCGTCTTCTGAACTACTCACGATGTGGACATTGTCGTGCAAGAAAACGAAACTCCAAATCGCCTTATTGTGTCCTTCGAACTCGTGCTTTGTAGTTGATACTTTGGCTTGCGCTGAGGTTGAAGCTTCCTCAAGGGTCGGCTTTGTAGAAGATCCAGAAGTCATGACGTTACTGCAATCTGGTGGATCAGTTCGACTCTGTCACGGGTGGTGATCAATTATGGAGACGAATGAGTTGCCAGACACTCACTAGTCGGTATACTGGTCTGTTGCTTAGGGGAAAGCTAGAAAGACGGGCGAGCTTTTATGTTCAGCAAGTAGAAGGCATGGGTTCCGCGAGGCGTCGCTAATCGTCCATTCACAGGTTCATACCGCTACATAACAGTTTGATCTTCGCAAACCGTGGTCCCTATCACCCCGTTCGTCTGTTTCCGGTCGTCCTTGCATGGTGAATCATGCATCGATCCATATACTCAAGACAACGCATCGACCAGTAAGTAACATAGCTTCTCGCGTCTACGGTTTGCTTCAGAGCTCATGGAGTTGTATATTGTACTCTGCACTCTAACCATCTCTCGCTCCTTTAATGCTCTACTCTTACCCAGAACACCTTTCAGTACTCGCTGACGTCAGTATAGCATACGCGAGACGATATAGTTACTCTGTAGCCTAGTGCCAGTGAGTCAACTTCGTCCAAGTCTGACTGATTACATGACAGAATACAAAGCATAATACCCATCGTCCCTTCAATGAATGGAACTCGGACCCACGGCACATTAGTATGCGCTTCGACTATGGGACGGGACTTCCAGAATACCAATCGCGAGGAAGTCATCGAAGTACCACCAGTCAGGCGCATCTTGAGCACCTTCTCTGGGAACGTCGTAGTCAATGCCTGCCTGAGCTCGAACGGCTTAAAACTTAAAACACATCGTGCGGCGCGCAGTCATCCTGCCAAGCACTATACACCGCATTCTCACACCGATTGACGGCGTATTGGTTTAGGTCATCTGTGATCCACGCGACTTCAGTGTATATCCTTATACCATGATGATGATGCTAATATTAATGTTCATACCCTGGACCCTGGTTAAAGCCTGGCCCGTCTTGCGCAGCACGAGTTGAAGAAGACTTCCTAAAGCACTAAGCAGTCCATGCAGGCAAGTTGTTCCGATAATTGAATGCTGCCAGTGCGAACTCTTGTCTTCCTCTACGAAGAAGGTCGACGACCTATGCGAGATGGAGTTCAGCTGGATTGACTCGTTTGCTCGTGGCCGGAATTGATCGATCTTGGAGAGCCTTCGACGTGCCTTGAACACCGATATTAAATAAAATAATGTCAAGGGCCCACGCCAGGAGGGCTGGGCTGCATCAACTAGATGACATGGCTTATGTTTGAAAAGACAACTCTGCGGCCCGAATATGCATCTCTTCAGTAAATTTCGCGCATCCAGTTATGCAGTTATCTACAGCGATTTTTTTGGTTGCCAAGTAGACCTGCACGCGGAGCCGCAGGTACTACATATTTATTGAGAGGCAGAGCTACCACGCTCGTCCTTGACGACTTTTTTTGTAAGGATGTATTCTTGTTAGTTTGTCATTTCCGGATCACTGTAGCAAAGCGAACAAGGCTGCAGTCGATGTCTAGGCGCCAGGCGCCGGTAGCAAAGCCAGACAGCACCGAAACATCATAGACTAGGGGATGTGTTTCACCGTTCATACGTACTTCCCAAAGAAAGGTATTAGTGATTGTGCGAGGGTATAACTGAAGACCAGCTTCGGCCCAACGACAAGAATCTGCATCCGCAAGTGATTAGTACGAAGTTGAACTAGGATAAATGGCAATCACTTTTGGAGTTCAAGCCCTTGAAGAACGCTGTAGGGCCTTCATTCCGGATAAGGTCCCTCATGACCGTCAGGCCAGGCACCTTCTGCTCGAAATTTGCATTCTGGATACGAGTCTTGACTGTGTCTAGGGGCGCTGCAATTGTGATCGATGCAACAGCTCCTGCGATAGATGCAATGAAGTTTTGGGTCCACGTGGCTTTGGAATAGTCAGTGACGCCAAGGGCGTACTCCTTCGTAACCGCCGACGCGCCGAAGAGCTGGAATAGAAGTTCAGAACGATGGGTCCGGCCATCTAAGTAGACTTACCGCAAAGGAGCCTGGCGCATTACGCGCCATGGTCCAACCCCATCCACGGTATAGGGTGGTGCCTTCCTCCATGAATATCCGAAGGACTCCTCGTCCACGGAACGCCTCGGGGTTGACTTGTCGTTTTATCTTCAGGGCGTCTAAGGGAAGTAGGACCTGATAGAACATTACTAACCCGTCAGGAAGCTAAGGTGAAAGATGACTCACAACTTCACCAATACCAGTCAAGCTGCGCGGAGCAATCAGCATATTTGCATTCACCACGTGAAAAATGAAATTTGCCTGCCAGCAGTCGCCTGCATCATCATCTTGCCCTTCCTCTCGCCAAACACGCTCGTGAATTCGTCCTTGTAATTTCGCGTAATGATCTCGTTGAACCACGGCTGCCCACCGAACTTGTATATCCGTTGAGAAACTTTGTACCCTGCTGCATACCCAAGACCGGGGAAGAGAGACAAAAGTTTTTTGGGTAACGATGCCGTAGCGTAGTCGCGGAATACGATCGGGGAGAGCGTCGAGAAGGATACCTGGACGTCAAGGGCAAGGGTGGTCAATAAATTACAGTAAATGAGTTTTATAATAATAATGTACTTTGGCTTTATTGCTCATAAGCCGTTTTGCTACTGTGTCAACTGGGTGAAATACCAGTAACTCGGCGACACCTAATGGCCATGGCAGTGAGCTACTTTGTTGCTTGTACAGCAGACCGGGACTAAGGTACAAACCAGATGCACCAGAACCTAGAACCCGGGCAGTCCCTGATTCTTTACTTTTCCCAGAAGTTGGAGGAGACATAGTTGCGAGGTTCTGGTAGACGGGGGAGATAGCTGAAGTAGTTTGGAGGCGTCTCTATACGTGTCAATGACCCGACCTGCTTATACATGCTTGCATTAAATTTCCTTCAAGTGCGCCATATGTGTTTATACTTGTTTGTCCAGTGATAACGAATGGCTTAAATATAGCAAAATAGCATTCAACTGGATTTATAGGCTAAATTGACCTAAATTTGAGAAAGTCTGCCAAGTCCAGACTCCACTGAGCGGATGAATTTGAAATTCAGCATCTAATCACGGAAGACGGGCCCAGAGCAGAATCCAATGAGAAGAATGACTACTGTCACCGTCTCCCACACTCCGTTAATTGGTTCTCACTGAAATGAAGAGTTTGGGTATCACGCTGGCCTCGTGATCGCTAACAACCTACATGGTCAAGAACATAGTCTGGGAAATTGGAATCACCTCTAACTGGGGCCGTGTCGTAAGCCTTTTGTTTCTCAATTCTATCCCACCACCATGTTCACCAAAGCGAGGGCTTTTAGCATCCTCTGTTTCGCGCTCGCAGCTGGTGCGACAACCCAGACGTTCCTTGGTTTAGGCACTCCCAACCGTGGAACTTCAAGGCAGCCAGTGAAGTCGTTTACACAGTCCTTCACAGCGCCTTACGACGAAGGGTTGTTTATGCCTGTTGAGGAACTCAGTGCACTTTCAGAGGCACAATTCACCACCCTCGGCCATCCTGTATTCCCAAACTATAGCGTCCGGATTAAGAAGTCATCTGATTTCTGTGATGGAACTGTGAAGTGAGTACAGTCTGCAGATATTTAGGACTGATATGATAACGTGTGTAAATCTCAGCACTTACACGGGGTACATTGATATCGAGGCCAGGCATCTATTCTTTTACTTTTTCGAGAGTAGGAACGATCCTGCCAAAGACGATGTGATCTTCTGGACCAATGGTGGTGAGTTGTCTTGTAGGCAGAGTTCTGTTACGGTTCATGCAACGCGTTTATCAGGCCCTGGGTGTTCCTCCAGTCTTGGTGTCTACGTGGAACTAGGACCTTGTCGAGTGGTGAACGACACTAGCACGGTGTTCCATCCCGAGTCCTGGAACTCTAATGCCAATATCTTCTTCGTGGATCAGCCAATTGGTGTTGGTTTCTCGTACGCAGATTATGGAGAGACCGTGGTAGGTCGACCGTCCGTTGCATGAAACCACACTATTAATAAACGTCTGGCAAGAGCACTACTGAGGAAGCTTCGAAAGATATCGCTGCGTTTGTTGCGATTTTCTTTGAAAATTTCACTCAGTTCAAAGGACGTGCGTTCCACATGGCGGGAGAGTCTTATGGAGTACGTATGGTTCCTACCGTTCCGGTGTGGAGAGAGATTAATCGGAAAACTCAAGGGGCGTTACGTCCCAGTCTTTGCTGCTGCAGTCTACGACCAGAATGCCATGTTGACTGCAGCTGGTGTGACGCCAATCAACCTCCAGTCTATCATGATCGGTAACTATCGGCACCAGAAACAATGTTTCATTAGCTTATCCCATGTGCAGGTAACGGTATAACCGACTTTTACACAATGTCGGCGGCCTATGTAGACATGCAATGCACTGGCGCATCAGTCTTCCCTGTGCAGAGCATCTCGTATGTGAATTTCGACATTGACATTTATTGACTGACGTACATATCTCTTCCAGTTCCTGCAATCGTATGAAGCAAGCGGTTCGGTGTCTTTATACAGGTGACATTGTTGGAAGCTGACCCAGTTTACATAGCTCCCTCGGTGCCAAAAGTGGTTGACGGAGTCGTGCATTGATCAGTTCGATTTAATGAACTGTGAAGCAGCTTCGAACTTCTGTGACACCGAGATATCAGAACCTTTTTTCGCGACCGGTAGGTTTAATGATCTCCTTGTCCAGGTGCACACGTTCATATTATGGGTAGGCATGAATCCCTACGATCTCAGCAAGGCCTGCGATGGACCTATCGCAGAGACGTTATGTTACCCGATCACGCTGTGAGCCGACAGTCTTTTTGTGCAACCAGCATAGCTAACTCCATGCTAGGTCTATGGCAAAATACCTTGACCAAGCCCTCCGTGCGTCACAAACTCGGCGTGGATCCCGCTGTCACAGGTAACTATAGCTCCTGCAGTGATCCCGTTGGACAGGCTTTCTCGTTGGCTATGGATGAGTATCACGCAACATACCCTCACGTTGCCGCACTTCTTGAGCGCGGCGTACGCGCATTGATATATGTGGGTTCGTATGACTGGATTTGCAACTGGCTTGGTAACCAGGCGTGGACGCTCAACATGGAGTGGAGCGGCAAAGAGGCGTTTGGGCAGCAACCGCTCGAGTCTTGGCTGGTTGAGGGGAAAGTTGCTGGAAAGACTAGGAGTGCAAATGGACTCACGTTTGCTACTGTGGATGGTGCAGGCCATATGGTCAGTCTCAAGCTCTTCAACTTCGTTGCAATGCCGACTCAAAGTCACAGGTCCCGCTCGACAAACCCAAAGAAGCACTCACCATGGTACAACGTTGGTTGGCTGGAAGTGGTTTGTAGGTGTTCACACAAATACCCAAGTATATCCGTTTATAGTACGTTCCCCGACAAAACTTGGAAGCAGATACAATTTTATTTTGAGTTCTCCCTCAATATGCCTGATGGTATCCGTTAGAAGACGACAGTTCATCGCAAAGCATGCACGAAGGACATTCACGCAGCCCCGACTTAGACTTTCAAGTACCAGACGACCAATATGAACTCTGTTATTCACCTAATTCCCCCTACTCTGGCTTCTCAGTTCCAGACTCGTCCGAAGCTTCCGATTCCCGTATTACGACCGCGTGCTCTGAAATCGATGTAACCGAACTACTCAGACTGAATACTCCTGACTCTATTTCAATTGTTCAAGGCGCAACAACTGGAAGTTAGCATCAGCCTGCAATAAAGATGGAGACTGCGATATCCTGATTGCAACGTGTGGTCCCAAACGAACATTCCGTCTAACATTCCACTATGGTCCGAAGGACAATTCAAGTCCTTGAGCAATCACCGAGGCAGCAAAAAGTGAACGCGAAGATACTTGACTATATAATGTCATTGTTACAGTCACAAACTAAGTACATCATGACGCTGGTAGACCCTTAGAGACAACATCTTTTTAATAACAAGCGGTGAACTAAATGTTATCCTGCGTCCTCCTGGTGCTCCTGCCAGTCTTGCGTAGCAAACACTGTTTGATTTATTTCCGACGTTTTGATGAGCTATTAGCGGTGTCCGATTCGAGTACGCTGTTGCTATTGATCAGACACTCGTCCACAGTTCGCTTTCTGGATGTGCCAACAGCGGTGTTGGGCCTTGGAGAGGGAAAGGGTGGCCGAAGCTTCCGTTGTTGAGTGCCGGGAATTGGGACCGATGGCTGGCAACCGTTTATTGGGCTGTGCGTTGAAGGCTCAAACTAAGGATGAGAGAATTAAAGGAGGTTCCACAAGATGAAAAAAAAAGTCAAACCTGAGGCAAGGCAATAACCTTTGCAAGTTTCTGCCCCTCGGATAAAATATCAAGACAAGACCGCAGTCCCTTCAAACACCACTGCTGTTCGAGCCAGGAAAGGAGGTGACGATTCCAGAAAACCTGAAATATATGGCTGAGAGAGTCGTCCCATGGATTTGGAGCACGCGACAGGTGAACAACCCAGTTTTGAGATGCATACTTAAGAGCGTCGGAAGATGACTGACTTCGTCCCTGTGCCTCGTTTGCAAAGGCTGTAAAGAGATTCATAGCACGGATGATCTCCCTGTCAGGAACTTCTGGCGATGCAGAGGTGAAATGATCTTGGGGTATCAACGCCAGGAACATTGGAAACATCAAGAAATCCGGTAAGCTTTTGAGCTGCTGGAATACTTGAAAGGTTGGCAGCAAAGCCAATTCTGGGGCAATGATATAGTTGCTGACTGCTTCCAACGTACTCGAGAATTCTTCCATGGTCGCCCATACGGACCCCGCAGGAGTGGACTGCCACGCTTGGCCATGGGGCGTCTGGATCCAGTTTTCGGCCGCCAAGGGTCTGCAGCCACTCTCGTCCTCCCTCGGTCTGCAGCCACTCTCGTCCTTCCTCGGTGTCCAGCCACTCTCGTCCTTCCTCGGTGTCCAGCCACTCTCGTCCTCCCTCGGTCTGCAGCCACTCTCGTCCTGCCTCGGCGTCCAGCCACTCTCGTCCTTCCTCGGTGTCCAGCCACTCTCGTCCTCCCTCGGTGTCCAGCCACTCTCGTCCTCCCTCGGTCTGCAGCCACTCTCGTCCTTCCTCGGTGTCCAGCCACTCTCGTCCTCCTCGGTGTCCAGCCACTCTCGTCCTCCCTCGGTCTGCAGCCACTCTCGTCCTGCCTCGGTGGTCCAGCCACTCTCGTCCTTCCTCGGTGTCCAGCCACTCTCGTCCTCCCTCGGTGTCCAGCCACTCGAGTCCTTCCTCGGTGTACAGCCACTCTCGTCCTGCCTCGGTCTGCAGCCACACTCGTCCTTCCTCGGTGTCCAGCCACTCTCGTCCTCCTCGGTGTCCAGCCCTCTCGTCCTCCTCGGTGTCCAGCCACTCTCGTCCTCCCTCGGTCGCAGCCACTCTCGTCCTTCTCGGTGTCCAGCCACTCCTCCTCCTTCACGGCCTGCAGCCACTCTCGTCCTGCCTCGGTCTGCAGCCAATCTCGTCCTGCCTCGGTCTGCAGCCAATCTCGTCCTCTCCAGGTCTGCAGCCACTGGAGTCCTCTCCGGTCTGCAGCCACTCGAGTCCTTCCTCGGTGTCCAGCCACTCTCGTCCTCCCTCGGTCTGCAGCCACTCGGGTCCTTCCTCGTTATGCAGCCAATTGAGTCCTCTCCAGGTCTGCAGCCAATCTCGTCCTGCCTCGCTCTGCAGCCAATCTCGTCCTCCCTCGGTCTGCAGCCAATCTCGTCCTCCCTCGGTCCGCAGCCAATCTCGTCCTCTCCAGGTCTGCAGCCACTCTCGTCCTTCCTCGGTGTCCAGCCACTCTCGTCCTCCCTCGGTCTGCAGCCACTCGGGTCCTTCCTCGTTATACAGCCAATTGAGTCCTCTCCAGGTCTGCAGCCACTCTCGTCCTGCCTCGCTCTGCAGCCAATCTCGTCCTCCCTCGGTCTGCAGCCAATCTCGTCCTCCCTCGGTCTGCAGCCAATCTCGTCCTCTCTCGGTCTGCAGCCACTCTCGTACTCCCTCAGTCTGCAGCCACTCTCGTCCTCCCTCGGTCTGCAGCCACCCTCGTCCTGTCTGGGTCTGCAGCCAGGCACACCCGTCCACGGTCCCCAACCAATATTGTAAACCTGAAGTACGATCTCCCCGAAGCCATAGCATACAGATGAGAATCGACATTGGCGCTGGCGGCCGAACAAGGAAGGATAGCGAAGATTGTAATTGATGGGGGTCCTCAGGTCGCATAGCTTGGCTCTGTTTCTTCAGTTCTGAGAGCGCATCCAAAAGGGCCGTGCTTTCTGGAATATTTTTCACCATCAAGCGAAAAGAGGAATCAGCGAGTAGCGAGTGGGCTGGTGGCATATCATGTTCGTGTACTTGAGGGAGGCCGCAGTTTGAGGGGTCGGAAACATAGTCGCGAATGGACGAGTGATAGATATTCACGGGGAGAGTGCTGTCCGTAGGGATATCCATGACAGACCGTAGCTGTATCAGCGTTATCTGCACATCCCTACCCAAACCAGGGCCAAGAAGTGACGAGATTTGCGAGATGGGAAGAGGGTCCGCGAGCGCTGCGACGATGGACAAATGAGTGTATGCCCGCTTGGGGTCAGCACACGTGGAGAGAATACAATCGTATAACTTGTACACCTCCGTTCCTGGCAGCAGTTCGCTCGTTAGCTTGAGCATCAGCTGCAGCCGACCATGGGGATCATCGTCTTCATTGTCGATAATGAACTTCATCATCGTAGACGCCACGATGAAACGTCTGCCCGCTCGGCTCGCCAGCTTCGCAAGATCATCTTTCGATGGCTGAGGGAAATCAGTATGGCGACTTGCCAGCTCTGCGAAGGAATGCTGCAAGAAAATATAAATGTCTTCGTCAACATCGGCGCCGTCGAGCGAGATGATGGTAGCAACACCCTCCCCAGAAGTTCTCACGGGTATTTCGCACAACAACTGTTGCACCTCCTTGTCCTGAAAGGCTTTGCGGATATGTGATTCCGAGCGACTCGTGAGTAGAATGTGCGTCAGGGGTAGATCAGGCTCACGAAGAGCCCGTGCAAGGGAAAGGATAAGTTCGGTAAGCTCGGCTTCGGATGTGCATTCATCAAGGGCATCGACAACAAACGTCAGAGGCGGACACTCGCGCAATCTGGATCGAAGCAACCGGAGAGGTTTGAGAAAGAGAGCCTTCATCTGGTCACAGAGAGGTGCGTCGGGGAGTAGTAGAGCAGGATTATCGCGGATGACTCTGTTCACATCCTTCCGGATGGATGGAAAATTGTTGGCAAGCTGGTAGGCAAGCGTTGCAAAGAAATATCCAGCCGTGCAACGTTTGGTATGCTTGCGCGAGAAAAAGAATGTTCCCGCTAGCCGCATTTCGACATTCGTCTCCTCCGTTACTTTTAGACCTTGCATCCTCTCAGCTACGGTGAACGCGACGGCAGACTTTCCGACACCTGCCGTGCCATACAGCCATATAAGTTGATTCTGCTTCTCTTCGTCTAGTAATCGGTGAATGTATTTGAGGAATTCCACTCGGGTCCTTTCCAGACACTTCGGGTGGGGCAGACGTTCAGGGGAGTTATATTGAGCACCCTGGACAGCAACTTGTGACAGCCTCGCCCAAGTTCCTTCAAACGATGGAAGAACTGTCAAAAAAGTCAGAAAGCAAGAGAGGGAAAAGAATGGGAACAACCGACATTGTTCCTCACTCATTCACGAAGATTGTGGTATGCGTGATGAAATGGACAAATTGAGAGTACTACTAGCTGGGTGCGGTTAGAAATCGTCTAGGCGATATCTATCACCAGGGCCGACGTACGAAGATTTGAAGGATCTGTTGGAATCAAAGTAGTAAGTTATCGACTCAGGGTCCCAAAGCGCGATGGAGATGGGATGGGATAAATGGATGCTTCAATCTATGGAAAGCTTGCTGGACGGTGGGTGCTTGTCCACTTAACTGCAGGAGGCCACGAAGTTGCTGTGCATGCTGTACTAGCTGTACTAAGTATTACGTCTTAAGATGTGTTATGTAAGTAAAAGGATAAAAGCTCTGGAGCCTTGCCTCATTACCACTTACATGCCGATGTACTTGCGCCACAGGAAATACGAAATTTTGGCTTACACAACGGTTATACTGAACGAGCTCAAAGTTTCTTATAATAAACAAAGACGGTGAGTTTGTAAAATGGAATGTGGCCTATCGATTTGGAAATAGCTGTAATCGGTTCTTATTTGAGTGAATTTGAATCTGGCTGGCCTCATGATCCCCTGATGACCTATGTGATAGTCGAGAACATGACTTGGAAATCACCTTTAACTAGGGCCGCGTCGTAAGCCTTTTGTTTCTCAACTCCACCTTACCAACATCATGATGTTCACCAACGGAAGGGCTCTCAGCATCCTCTGTTTTGCGTTCACAGTTGGTGCGACAACCCAAACGTTCCTTGGTCTAGGCACTCCCAACCGTGGAACTTCAAGGCAGTCGTTTGCACAGTCCTTCACTGCGCCTTACGACGAAGGGTTGTTCATGCCTGTTGAGGAACTCAGTGCACTCTCAGAGGCACAATTCACCACCCTCGGCCATCCTGTATTCCCAAACTATAGCGTCCGGATTAAGAAGTCATCTAATTTCTGTGATGGAACTGTGAAGTGAGCACAGTCTGCAGATGTTTAGGACTGATACGATAACGTGTCTAAACCTCAGCGCTTACACGAGGTACATTGATATCGAGGCCAGGCATCTATTCTTTTACTTCTTCGAGAGCAGGGACGATCCTGCTACAGATGATGTAATCTTCTGGACTAATGGTGGTGAGTTGTACTGTGAGGAGATTTCTGTTGCGGTTCATGCAACGCGTTTACCAGGTCCCGGGGGTTCCTCCAGTCTTGGCGTCTATGTGGAACTAGGACCTTGTCGAGTGGTGAACGACACTAGCACGGTGTTACACCCCGAGTCCTGGAACTCTAATGCGAATATCTTCTTCGTGGATTAGCCAATTGGTGTTGGTTTTTCGTACGCAGATTATGGAGAGACCGTGGTAGGTCGAACGTCCGTTGCATGAAACCACACTATTAATAAACGTCTGGCAAGAGCACTACTGAGGAAGCTTCGAAAGATATCGCTGCGTTTGTTGCGATTTTCTTTGAAAATTTTACTCAGTTCAAGGGACGTGCGTTTCACATGGCTGGAGAGTCTTATGGAGTACGTATGGTTTCTACCGTTCCTGCTTGGAGAGAGATTAATCAGGAACTGAAGGGGCGTTACGTCCCAGTCTTTGCTGCTGCAGTTTACGACCAGAATGCCATGTTGACTGCGGCTGGTATGACGCCAATCAACCTCCAGTCTATCATGATCGGTAACTATCGGCACCAGAAACAATGTTTCATTAGCTTATCCCATGTGCAGGTAACGGTATAACCGACTTTTACACAATGTCGGCGGCCTATGTAGACATGCAATGCACCGGCGCATCAGTCTTCCCTGTGCAGAGCATCTCGTATGTGAATTTCGACATTGACATTTATTGACTGACGTACATATCTCTTCCAGTTCCTGCAATCGTATGAAGCAAGCGGTTCGATGTCTTCATACAGATGGCATTGTCGGAAGCTGACCTATTTTCCATAGCTCCCTCGGTGCCAAAAGTGGTTGACGGAATCATGCATTGACCAGTTCGATTTAATGAGCTGTGAAGCAGCTGCAAAATTCTGTGAAACCGAGATATCAGGTCCTTTTTTGGCGACCGGTAGATTTAATGATCTCCCCATCCACGTGCACACGTTTATGCTATGGTAGGCGTGAATCCCTACGATCTCAGCAAGACCTGCGATGGACCTATCCAGGAGACGTTGTGTTACCCGATCACGCTGTGAGCCGACAGTCTTTTTGTGCAACCAGCCTAGCCAACTTCAGGCTAGGTCTATGGCAAAATACCTTGACCAGCCCTCCGTGCGTCACAAACTCGGCGTGGATCCCGCTGTCACAGGTGACTATAGTGCCTACAATAGTCAGGTTGGACAGGCTTTCTCGTTGGCTATGGATAGCTATCACGCAACATACCCTCACGTTGCCGCACTTCTTGAGCGCGGCGTACGCGCATTGATATATGTGGGTTCATATGACTGGATTTGCAACTGGCTCGGTAACCAGGCGTGGACGCTCAACATGGAATGGAGCGGCAAAGAGGCGTTTTGGCAACAACCGTTCGAGTCTTGGCTGGTTGAGGGAAAAGTTGCTGGAAAGACTAGGAGTGCAAATGGACTCACGTTTGCTACTGTGGATGGTGCAGGCCATATGGTCAGTCTCAAGCTTACCTTCAACTTCGTTGCAATGCCGACTCAAAGTCACAGGTCCCGCGCGACAAACCCAAAGAAGCACTCACCATGGTACAACGTTGGTTGGCTGGAAGTGGTTTGTAGGTGCTCACACAAATACCCAAGTATGTCCGTCTATAGTACGTTCCCCCACAAAACTTGGAAGCAGATACAATTTTATTTTGAGCTCTAACGCCCGATGCTACAAACATGATGCTACAAACATGACTAGTCCAACACCCGTTGTGCCTTCGGCACAGGAAGCAAACGGAGCGCTTCGCGCTCCTTTTTGGCTTCCTGGCCTTGGCTGCATCCTAATAATATGTGCAGTAAATTTATTGACATGTGCTGCACTCGAACGGGCAATGGTATTGAGTCGGCGCTCGAAACCACGTGACAAAACCACGCGAGATTCCAAAAAGAGGTTTAAGCGAGCTAAGCGTTCCTAAGCGAATCTAAGCGCATCTAAGCGTATCTACGCGAAAGCCACGCGAGCTGGCGAGACGCTTCCCACACCGTCGCACCTTACTTTATAGATTCTGACCAAACATTCAACAAAGACGTGTACTATTATGGTACGCGCAATCGGCAGCCCCCAGAAGTCGGCAGTCACGCAAATGTCACAGTAAGTCACGACATGTTACTGAGCCAGTTTCAAAGTCAGCTCGGCAGTCAAGCAGGAGCGCAAGGAAGTGAGTTAGTATTCGGCGTGAGCAAGCAAGTACAGTATATACTAGTAGAATCTAAGTACGAGGGTGACCATGATTAGTACCGTAGTTGTATAATTGAGGGGGATGTGTAGGGAGACTGTGTGTGTTGTAAGGATGCTGAGGTTGTCTGTCCAAGTTTGATGATGACGCAATGGGACCGCCGGATGAATTATTATGTTGCGTTGTAGAGTAAGATGGTGCGCGGAGAGCTGGATTAGCATAAAATTGATGAAAATATGGCTGGTTAGTAAAGTGTGGAGGATAATATGGATTAAAAGAATGTGCACTGGCAGGTGGGGTGAAAAAATGAGTACCGGAAGTGTTGGATGAGGTAGCGTCATTGTCTTGCGAGGCGCCACTACTAGCCTGTCCTGTCGATGACGCAGTGGCTAAATTCTTATTCTTCGAACGCGTTTTTCCCGTCTGGAAGAGCGCAGCAAAACGTGGATTGTAGGCAAAGTGCTGATTTGCGGCATCAGCAAGAAACTCTTTGAGTCTAGTCCTGAGTTCCTCAACCGTTCCGTCTCTTGAAATCTTGAGAGCGCCAGCAAGTGCGATAAAATGATCATCCTTGCGCCGGAGTGTTGAGAGTTTATCAAACGTCTTCGACTCGATATCGCGTTCGATCTGAGTGTGGCGCGCTTCATCTTCTGTCTTCTTTTTGGCCTGCTTCTCCGCGTCGGCCTTATCCTTTTCACGCTGCTCTAGCCCCATGACCAGCAGCACAGCACCAGTCGGCACTGGCAAGGCACTGGTGTGTGCAGTATTGAAACTCCGTCACGGCATATATCGGCAGGTGACATTTCTGCGTGACTTCGGCACTTTCAGCTATCTCATTCAATTCTGCTTCAAATGTATTCGTTTGACCTCGTATCGAGTTGTGTTAGAGAGAGAATGATGTCTATGTAAAGAATTTTGTGTTTAGGTAGCTGGAAACACGAGTTTTGTGAAAGTGCCGACTTCTGGGGGCTGCCGATTGCGCGTACCATAATAGTATGAGTCAGTCAGTAATTGGCGCAAGAGCACATTGTAGAGTGTCTCACGACAACAAACCGTGATTGTAATATCAATCATGGTTACTTGTATTTGGATGACGAATCACAGCTCGACGACCACAGTCTAATTTCGGAAGGGCAGAGTCACGATTTGGATCGCGTTTTCCAGGTGAACAGGACAAGTTTTCTTTCAGTTGTAGGACCCACACTCCATTAGTCTGGCCTTTACTAACGCGGGCCCGCCTGTGCACTCATCCCTCGTCAAATCCAACTGCCCACACTGTTCGACAATCTGGCGCAAAGGCGCCAGAAGCGAGTTACGAAGATGGTGTCCGTCACCGTAGAAAGAATGATGAGGCCTGAGGACTGGGAATCAAATAGCGTTCGGTACTGTGGAGGCAAGCAGCTTTGCCTGACTTTTACTTGGCCGGAGCCCCGACAAGAGGTGCGCTCTCGATAACATTCAAAAACCTTATCAATTGATATTGGAATGGTGGCGACATGAAAGACCTACATCCTCTTGAATGATAACAGTAGTACTTAGGCCATCTGGTTTACTAAATGTCAGGTTCACTTAACAATACTTGCTGATTGGCCTGAAAGTCTGGGACTCTACCTAGATGCAGTTGCGGCACCGCATATAACATACATGACACCGAGTCCGGAGGATGTGCAATTATTATATTCAAATCCTATGGCGTGATGTACATGAACAAGAAAAATCATCAAGAGTATTCGACAAACACCTGCAAGATAGGCGCAATCAGCAATCGAAGTAAATGGATGGGATGAGCAGAGAGTAAAAAAAGTCTCAGAAGTAAATATGGTGAGGTCATGTCCTGCTTGTCGGGCAGGTCGTATTCATTAAAATCAGTATATTTTTAAGATCATGGACGACATAAATGTGCATAATATGAAGGACAAAAGAATGCCAGACTCACGTTATGTAGTAGGGATCAGGATTATAGACAGACGGAGATGTCCCAGAGAAAAATCGACATGCCACGGCCTCAGGATGGCACCGCGACACTTCCTATAGTGGGTTTGTTCTCGAAGGTAAACAAAGACTCGTAGAGTCCATGGCACTGAGTCGACAGTGGAAAATTCTGCAAAACGACCAGCGTGGCAAGCCTTCTTGAAGGCACATCAAAAAAATAATACGGCTTATATAGAATGTTTCAAGCGGAGCTCAAACCTGTACTCAGCAAGCGCCAAGTCATATATTCTCAGGGGCCTGCTTGACTGCGATCGACCTGACGCCATGCCCATTACACTTGAAGGGAGCTGCCATTGTGGTACTGTGCGATTTACGGTGGAAAGCAGCACACCTGTCCCATATCAGGTGAGCAGATCCCAAACATCTTAAACCTCTAGAATTTTTCGAGTTGTGACTGTGGATAAAGCTATGTGTATGTTCCATCTGCCGCAAAGTAGGCGGTGTTGGCGGCTCGATCAATCTTGGTGCGCACTCCGAAACCTTGATTATCACCCAAGGTAAAGAACATATCGGGTACGTAGTTCAGTCACAAAACTTCCCTTGCGTCCTTGTTGAGTATGAGAATAAGAGTGTATAAGGCTGTGATGGACAGGGATACTCCAGAAGAGCATATCGCCGTTTCTGAGCGCAATTTTTGCACTAAGTGCTCTTCTATGCTCTGGCTTTATGACGAAACCTGGTGAGTATTTGAGTGATATTTGTGCAGCGAATGTTTTATCACGATATATTGGCATGAAGGCCTGAACTATTGCATCCATTTGCATCGGTTATCGACTCCCCAGAGCTAGATGTGCCTGATGAGCTTGTAAGTGTTCTTAGCCACTCAAGTGCGGTTACTGATGCTATGGATTTCAAAAGGTTGTTGTTAAAACGAACTCAAAGCCGAACTACGTGCGCCTTCCAGAGGGAAGGAAGAACGTGTTTGAGGATTATTCCAGTGATTCAATTGAGAGCTGGCACAAGAAGCACAACAAGTACGTGAAGTGAAATACTGACTTTGTCAGAAGCATGAAAGAGCGAATGGAATTCTATGTGCGCTCAAAACTGGGAAGGAGATTACCGACGAACTGGCCGGACAATTGTATAACTTGAGTAGCACTTGCCCTGTATTATGAACATCAGCCAGTAATTGGGCAGAGCTGCTAGTCGTGAATCACTGATTCGAATTTGTAAAATCACGTGGTGAGACGCGTCCCATCTGGCACGTGACCATGATACGCGTTTCCATTCCCAGGGTTGAAACATACTAGTATTACTACTACTTGCATCGATCTGCGAAGACATACTTCGCGCCTTTATTGACGACGACCACAACCTCAAGATATATGCTAACGATGGCGTCCACACCTGCACCCAGCAAGCTCACACGTTCTATACCTTTCACACCCAAACGTCCGCTTTCCATGGCATCCAGCAGTGAACTCCCTTCTACAATAAAGACTAGCGTTCTTGGTTCTACAGCAAAGAAATTTAAGGCAGCTTTATCCTCTGAGTCCAGACTACGGACTACTGCCACGACCAAGTCGTCTCTTGCAACTGTGCCCGCAACTCCAGCAAAGAAGTCCATCGAAGGAACTCGCCCACGCACACCTGGAACGCCTAGGAGTCAGACTCCAAGCTCCCACATAACCACGAGTGATATGGATGTTAGTCGAATTGATCCAGAAGATGCACTAGTCGATTTTCAGACTGTCGAGCCCGGTGATATTTCAGCAGACATCGATGAAGCAATGATCCCCGGGCCTAACTACGGAAAGGAAGACAAGGTTCTTGTATCTATCAGGTTATTTCGCTCCTCTGGTTTATTCTTGACACATACTGAAACCATTCCAATACACAGAATCCGCCCTACCACCTCTGCACATCCCGCATGGGATCACAGCGCACAACGCACCATAAAGCTTTTCCCTCAATACGCCAAGTCAACTGCCACCACACCACCAGAGTTTCATTTTGACGAAGTTATTACTGGCTCTGAGAATCGGCCGGTCTATAATGCTGTTGCTCGCAGCCATGTCTGCGCTGCCATGGACGGCTACAATGCTATTATTTTCGCTTATGGCCAAACAGCCAGCGGGAAAACATTCACTCTTGTGAGACCGCGCCTTTGCATCTACATTTGAAATGTTCTTACTTTCATTTAGTCTGGGAGCGAAGATCAACCGGGCATAATACCACGTGCAATGAAGGATGTGTTTGCTTACATCCGCCGCACACCCACTCGTGAATATCTTCTTCGGTGCTCTTACCTCGAAATTTACAATGAAACGATATATGATCTGCTCGCATCGCCTTCAATGTCTGCTGCTCAACCTGTTCAGATTCAGGGTTCGGGTATTCTAACGCCACTTCGAGAAGAAGTTGTAACAAGCTTGAAGGGTGTCAAAGAAGTCCTTGAACGAGGAGAAAGAAACAGAAGGACGGCTAGCACAGACTGGAATGAGCGGAGTAGTCGAAGCCACAGCGTATTCCGACTTGTAGTGGAGAGCAGAGAAAGGGGAGAGGGAAGGAGCGAGACACCAAGCGGCCGTCACACTCCTGGCACACGCCCACCGACACCTGGCGGTCCTCGATTACAGACCCTCGGAGGAAGAAGCGTGCAGACTTCGGTGCTGGTGGGCTTCATTCTCTTTTCGGTCTCAGTGGGGGTATTGAATATCATCATCCAGAGCCTGATTGATCTTGCTGGTTCCGAAAAAGCTACTTCGGATAAAGAGAGAACCAGGGAGGGGAAGTATATCAACACCAGCTTGCTGACACTTGGAAGCGTCATTGGTACTCTTGCAGAGAACGCTGCAAAGAATAAAAAGTCAGAGGCGTCATCTTATGCTATGCTTGGGATACTTAAACTGTCTTTCTCAGTGACCACGTACCTTATCGTAACTCCAAGCTAACACGACTGCTCCAGCCTTCACTATCAGGAGATGCTCGAATCTCGGTCATATGCACCATCAATCCCGATGCAAATGCCGTGGCAGAAAGTACGAGCACGCTTTTGTTTGCTCAGAGAATTAAACGAGTGCAGGTTCGCCGTGTTCTTCCTGTTCATTGCTCCGAGGATGCTGATTCTTCGCGCTCGTAGCTCAATGCGAAGAAGAAAGAGATTGTCGATACTGATGCTTTGATAGAACGATACAGGAAAGAGATCGAGGACCTCAAGAATAAGCTTTCAGAACGAGAAGCAGAGGCGCCAGCTCGAACTCGCAGGCTCTCAGCACGCGAGGTAATGTCCGCCTCCCGCTACATAATTCTCAACAGACTGATTTTTGTCACAGCAACTTGATGAATCAAAAGCGATGAAGGACCTCAACTCTCGAATCCAGCAGCTCACGAAACTCATTCTGACATCTCAAACGGTTGATGAAAGCAAAGGAGACGAATCACGTCCCGCCAGCCCATCCAAAGTTGATTTCGATATGTCACCATACCAGGTTTGTACACTCGGTACTGTTGGACCGTTCTATCTAGTTAAACAATGCCGATTCATGACAGCTTCAACAAGAGCTTCTCGCGACTCGCCGTCAACTCGAGTCACAGTCGACTCAAATTCTTTCCCTAGAAGCTGCTCTCCTTTCTCGCCCAGAACTTCCACCGGATGCTTCAGAAACCGAGAAAGACAAGCTTATTGGTGAGCAAGCGAAGACGATCCGTGAGCTTGAAATTGTAGTACGTGGGTATGAGGATAATCTAGGGGAGCCTCTGAGAGCCGTCAGAGAGGATGTTGAAAAGGAGTGGGTCGGAAAACTTGAAGAAGAAGTAACGAAGCGAGAAGAAAAGGAGGCTTGGGCAGCCGAACTTGTCAGGCAGCTGGATAAAGAAAAGAAGGTCAGCTTTTGCATGTTGCCATGCGTTCTTTTATGGTTCTAAGAACCGAATATAGCTGAGGATAAAGCTTGAGGAAGAACGCCGTGCTCTTGCATCTTTTGTCAGCAAATTCGATTCGCTAGGCCTTAGCGCACTGCCATCAAAGCTCAAGCCTCCAAAACCAACGCCGGGAGGTGCATCAGCTGCATTCGCTGAACGTCAACAGAGCCGAGCCGCAAATGTGGCGCCTGCAATCATCGAAGATGTAGAATGCTCTCCCGCCCGTGTTGATTTTAGCAGTATGAAGGCGCAGCCAAGTCTTCTGGATCAAATGCCCGAGGATGAGTGGTGTATCATGGACGATGTAAGTTTCGAGATGGAGTCTGTGAAGCATAAGTCCGGAGCGACGAGGTCGGAGAGTTCAGACAAGAACGTTCTGTGGAGCAAGGAGAATATACCATTGTAACTTTTTCGAGGTCCGTTGGCAGTAACTCCGGATCACTTGTACATCTCATCTTGTTTTAATACGTTTTCACTTTCATTTCTGTATCACTGGCAATTCATGGATAACTGGGTTATTCTTGCCCCGTTTTTATCAAGAGATCGTTCGTGTTCTTCCTCCTGTATCTGACGCTGAAGTTTCTCCTCATGGACTTCAGAACCTTTTCTGCACAGTATTTTACTCGATCTATGGATAATATATCACATTGGACAAGGTACCCGTCGAGCTTCTCGTTAAATCCCTTCTCTGAGGAAGTCTGCGTTTGCAACGTTTATTTTAAAGGTACCATGCAAGTCTCATTTGAAATTTGAATCACTTGAGAGCCATAAATGGAGATGCAAAGCGTCACGGACAAGAGGAGTTCGGAGTTGCAAAAAGCCAAATTTGGAATCTTTGATAGCATGGTTTCTCGCCGAAAGTCTGGTCCGACTCCGGCCATCCATCCTCCATCCTGTCTGTCTGATCTGCGAGAGCCATATATATCGTGCATAATACATATGTTCCATCGTTGTTGATACTAGATTTGCCTACGTGAGCGGGTTTCAGGCACAACCGTCTTAAATTTCAAACAGATCTCACTGTCAGGCTCGAACAATATTGCCTAGCATATGATTGAACCTTGCAGGCACATGTCCTTCGCGTTAGACGACCGTCGACAACATACAGACACGATCGATGCTATGACAGCCAACTCAAAAGCAAAATTTTCCTTGGTCTCGGATATCATTGGTGCTCTGCAAAACGTCGTAAGCAGTTTCATAGACACTTTTCTGCATATAACAATAAACAAATTACTTCAGCTCGCTCATTCACAAGTAATCGTATGTCAATCGAGTTTAATGCATGTATCGATGTCATTGATTCACGATGAAGCAGATACCAGACCTCAAAACCCAGTATCCTATTAGCAATACGCACTACTCTGCCTTCAACCTCAATTACCAGGACATCAGTGCCATCATCACCGAACGCCAGCAACAATTGGATGCAGCATCCCACGAAATCTCACGTTTTGAAACAGTCATAGATGGTATCAACCATATTCACCAACAACTGGTCGCGAAGAAGGACAAGATCACTCAGTCCATGAATTCGCACAAGCGACTTGTATCAGCTCTCTGGCGCTTGCCAGCCGAAGTACTATCCCAGATTTTTGCTCACTGTCTCCCGAATCGGCACCGCTTGTCGCCCACGTCAAAGGCAGTTCCTATGGTGTTGACAAGAATATGTCGACGATGGAGGGAGGTTGCTGTGGATATGTCCAGTTTGTGGCAAGGACTAAATGTGGACAAAGACTGGCAGCGGGCAGCTTTCTGCTATGAGTCATGGCTCAAGCGATCACGAGGGCGTCCACTCTCGTTGGAACTCCAGTGTTGCAAAAGCAACTGGACTGAGCTGCGAAGCCTTCTTCAGCCCTACATAAATCAACTCTCGTCTCTGTCTCTTGATTTTTACCACAACGACCTCCAACCTGAGGTTATAATATCAGACTTCCTCGCACTTGAGGAGCTGACCATATCATTGCATTTTAATTATCAGGCTCCCGTCGTCCAATCTATCTCGCAACCGCCATGCACTCTACGCAGTCTCACGGTAACAGGGACGTTCTTCAACATGGAGTACGCAACTACCTTCAATCCCGCCTGGACCCGCCTCACAAATATCCAGATCGACCTAGACGAACCAAGTGCATTCCCCCAATTGCTCCGTTTATGCCCCAGCCTCTCCTCCTTGACGATAACTACATTTTTTATCACCATGGAGACCTTGGAGCCGTTCACGCACACCCAACTCCAATCCTTACGGATCATTTCCAACGATTATGACCACGACAACGAGCCTCGTAACCTATTCGGTACCCTCTCACTCCCCAATTTGCGCGCTCTCGAAGCTCGCGCTATGTACTCATGGCCTCATGAGTTCAAGGCATTTTTGACGCGGTCAAAGTGTCCCCTGGAGAGCCTGACTCTCGGCTCCCACTTATCAGTAACAGACGAGCAGCGAGCGGAATACGTGGCCCTTATTCCTTCTCTCAAAGTGCTAGTAGTTTAGAGCTTTGCGTAAACAAACTCGCCACGGACTCGCGAAATGACGATGATGGAATCAGACTTAGACTGTTATGATCTCTATGTATTCTACGCAAGTGATTTAAACTCAAATTCTATAACGACTCATATGTAGGTGCTTTCCACGATCAAGATGAGTCGCTGACTTCGGGAAGCACCACGCTGTACTGGTAGCTTCGGATACAGGTACAACGTACGCAAGGTACACATACAGCTCAGGATAGATGCCAAAGAGCAGGCAAGAAAGAACTGCGCTATGCGAAATAAGCACACCTCTGCTCTGAATTGACTGACGGTAGGTCGTCTCGCGGTGCATGTCAGTGCTGGTGGTAACAGAGTGTTTGAGAATTCGAGGCGTCGAACGACTCGAACCAAACAACTTGAGTCACAGAGGGCGGGCATCGATGGCAATTTGTAAGTAGTATGGGTCTGGGGGAAGTTTTGGGGGCAAGCCTGAGAAACCTTGCAAAGAAGAATGGACGGACTGCAGGACGGACGTACTGCCGTCGGAGAGTCAAAACGGCAGTGTGACACGATGACTTAGTTGTTGTGTTGTGAAAAACTGGTCGGAACCTGGGCCAGAGATAGTACAAACAAACTGAATTTGATTTATTGACAGAACAGTCGCGTGACAGTCAACTGGCTATATAGATACAGAGATGCAAAATGACCAAGGAAAATGTGAGATGCAAGCAAAAGGGTCGTGATCCAGAAAAAGAAAAGAGATCTATACACAAACAAAATCTAAAGTGGTATGGAGCAAATGAAATCAAAAGCACATGGTATCCTTTATAGCCTTTCCACGAACTGACACGCATCCTTGAGCTGCTGAGATGTTTGTCCAATCTACATAATCGAGTGTTAATTGATTTGTCTTCCTGGCGTATCAAACACTTACGTTTTCGGGATTGAAAGGTGAGAAATGGTCACCTGGAATTGACCAAGTTTTTACAGGGGACTGTGTGAGGGCTTCCCATTCGCCAACGACGGCACTTTCACTTCCACGATATTGCAACCATTTGGGAACGTCCAAACCCGGAGGAGCATACCCCTCAGACGAGCGAAGGAGAACTATCGGAACTTCAAGCTTTCCTTGACGAGATGGATCGTAGACAGAAAGGAGTCGCGAGCTTTCTTTAAATTGTTCCGCGACAAGACTTATGGTCCCTGAATCAATTCCTCCGGAGTGTGCCCTCGTGACGTGGTCTATGACTGATGATGAAAGGGGCACGTGTTTGCCAGGACAAGGAGAGTCGATGAGAACGATGCCATGGACACGGACGCCATTCTGAGCAAGCCTCTTGGCGGTTTCGAAGGCTACCACGCCACCAAATGACCACCCTGTGTTGCACCGTTAATAATGTCCTGCTGAGCAATAGTAACCGGACCGCTTACCGCCAATGATGATCCGATCTGTTTTCGCACCCAAAACGGCTTTGGCGTAGGATTCTGCTATCTGCTCAACACTCTCCCATTTTCCACCGGTAATCAGACAGGGATTCGAGAGAGCAAAGACGTCACGTTGTAACGGCGTCATACGACTATAATGGTTTATTAAGCCAGCTGCCGTCGTGAATAAGAAGTAGCGGGACAGCGGCTTCGTCCTTGCTGAATTGGAGTTGTGACATACGAGTATCAAACGATGCGGGCTGTAATGTTCTCGCCGAGGATCTTCCTGAGGACTTCTTGGGGGAGGAAGGCTTATCAAAAAAAGCACTCAAGGATGCGATTGTGGAATGAGATTCGAATGCGTCGTGAGGGAGGTCGATATTGAGGTCGGCTTTCAGCGAATGTAGAACCTCTAATGAACTGAGAGAGTCAAGGCCGAGCGACTTGAAGTCGGAGTCATCCTCTACATCAGAGATCGGAAGGCCAAGTACTTCCGCAATGATACCTCTGATGCGGATGCTTCTGTCACCATCAGATACTGTGTCTGCCGACTTAACGGATCTAGCTGGCGGTGGTTGTGGTGGCTTCTGGGGAGCCCTTTCCGAGGACTTCTTGGGGGAGGAAGATTTATCAAAAAAAGAGCTCAATGATGCAATTGTGGCATGAGATTCGAATGCGTCGTGAGGGAGGTCGATATTGAGGTCGGCTTTGAGCGCATGGAGAGCCTCTAATGAACTGAGGGAGTCAAGGCCGAGCGCTTTGAAGTCGGAGTCATCCTCTACATCAGAAAGCGGAAGGCCAAGTACTTCCGCAATGATACCTCTGATGCGGATGCGGATGTCACTATCAGATACCGTTTCTGTCGACTCAGCGGATCTAGCTGGCGGCGGTTGTGATCTTTCCAAGGACTTGTCGGAGGTTCTTTCCACGGACTTCTCAGAGGGGTGGGACTTCTCGAGGAAAGCGCTCAATGCTGCAATTGTGGAATAAGATTCGAACGCGTCGTGAGGAAGGTCAACTTTGAGATCGGTTTTGAGCGCGTGGAGAGCTTCTAATGAACTGAGGGAGTCAAGGCCGAGCGATTTGAAGTCGGAGTGATCTTGTATATCGGTAGTCGGAAGGCCGAGCACCTGCGCAATGACATCTTTGATGCGGATGCGTGCGTCATCCTCAGACACTAGGGTTTCCGGTGAAGATGGCCTGCTGGAGTTACTGGTTGAATTGGTTCGGTCGCGTGTCTGCGCAGGGGGGGAGTCTGCTGCATTTGCCAACGCGCGAGCAAGACCCTTCATGCGGACGCGCTTGAATTGAATGCCTTTCATATGCGCAACAACACGATGAGGCGCTTGTTCTTGGACAGCAAAAGCCTCGGTGAGAACGGCTTGTTCAAAGGACGTCCACGACCCGCGAACATGAACAGTGTATTTTTGATCTTGATCAATGAACTCGGGGAGCATCTGGAATGATCCGACCTCGCTGCAGATATAAGCGTCACCGATATCGCCTTGCGTATTTGCTAGGAATCCAGCGGTATGGAGGAGGGTGTCGGCGAAAATGGGATTGGAGGCGAAAGGGAGTCGTGGGGCATCTGGAAGCTTGATCTGCGCTACACCATCCAGTCCATTCGGGCTGGCAGTCAGAGACTGGATCGTGTGATACTTGGCGGAGTATTCAACAACACGAGGGAAGACAACTTCATATAGCGTTCGAGTGGTATAGACCTCTGCTTGACCTTCCTTCCGCGAACCGATCTCTGAAGCGCCAAGCGCGGGAATGAGGCTGAATTCACCGTCAAGATTAGCAGCAGTCTCCTTGGAGGATTGGAAGCGTATTTCTCCGCGGACGTGAACCGATTCATCCGAAGAAGATTGCAGTCTGGATGTTATATTGAAGAGACCAGTACCGTCTTCTTTAATGGTGATATGCGTGCGGACGACCCGATTGACTTGGGGATGGTAAACAAGTGGTTTCTCAAAATTGACTCCTCGGATGACAGCTACATTCTTCCCGAAATCGAGGTTCAGATGACGCCGTGAAAGATCTGCGCCCGAAAGAACTTGTTCAAGGTAGATTGACGCTGGGCATAGGTAGTTCCCTGCAACCTTGTGTCCTTCAATAAACGGAGCTAAAACTTCGATGGGAGTATCGAAACTGGCCGAGTTGCCGTTCCCGCGCGATGGGTACTGCACCCACCACCCCAGCATGGTATAGTTAGATATCATATCGGCTTTTGCAATGCTTTGTGATGGCGCTGTGCTTCGTGCTGGTTCCGTGCTTCGTGCTGGTGCCGCGCTTCGTGTTGGTGCTGGTGCCGTGGTTTTTGATGGTGCGATGGTTTGTGACGGCGCTGTGCTTCGTGCTGGTGCCACGGTTTGAGGTGATGAAGATTCATAGGAAGGTTCTTTGTATGGTACCCAAACTTTGTTCCTCTCGAGTGGATATGGTGGCAGATCAGCGCAGGTCGCTGGGGACAGCTCCGAAAAGACGTTGCGCCAGTTCACAGGAGCATTGGTTCTGTAGAGCTGGGATAGGCTGGAGGCAAGAGTGGCGTTATCATTTTTGCTCAATGAAGGCAATACCGCTGCTGCGCTGGGAGCAGACGCACAGGCCCGTATCATCAACAAGCATGACGCTTGGGGTCCCATCTCGATCCAAGCATCTATCTGTGACAGCGAGGGGTTCTTACACAGGGTGTCGATGGTGGGGGCAAAAAGAACAGGCTGACGGAAATGCGAAGAGAAATAGGTTGCGTCGAAGGTCGAAGTGTCTCCTGCGGGAACAAGTCTTCCAAGGACGGTAGAACCAACGGCCACCTTTGGAGAAGACAAGGGTATAGTGCGTGCTAGCTGGGTAAGATCATCCAGAACCGAGTCCATTGCTTTGCTGTGATATCCATAGGGAACGTCAAGGAGACGGGCCTTGCCTCCCGTAGATGCCAACTCCTCGGTCAGAGCGTGCAGCTGAGACAGTGGGCCAGAAACGACACATGCACGATCACTGTTGACGCAAGCGACAGAGAGATCCGAGTATGACCCAGATTTCAAAACGGTATTGATTTGTTGCTCCCCGAGCCTGACAGCCAACATGCCTGTTGAACCCGGCACACAACCACGCCATGTGAGACGAGCACGTGATGCGACCAAAAACAAGGCTGCCTCGAGCGAGAGCACCTCAGCGATGACTAGAGCAGCGTATTCACCGAGACTAGCAAGATAATGTTAGATATAGACCAGACGTGTATTGAAATAATCCTCACCTGTGCCCAACGACTGTGGCAGGCGTCAAACCCCAATGTATCCATAATGTTGCCAACGCGACTTCTAGCGCCATCGTTGAAGTTTGAGACGCTTCAAACTCTTCCATCTCATCCGATCCACTATCTGCGGGTTCTCCAACAATGCTTGGAAGGATACCTGCAAAGCCTTTGGACACGAGGTATCGGTGACATCTGTCAATGCAGCGCTGGAAGACCGGAGAGGACGAATAGAGGAGTTTCCCCATGCCACGGTAATAGCTGCCTTGTCCAGAGAAGACAAAGACAACTTGACCGAAAGTTCCCTCGGCATGAGATACCTCAGCGCTTGCAAGAGCCTGGACAAGCTGTGCCTTGCTCCCTACGTCAACTGAAATTCTGAAAGGGTACAGCTGTCTTCTTGCCGTGGCAGTATACGCGATGTCGCTAATGGGAACTGACTTATTTCTGCCGTCGTGGAGCCACCGGTAGTAGCTGGAGCGGAGAGTTTCGAGAACCTCGCGAGATTTGGCAGAGATACCAAAGACGTAGGATGTGCCACTAGCTGGAGCTTTCTCTTCCTTTGGATACTCCTCCACTATGAGTGCCCCATTTGAACCTGATGCTCCAAAGTTGTTGAGCAGCGCCATGCGAGGCGACGATCCGCGTACCCACGGCGTGGGAACCGTGTCGATGACAGTATTATCCTGGGCTAGCGGTGTGATACGTGGGTTGATTATCTTAAGGGAGATTTGAGCAGGAATTGTTTCATGTTGGAACATGAGTAAAAGTTTGGCGAGTCCAGCAGCACCAGAAGCAGCTTCCAAGTGACCGATGTTGGCTTTAATCGAAGTGACATGAAGGGGGTTTTCGCTATCGCGAGCACGGCAAAGAACGGCACGGATACTCTGGAGCTCGGCAAAGTCTCCAGCCTGGGTGCCAGTACCATGCGCTTCTACGACACTGACGCGTGATGCATCGATTCCGGAGTTCTTTAGGAGCCTGTTCATCAGAGAAACCTGGGAAGGTACGTGGGGGTGGGTGATTGAATGCGCCAGCCCACTCTGATTGAGATCAATACCACGGATGACACCGAGAATATCGTCGTTCTCTGCAACTGCATCTGATAGACGTTTGAGAACGAAGAGAGAGCATCCTTCTGATCGAGAGTAGCCGTCAGCCGATGCATCGAAAGATTTGCACTGGCCGGTCGGGCTGAGGAAATGACCATGATCCAGGCCAATGAACATCTGCAAGGGGGGTATCATTAGCGTTGAGGATTTATATCAAGAATCCAGAAAGTCTCGCTTACATCCGGACTCGACATAGTGTTGACTCCACCTGCAATTGCAGCCTTGCAATCCCCATTAACAAGTGAACGACAGGCTGTATGGATTGCGACAATTGACGATGAACAAGCAGTATCGATAGTCATGGAAGGACCGCCAAGTTGCATTGCGTACGATATGCGCCCACTAAGGAAAGCTTTCAGGGTTCCTGAATGTTTGTCAGAATAAGTACTGCATCGAGAAGAAGGCTGCATACCTGTGCTGTAATGCACATCGATATTCTCCCGTAAATTGTCTGCATAATCATGGGTTGCGGTACCGATGAAACAACCAAAGCTATCACGCTGGAAAGACGGGGTAGCATCTGGAACATAACCAGCGTTCTCAAGGGCGTCATGAGCAGTGTGCAGAAGAACTCTTTGCTGTGGATCCATGCTCTTTGCTTCCCTTGGCGATACCTTGAAGAATTTGTAGTCGAACTCGTCAACACAATCTATGAAATTTGCGGTATGAGCCTTCATTCCACGGCCGCTTTTAGCGTCGGCAGATGTGTAGCGCTCTAATTGGAAACGGTCTGATGGGATCTGTAACAGGGAAGTTTAATGTGTGTAATACCATGGAACGCAGAAACAACATACCTCAGAAATGGTATTGATTCCTTGCTCAAGAAGTTCCCAGAGCTCGTCCGCGGTTCTTGCACCACCAGGCAAGCGAAGTGCCATCCCGATGATTGCTATCGGCTCTTGTTTGAAATCATTCTCCTTCGGAGTATCAGGGATACTGGAAGCGCTAACGGCCACATCCGTACAAGTAACATTCTTGTTTGATGAGAGTGATTTCTCCAGTATTCGGAGAAGACCAGAGCTAGGGCCGAAGTTTAATACTTGCGTGGGAGCATCGGCCGGTACCGAACTACCAAGCCCCTGTGCCACAGACACCCAGTCTACAGGAGACATGATTATCATGTCAAGGACTGCGTCAACAAGAGTGGAGTGCTGAGAACTCGGCAACAAATGCTTCCCAGAGACGGTCGAAAACACGGGAAATCTAAGGTTGGAAAAATCGGGAAAGCGGATTGAATATGTTCCGATATCAGCCAAGACTTGGTCGCGGACATTGTGGAGGGTGCGTGCGTGATATAAAGCATCTACAGTTGTTGGATGAATTGTAGCAGGACTTGGAAATTGAAATTGAGGACGAGAAACGCGATAGGATATCAGGACGACCCGAAACGGTGACGTGCTGTGCATCTATAATAGCCGTGAGGTGAAGGGAAGAATTGCAATCGTTCTGATAATCTTTGTTGAGCTTTTCTTGAAGGTCACGAATGTGCAAGCCGCCTCTCACCTTGGATTCGAAATCGGAGATGAAGCCCAAGACATCGTCTCTACTCAAGCCGACACAAACGACACTCCAAGGGAGTCCTGTGTCAGGAAAGCCCAAGGCAGATTGAAGCTCTTTGGTTCTATATTGCATAGATCGCATGCCGATCCAAAATGCTAGGCGAAATGCCTCTACTGAATTTGACATGAAGGTGATGACACTGGTTGAAGCTCCCACCACGCATGCGGTGATGATTCCTGAGGAGAAGCCAGACACGCCAAGACTGTGGTTGGGTGCGCTTGAGAAATGGGCAAGGTACCTCAGAGCTTGAACGAGGAAGAGGGAGATGCTCCAAATGATGGGATTGTTCTTGTAAAGAGGCAAAGATGATAGAAGGGAGGTAGCATCCTCGAAATCGGCGAGGGAAATGTTGGTTTCGATGAGCTCATCTTCTGATAGCTTCGATAGCTCTGCAAGAAAAGTCTCGTGGCATGCAGCCAAAAGTAAATGGCCAGATGGTGAACGGATGTCACGGAGGGCCTGCTGAAGAGCCAAGGCTAGGGCACCAGCTGAAGACCCTTGACCAGGGAACAAAGGTACGGTAACGGGAATGGAAGAAAGCATGCTAGAAACTTGAAGGGGTTGGAGTATTGAATATGATATGATGACTTTGAGAGTGAAGTAAGGAAATGCAGTACCTCCGTCCCTATTAAATACGGGCCTGGTAGTAGTAGGTGTAAAGTTTAAAATAGAGTAGGTGCGTCAAAGTTAAATTGAGTGGGAAAGGCATGTCAGTGAATTGAACTGCTATATTCACATCAATTGTACGAAGAGGACGGGCACGAACCTGAGATGTGAGCTCCGCGGTCTCTCTCATTCCTTGACAGAACGTGCACTGGAAGCCCTATTCCGAAGATGAGTTACATAATTAACTCAGAAACGCCGTGCTAGTTGTGTTGAATCTGGCAAGTATGTCAATTTTTCATGATACATCATATTGATCGGAACATTCGTTGGACCTTCCGAAGAGACGACGTCAACCGGCTATACAGCGGGCAAGTAGTAGGTTTTGACATGTTGAAACCACCAGGGCTGTTAACAATTGGAAGAAAGGGTTGGACAGCCTGAGGCTTCGGTATGGTTCTAATGATCAAGTAACCGAGGGAATTTCCGGAGTGAACGTTAAACGATTATAGATGGCAACTGAATAAGAATTTGATAAGGATCGACAGTTTCTGTCATGGAACATTTCGTTACCGTTCCTGAAGAAGCCATCCCTTGCCCGTACCTCAACACAATACGAGTGTCTTCAAGAACACTTGGAAGAAGGTCTCCTCTGAGAGGTTCATCACATATCCATTCCGTTGACGATGGAATTCCCTTTGCATCCGCTTATCAAATCCTGTCAGCCTTGTACTATGAGATGAGATGACAGCGTGGATCCCTAGTGAAAAATCCCCTACCTAATATATATGGGACTTGAGATTTTGGCGTTTTGACCGACAGCGTGAGTCATGATTACGAACTATTTTTCTATTGTTACTATCTGCCTAGCCTATTAAGTACCTAACCTACTAGGGGTGTGAATGTGATAATCTAATTAATCTCAATAAACTCTTTGAAGCAGAACTTCGGAAACGACATAGGGGTTTGGCGCCTTGGTAGCTTCGACCTTATGTGATGACAGCGTGAGTCAGTCACCACTCCACCTTTTCGACATGTAGTTACTATCCTTTACTATCTCGCTGTGAACGTGATAATGTCCCTTTCGGAAAGTGTTAGCCAGATTCAATGAACTGACACTTGGTATCCGTAGCGAGCGCACCGGAGTCCGATTGTAATCGTGTGACCAAAATATAGCTATCAATATCGAGTTGTTGGTAGTATGCAGCTTAAAGAGGAGTTACTAGCAAGATTGCGATATCAACGCGCAGCATGGTACAATAGTGTCCGAGTTGTTACATTTAATGGTAACTTACAGTCGATAGACCAGATTTCTTTTTTTTTTGGTGCAGCCGAAGCCTATTTACTTGTGGAGCTGAACAAACAACTTGCAAAGGGTCCGCTTATTACGTTACCTTGATCGGACGAAATACCCCAATTGAATGGCAAGGACTCCTCGGCTGTCAAACAGCAATAGGTGTTTAAATCCCTTCGTCGTCGTACGCAGCAGTATACATGGCATCGTGTGGACCACACAGCACAGTGAGCAGCCGTGGGAAACGACGAGCAAACGATTCTACTCCAACAACAGCTGATTTGTGCAAAGTGGATACTTGTAATCTCGTGTACTTACGAAACTGAAAACTGTACAATGTATCAAAAAATGTGGAGCTGAGGGAGGCCTCAGCGGCATCCTCGTGCACACTCAAAAGGTTCTGAAACAAATTCCATAATTAGTCTGGTCGCCGTACTTGAGCTTGAGCTTGTGCATTCGTCCTATTGTAATAACGCCGAATACTCTCCATGTGAAACCGGTCCGCCAGTCCGCCAGTCATACGAAGATTACTGGGATGCTTACTTGTGCTTACTATTACTTTCTTATCTGTTCACCGGATCTCTAATCGCATCACAATATTAATGATCTGACTGGTTCTGCGTTTTCAGATAGTCAAAATACTATCACAGTGGGATTTACAAAAAAAAAGGACTGAAAGCTTAAATTATTAATGAAACAGTTGCGATGAAGGGTGTTGAGAGAATTCGGACGAAGCAGACTTCGGTCAAACTTAGGAGTATAGTCGGCTTCTTCTGAAGACTTCCGAATGTTGACACTCACTCGATGCAACCGAATGGCACACTGACCAGGCCAGCTTGAAAGCAATGGAGGTCATGGCTGTGACTAGTGCAAGCACAACTTGGCCTTTAAGCTTTTAAGGCTAATAGTAGTGCAGCACCTGCTGTCTCCGATGATCGGTCCGAAGACCGTTCACATGAAGTAGCTCATGCGGAGTGGGGCCCGGAAGTGTTAGTTACCGTGACTAGACTAATGTCATAACATGAGATATGTCCTAGTCCAAAAAATGTAACATTCTCAGTCAAAGTTTGCCACGGACGACTATCTTGCGTACTTTGTCAGTTGATTCCGCAGTTATTTTAATAGTACCCAACCGCTAACGGCGGCTGTCTCGGACTCGCCCCGACCGGATCGGATTACCGCTGCCATTGGGTATGGTTCGATAAATCATGCACATGGACTTGTGTACACTTTTCTGACAATGAGCTTAAGCTTGTTGCCGGAAAAGTATACAATCAATGTACATATCATTTTCAAGCTCAGCACTAGGCCCTTGCCACCAACCACAACATTAATGTATTGAAACTCCCGCCAAGCTCGCACAGCAGAGGAAATTCCGAAACTCGTTTCATCTACCAATCTGGAAAGGTCAGACTCAGATCTTGCTGCGTCGGAAGTTGTCGTGCGTCAAGCTACGTATTCGCTATCGGCACCCCTTCGGATCCTGCATTATTCTTTATTCTTTTGGAGTTTAGGTCCGTTTACCCCTTAATCGCGCCTCCTCTGATCTGTCCGCATTTGAAATTAGATATTTGGTTCCTATTGAGTTCTAGAGATGAGACGAGGATGCCTGAATTGACTGATCGAGCCGGGCTGCTCGGGGCTGATCCTGTCATGCCTGTCCCTGTGCGGACTATTTCCAGCTAACAACTATTACTAGTCCTACGGGCTTGCCTCGAATTTAATGGTCAGTTGATTGTCAGGCTACTGACACTAGTACTGACAATCTGTACGTACTAGGCCAGGACTGGGAACCTTGATTTCGGAGCGACCGAGGACATCTACACATTAAGATTTCAGCCGGAAGGAGATAACGACCAAGTAGTAATCGGGGAAGCACATTGTGCCGGTACGATCCCATACGAGCGCCAGCCATTAGATGCAATGAGCAAATCTGTGTGCGCGATGTTGTGGGCAAAGTGTGGCCTCGATTGAATTTTGAAACGGAGCCTCATCAAACCTTCCCACCGCCAGCAAGAGTCTGAATTCTTGTGTTTTCTTGATCAAGGTGATTCTTTTATCACCTCGAGTTAGTTTCCACTTCTACTATAATGAATCTTCCTTGCAACGATTGCAATGACCAGTCTAGGCCAGTCACTTCACATCATTGCCGTGATAACCCGAATTCTTAGTAGAAGGCTCCGGCTCCGTGCTTCTACAATCTTCAAGGCCGCTGAGTTTCCCATTCGGGGGTTTGTGTCGTAAGCCCTGGAATTTAACATGAGTAAACAAACATCTAAACGTGCACAACCTAAAGTAATTGTATTATTTGAATTATTGAGCGAGCTATACAAAAACAACTGACAGCTGAATCAAGAAGCTCGAATAAGTAACGCAAATTGACCCACAGCGATTAAGAAATCGTAATAAACCAAGTAGGGAATAGAGAATATGCTTCACACACTGGACAAACATGGCATTTCCGCTTGCTCGTTATCGACCGGCTTTTCTAATCCTACGCAGATCAGCGAGCTCACTAAGGAGTCTCGAGCGCTCGTTCAGAAGTGCAACTGTGCGTTCTGTGGGAGAACAATAATCTGTCTTCCGCATGTGTGCCGATGACGACAGCGTCCCCAAGCGGGAGGGGAATGTCCCAAGGTCGGAGAAGTCGTCGACCCGGGTCCGTGCCGAAGGTGCACTAGCAGGAATGCGCACTGATGTTGTAGGCATGCGAGGGGTAGAATTCCCACTTGCCACGGGGAAAAGACCAGAACTCCGCCGCCGACCCCTGGCCTTGACAGGCGTGCTTGAGTTACACTTGTTCGCTGCGAAAGCTTTCATTTCAAGTTCAGAATCGACAGCACCAATCCAGCCTTTCAGACGGATGGGCTGAGGCGTGGGAGTTGGGGGCTGTTCTCCTGAGGAGGTCGATTGGGTTGAGCAATCGAGGTCTAATCCTTCCATCGAATCATCGACATTGGACGCATAAGAAGCACCACGCCCGAGGAGATATGATGGGTCCTCGAGCTCGTGAATACAATGTGGTTGGTGAGATACACCAGTGTCGTGGAACAGCTCCGTCTCTGTACGGTCTGAGAGTTCAGAATCTGCCATGCTCGTGTCAGACTCCATATGCGGGGCGTTATGCATGGATAGATCGCTCTGCACGCTCATGGTGATAGTGGATCGCGTGGAGGGAGAAGCAACGCGCGGATGCCGCGGGACGTCTGTGATATGCGACAGTTCAACGTTGTAGGAAGGTTCTGGACGCAACAGCATTGACGCTGTAAGATCTACCTCGCCCTCGCTATCATCACCAACCAATGCTTCGATGATGCCTCGTTTCCTCCCAAGCCAGCAAAGCAGTTCACCAACGAAAACTGTTTCTTCCCAACATCCATCCGCCAATCTGCGTGGATCAAGGTCTGCGAGACCGACGTCCTCTTCTGCTGGGAGGACGTCGCACTCGAGTACGCCAAGAAAAACCTTCATTGCTTCTACTTTCGCAAGGGATGAACGAGAGGCGCGTATCGAAGCTGGGATAGGGAGGCGGGACTCGAGTATGGACTCCAGGATAGCAAGGAGTAAAGAAGGCGTCAAATCCGTCGGGGAAGTGAGCCCGAACGGGAGAGATAGGCCAGCGAGGAGCGCATTCAAAGTCGGCACGAGGGTTGGTGGAGAGAATGACTGCGAGAACTCTGCGAAGGAAAGTTCAGACATCAAGCAAGTACATACACAGGGCGAATATTTGGCTAGAAACCGAATAGACAGAGTATTACTCTAGGCGGGCTGCTGCTTGTACGAGTGGCTGATTAGTGTAAAGTTTGTGTCAGAAAACTTGCAGGTGGTCGGATCATGGACGGTTGTGTAAGAGTTAAACATGACCATTTCGAGAAGGTCGCCGACTTTCAGCGTCTATCTTATGTTCTGAGGATCGCCGCATCTTCCCACGCGTTCACCTAGTGCACTAGTCTGAAACACGAAGGCCGTCAGTTCATCTGACCTCTGCCTCCATCAAAGGTATATAATTGTAATCAAGTATCACATACTAGTGCTCATAGCTTGCATGGACCCTGGTGTGGCTGAACTGCGCAGCGCAAACAGCTCGAGGCTGACTCGGAGCTCCATAAGCTCAAGTCTGTTACGCGTTTCACCTATCCCCGGCACCCCCCGAATATTAATTCCCGCTACCTTTAGGTAGCTGGGTCTTTGTCGATCGCGAACAACAGGGAATTCTGATATTGCAAATTCTGTATAAAAACGGCAACTACTTCTCACTCTGGTTCTCCAATGTTTTTCTCGGGTGTGTCGAGTGTATTCGCTCTGTTAAGCATGTCGTTCATGATTGAAGGTGTACATGTCTCTGCTGCACGAGATATCTCTTCAGATGTTTCGTTACTATCTGCGTCTTTTTTTGACTTCGGATGCGCTTGCTCATTCTCGAGAGGGCGTTTTTCCAGCGCTCGTGACTTTGTTCCAAGGCGACGTTCGGTTAGAGTTGGGATAACACCCGGACAAAACCATATGACACATAGGAAAAAAATCCCGATAAACCGAAAAAAGTGCCCTCAAAAACAAAGGTAGCGGGCCCTGCCATGGATGTCGCCCTGCGTAACTTATATTTTAATGATCGCTACCACAACAATTGGATGAGTCCCTTAAAGCGGCCTGGCCAGCTACCGTCGAGTGTCATTGGCGTATAGGCCTACCCCTTGATGGAGCGGTTGTCTCGCCTTTCATGCCCAGTGAGAACCGGCCCTCACCATATCGACGGAAAACGACGGATATATTCACAAATATGCTCAAAGCTACGCAAATCGGTTGACGTGCACGGTGCGTTATGTTTGATCAACACAACGCAGACACACCATTTTGTCGATGTCTTGCACATTTGCAGACATGTTAATCAATCAACATGATGTGAATTACTTGGTCGTGCTGCTTTTGACTTGGTAAGCGTATACGAAATGATCGATTGCACGAACTTAGGCAAGACTCCGACATTTTCACTAGTCCACCATCTTTCTCCCTCAAACCATGACGATGTCTAGTCCAGGAGCCTCTCCCATTTCCTTGGTTTCGGAAGCACCCTGGGGCCTGGCATATTCTCGTTTACAGTAGTCGTTGGACCAGACAGGCCTCAGATTGATGATGTTTTTGGATGAACAGTGATAAAGTTCCCTGTGTGTATCTTCTCCGACTTTGATATTTTCGATAACCTAATTCGAGATGTTTTCTAGGACACTATCTATGCGGCCTGTTTCTCTGCACTGCCTGGCTCGCAAATCAGTAAGTGACTCGGATACGCCTAACTCGTTTCAAATGTTCGCTGAAACATCGATTACAGCGCATATATGCGCATGAATCTCTTATCTAGGTGCAAGATAGTGCTGACTTAGTACACGCAGCACAAAGCTTTCTGAATGAACATGCATCACTGAGTCTGACCCGAAGCCCCAGTATCCACTGTCCCTGGTCTACCATGCCACTTTCAACACTGGGTCCTCGTTGTCCGTGCCTGGGCATCACCTAGATCTAGTATTTCGAACAAATAGGAGGTACATCAATCTAGAAGACTAGAACTTCCAGCAACATCTGACTTTAGAACTTGCGACACGATCAATGTCATCAGCAAATTCTCATCCGACGCCTAATATATTAGTTGACATCTAGCGCAGTTGCAGCGGAGCAGGTGGGTAGCAGGTAGTTATTATTTCACGGCATTGATTTATGTTTGCAGGCATATGAATCCGAATGGAACAGCAACACAGTCGACATCCAGCGCATGACAGGTGCAGAGGTTGACATCAGGCAGGCAACAGGCAAGGACCAGGTGGGCAGCAGGTGCCAGGGGCAGTATCAACCAGCTATCATTTTGCGCTGTCATTTGTTTGTTCTTGCAATGCTTATCAGCGTCATTTTCGTGCGATTTCCGTAGTTTTATTGCCTGGTACGACTACAGTTGAGAATCTACCATCATCGACGGAAATATCATATGCGAGAATCAACGCGATAATTGTGAGATCTCCGTCGAATAGCATCGCTAGAAAATCTCATATACGTCCCGAAATCTACGGAAATCTTGTGTTACTGGTTCATCAATATTTTGGCCGTTTTCCGTCGATACGGTGAGGTCCGGTTCTCACTGGGTTTCATGTCTCTGGCTTGACGTTGTCAACTTGAAAGGAACGAACAGGCTATAATTAGTATCTAACAAACCCTCGGTTTCCCGCGGCGCGTCGGTGTCACTGCTGCATTCTGCCACGACGACAGAAGGGATCTAAGAGGGAATTACATAACTACTGAACTTGTGCCTAACGTGTGCGGACCCGACCAGTGACGCATGCTCTTCCTCAAAATGGATGCTGAGGGACGCGTATATGTGATCACGTGCTGGGTCAGCCACAAACGCGCGTCAAGTTTTAATTTAAACCTTAAGTGACCGACTCCGACTGACCAGAAAGACTCGCGTGTTTTCTCATTTATATCATCCAAGATGCCCGGAAGACGCTTGTCATCAGTTAGACCTCCTTCTCAAACACTATCAGGAGACGAAGGAAACATAGACTTCGAGCACTCTCAAGGCGGCAGCGATGACCACAACAACGAGTATTTTTGTGATATTTAATACTACTTACCACGCTGACAACAGATCTCTAAGAACGTTCGCGGTCGTCGCAGCGGAGCTTAAGTGTATGTCATTTATCATAGCGCTAGCTGGACATGATCATACGCGCTTGCTAGCGACATGGGAGAAAAAGTTGAGGGAACGCGACGATAATATAATACAGACAACACAAAAGGAACTCCATCTTGCTGTTTGTATTATTTATATCCGTGATCTCTCATCTTCACCTTTCAATCAGTTCCAGAAGAAGGAAACTGAAATCGCCAACATCATAAACGATATGTAGGACGTCCTGTCAGGGCGTGTATATCACCGTCTGCTCGGCACTGATACGCAATCGAAGGGAGACCCTTCACCAGGATTTCCTCGAAAATTTTGCGATTATAGAAGAGAAGAAGCGCAAAATCACAGCTGCGATTGCTGAAGCACAGGAAGAACTTATAGTCTGTCATTTAGCACCAACAACCCATTATTATATTCTCTAAGCAAATATAATCTTTTTATAGCCACTCGCGGTTAAACGCCACCAAGCGACCATCAGTCTTGGACACGAGGTCGAGAACGGTCAACTGGAAGGGATGGCCCTCATCAAAGGTGCTTGTCAGTGTATGCTTATCTCTGTTCTCTTGCGGCTCCGTAGCTGATCTTCCTTCCCTCCGCTCCGTAGCCACGCGGGACATTGCTCAGGAGCTTGGCTCGTTGCACTTCGATTGCTGACTGATAGAGCAATCTATTGTTCCCCCTGGCCAGCTTGCCCTGTATTAATTAAGCGTAGATACAGCCAGCATGGCCCATGTTCATGGACCGTATTTATGGACTGTTCGATATATCAGGCGTTTCATCCCCGTTGCTGTATCGCATGGAATGCAGCAGTTCTATCAGTTACTGCTGAACATCATGTATCAATCAGTCACCAATAAAAGGGCACAGCGACAGGTATCATGGTATTTCCACCGATGAGCGCGCAGCAGAGCGTATAATAACGTTCATAAATACTGTCCCACTAGTAAGCACCCAAAATCCTATGCCATAATCCGTTGATCGATATTGATGGGCATGCAGCCAAGATTGACGAGACCATTCTGAAGCGGTACGTTGGTTGTATGCTAAGCTCGTGGATGTGGTACTTACGTATGAGTTGTCCTGGCAGCAAAGTGGCTACTGGTTGACAGAACAGCCGGTCGAGGCGCCGACAGGTCTTTAGTTAGAATTGCGTCGCATGCCTTGCATGATTCTGAACTCATGTTAGTACCGCTATCGTAGCATTGGATTTTACCTGTTGCAACTGGCCACTGTCACCAGCAACATCGAAGAGGGCGAACGGAAGGAGAGCGGGGATCATTTTGATGATAGAAGACCGGTTGAGAATGACACTCAGTGAGAGGATGGGTTGCTTTCACCTTCTTGCCTTGCTTTCATACATTCTCTCTCGTTATTAGGTGAACATTCCCATCCTCGCCTTCAGATTCTGATCAGCCGAACATTTTGTAGTGAAACAACGACAAAAATTGTCAGGAATTGTATGACATTCATCTTCAGCTTTGCCAAGGGGCCATTCAATCAATAACATTTTAAATCTGTCTAGACTCTGGTATCGCACGATCTAATCACGGTGTTTTTTTTGAACGGCCTGTGGCACTGCCAGTTAGAAGCCCGCTCTCGTGCTCTCGTCATAACTTTTATCCGGGTTGGCGTCTGCAGCACCCGTGGCGCCTGGAAAGAAGTCCTGATACCCCCATGAAGAATCCGGAGTATCAAAAGGACGCGACTCAGACGTCGGTGTTAGTCTCTTTAACTTCTGTCACAACGAGACTGATTGGCGACCAAGCGTCAATCGCGCATGTTTAGAGCTGATTCTACTAGTTGCGACCTACTACCGATCAGTGGTAGACACAGATGTCATGAGCTGCCTGAGGCGAGCACGTGGAGAGAATGATGTATGTTGTTACACAATAAAGCATACGCCAGCGTTTTGTCGCTTCAGAGAACTCGCCAGTAATGCGATAGCTCATTGTTAAGTAGATTTTTATTGCCCTGGTCACCGTGATCCCTACCTAAGTTGACCTTCTTGAATGCACAATTCCGATGAGTCCTTGCATTTCTCAAGTAACCTGGTCGTCCTTTCTCCGTTTTCCATCAGACACGTCTTCATGGTGCCTCGCAAGAAGAAGTTGGTACTTCTCCTTTCTGTACCTACACACTGGTCAGCGGCAAGACCCGTAGACACAGTATTACCCCTTTTCACACAACCTATGCGACCAGGTCATCGGTGGAGATGGCGTTAAGTAGCAAGATCTAAGAACTTACGATAACACGAGGCCGTGATTCATAACACGATAACGCGACATCAATATTTTCACTTCGGCGTAAGCCGCATATTTTTTCTAGTCCAGTGCGTGAGCAAGGTCGCTGTCCATGAACGAATAAGTCTCGTTAATGTTTGACAGGCCAGGCTGTGCGTCCTATGTTCAGACGTACGATACGGAACGATCAAAAATGTCCAGGATGTATCTGTTCTGAAACTTTTGATTCCTCCTTCGTCGAAATCTGATAAGTTTACGATATTCGCAAATCGACAAGTTGATAACCGAAAGCTTGGCACGTACTAAGTAAGCTCAGGCTGTTGACGATATCAAAGCCTATCTGACCCTGGTTGTAACCGCGATGCTTTAATCAAACTCAATTCAATGAGGGCACTGACGAACGTAAGACGCACTCTATCGCTTAGTTCCGGATTAAAGAGTTGCCATCCTGTCGGCAGAAGACCCGGCACCGTGACAGATAGAGAGGAACGTTGAGAATGTAGAGGCCTTGTTTTCCCTACTTGCAGCAAGTCCATTGTAATCCGCACTATCTTCAACCCTTACTTCAAGGAGCGATTACGGTTGTCGACAAGGATCACGGTGCTCTGGAACAAATTTGTCCTGCAGGAGCTCTTCTTGCACAACTCTGAGAAAAGGTGAAAGAGCATATCCAAAATAACATCCGTGACAGACCGCAGCTCGAAACAATACGTCTATCAGTGGACCTCTCGTGATCGACGTCGTGTTGAGTAGCAATTTATGTCAATCATTACCTTCTCGCGGTCATAATACGATTACTGGGTCAGGGCATCGAGGTCGTATTGTCGTATAATCTGGAAGAAATAAGCGTGATGGAGGCTTGCATGGTGGAGGCCGTACTTGATACAAGCCTGTCAAAAACTTTGGGTCGTGTCAGAGTTTGGGATTAATATTCAAGGCGGGCCGATGAGCCATGCGACCCGCACTTAACCAAAAGCGTGACAGGTCCCGAAAAACCAACGAGCAGACACCGATGACCAGTCGAGTCCACGGCCTTTAGAAAAGAAACGAACGTGCTTGGAGGACAATTGCCACGTTCCAGTACTGACTTCGCGGGAACTGATCGTGGTAGTGTCGAAGACTCCAAGTCATCGAGCCTTCATAGTGTCTAATCAGATCTTAGAGAAGGGAAGACCGTATTTCTAGTATCGATGGCTCTGCGACTGCGCGCATTAACCCGGCGCACACTTACCCTCCTCACCCTATCCACCACAGCAGCAGCAGGCGCTGGCTACCTCTATCTCAATTCCGGTCCTGCCTACCCACAAACAACACACGAGTCTCGACGCCCACCACCACCATGGTCTCCTCCTCCCCGCGCAGCCATGATCGACGCCTTAAAGCGAAGTACTGATCCAAAGCCGGGCGAAGATGATGATGCCCAGTTCGATATATTGGTCATAGGAGGAGGTGCAACTGGTGCCGGTGTCGCTGTCGACGCTGCAAGTCGCGGCCTACGAGTCGCCTTGGTTGAGAGAGAAGATTTCGCTAGTGGCAAGTCTGTTCACTTCTTTCATGCAACCCCACTACATACGTTTATCAATAGGTACGTCCTCCAAGTCAACAAAACTTGTCCATGGCGGTGTGCGCTACCTCCAGAAAGCCATATTCGAGCTTGACTACGAGCAGTACAAGCTCGTTCGCGAGGCTCTGCGCGAAAGGAGGGTCTTCCTGCAGACTGCCCCTTATTTGAGTCATATGCTCCCTATCATGCTCCCCATTTATAAGTGCGTCATTATCTCCAATCCCCCATTCTCAACCCAAATCCAACTCTCCCATCTATTAACCCCTCCAGTTATCACCATCACTGACAAGTAGTCAGGTACTGGCAAGTTCCGTACTACTGGTCCGGGTGCAAACTCTACGACCTCCTTGCTGGCAAGGAAAACTATGGAATCCTCGTACCTCATGTCCAAGGGCAAGGCCCTCGAACAGTTCCCCATGCTCAAGAGCGACGGGCTCGTCGGTGCCGTGGTCTACTACGACGGTATGTCCCATTTCTGTTTGACCTTATCTTCATCCTCATCATCCTTAGGCCAACACAACGACTCCCGCATGAACCTCGCTCTCATTCTCACAGCTATTAAAGCAGGTGCAACCGCCGCCAATTACTGCGGCGTTACCTCCCTCCGCAAAGACCCTACTACAGGTCTCATCACAGGTGCACGCGTCAAGGACTACATCGCCGGAGGCGAATTCGACGTCAAAGCCAAGGCGTGTTCTGCCATTCCACCCCAGATAACAACTAACACTCGAACAGGTAATCATCAACGCTACAGGCCCATACACCGACTCCATCCTCTCCCTCTCCACTCCCACACACAAATCCATCGTGCGCGCAAGCTCAGGCGTACACATCGCCCTCCCTTCTTATTACGCCCCTAAAGGCATGGGTCTCTTAGACCCCGCAACGAGTGACGGCCGCGTCGTCTTCTTCCTCCCATGGGAAGGCGGCGTCGTAGCAGGTACCACTGACGACCCCTACGACATGCGCGCGCATATCAAGCCCCAAGAAGAAAAAGACGCGTATCTAAGCGGTGACGATATTCTCCCCCGCGAGTCTGAGATCCAATGGGTCATGGATGAGGTGCGTGGGTATCTAAGCGGGGACATCAAGGTGCGCCGCGGGGATGTGCTTTCAGCGTGGTCGGGACTGCGACCGCTTATTTCATCTGGCACGGCGGGCGGTACGGAGGGGTTGGTGAGAAGTCATATAGTCAAGGTTGATGAGGGTGGAATGGTGACCATCGCGGGTGGGAAGTGGACTACCTATCGTGCGATGGCGGAAGAGGCGGTCGATGAAGCGATTGAAGTGTGTCCCGGGCTAAAGGCAAAGGCTTGGAAGTGTCAGACCCAAGAACTAAGACTTGTCGGAAGCGAAGGGTGGGATCGCAACATGTTTATCGGGCTGATTCAACGCGTGAGTATCAGCCCTTTGCCCACCAATGCATTTCACATTTCACACTCACTACTACTCTTACTGACGTGCACTGCAGTACGGCCTCCACCCAGAAGTCGCACAGCACCTCTCATCATCCTACGGTTCACAAGCATGGACGCTCCTCTCCTCAACGACCCAAATGGCTGTTTTGGACCCACACCGCCCTCTTTCTGTCCCGTACCCCCTTCACACACTCCGAAATCACATACGCGCTCACGCATGAATACGCACAAAAACCGCTTGATGTGCTCCTGCGGCGCACACGCCTAGGTTTCGTCGACGCACGTGCAGCACTCAGTGCACTACCAGAAGTTGTACGGGTCATGGGCGATACACTAGGGTGGGATACGAGACGGAGGGGGGAAGAGGCCAGGAGGGCAGAGGAGGTGCTGCGCGGGATGGGCGCGGGTGGACGGGTCGAAGTGGGTACAGCTTCGTCGGGAGAAGGCTGGTTACGCATAGGGGAGGTGCAGCGGCGTGTGTGTGCACTGTTTGGATATCCTGCGCTTTTACGCCCGTTTTCGGGTGCGGCGACGTATCCACGTGCGTTGTTTGAGCCAGGAGAGATTGAAGCGTTGCGGGAGGTGTTTGGGCAGTGTGCGTGTGTGTGTGGCGATTCTGGTTCTGGCTCCGATTCTGAGCCTGATTTTTGTCTGGAGGCGCAGGAGGAGATGAGGATGCCTGTATCGATGATACGAGAAGCCGTGCGGTCTGTTGCGGTGCTTGGGTATGCTTATGACGGTGTGCGGGAGTCAGATTTCCGGTACGTCCTCAGGGAGGCAGGGTTTTCTGATTTGTTTGAGGGAAGGGGGAGGGGGAGAGATGTAGATTTCGAAGAGTTTGTTGAGGTTCGTTCTTACTTATTCCATCTCCCACTTCATCTTCGTTGTGTTAATTCATGCAATCTCATACTCATGCTCACATAAACCTTGACTTTACAGATCTGTGGAGATTTGAAAGATGTGTCGATCGCACCTGCTGTGAGCAAGAAGGGTGTGCAGAGGAGGAGGATACCTGTTGAGAAGAGTGGTGGGGGGTGTTTGAGGTGTAGTGTTGACGCATTTTTTATGTCTTGCAGCTTTAAACAGTATTAGACTTAGTTCGATAGGTTTTTGCACAAGTAGAGGGCTTTCTCTTCAGGTCATTGACGCCTAGAGGCCCATCAGCTAGTTACTTGGATAGATCGTTGACCTTGTACAAAGGTGAGTTCTGACGCCTGCACTCTGACACCATGGCGTCTCTTGGCACACTGTTAGTTACAAGCGAAAATTTTCCTTAGCTTGGTGATGGCCGGGGATAAGTCTGTGCTACCCTTCGTTCCGAAGGTATGACCCATCAGGGTCATCACAAGATTCACATGACATCTCATCGATCTCATCAGTCTCATCAACACACTTATCAGATGGGTTGTCATCTGCCACTGCATAATAGCCATGATCAATTTGTAGTTGTTTGTGCGTGAATCGTAGTACTCGTTCTTTATGACCAGCTGAGAATCCGAGGAATATTAATATTCTCTGACTTCCAAAGTGGAGCTGTGCCATGTGGAGGAGGTTTTTGTCGGTTAGAAACGTACTCGTCTCTGTCAAAAATTTTGTGGGGGTTGTTACTTGTTGCAACATCGATTGCTCTATGTATCTTAAGATTTCACCAATTGAACTTGTCACAGCATCTTGATCATCTTCTTAATGTACCCCGCTTACGTTCACGCGCGATTCCGGCTCGCTTGCACTTTTCTTTCTGCTGAGATATTCCTCGCCTTAGATTCAGACTGTAATATTGCCAGTCTACTGGGTGGGTGTCACTTGACACAACTGAATATTCTCGAACACTGAATTTCAACTCATCCTTCCGATCTCCAGGACCCAGACTGACACACTGATCTCGTTTTTGTCGCTGGCAGTACTAGATACGTCATGACAGCCCGGGCATCTTGGGCTTACTGTTTGACGACCCCGTTGATCCACCGCATGTCCTCATCTCCAGGTTGCAGCCTATGGCATAACCTTTGTTATTCCTTACACGTGTTTGACCACTAAGTTGCTAACACATTCCAGTGACATCGTCTGCGTTCGACGTGATTCCTACAATCTCGCGAATCAAAGCCTATCATCGACAATTTGATGGCGCGTGTAGCAATGAATGTTGCCGAAAGAACGTCCAAGTGCCGAGGCACCCACGGGCATGTCCTTAATGAGATTATACGTTTTGCGAAACCGCCCTGTAGGTGATATGAAGAGATCTGGTCCAAGCTGATAATCTTGATCGACCCGTCACTTGGAGTTGCGAGATGTTGGTCACTGTCTCCACGCTGTCCCAGAGTGGGACTGACACCTTCTTGCGCTACTGAGAGTCGTATTGCAGTGAGTGGCAACAAAGGTGGCGATGCGATGCGGGCGCAGTCGCAGAATCAGGGGAGTCGTCCTAGCCACGGTCTTGGCTGCTGGGGACAGAAAATATTCTGTCAGAAGCATTACTAAGGCGACATTGACGAGGCAGGGGAGCGAGTAAATTTTTTTAGAAGAGCTTAACGATAAAAGTTGTTGAGACAGGTTTGTGCGATGGAAGGGGTGGGAAGGGGTGGGCAAGAAGTTAAGCAAGCGGGGAATGACGCGGTTAGTTATTAGACTGGCAAACGGCATCCATCAAGTTAAGATCCAGGCAGTGAGAAGTTAGACATAAGGAACTGTCCAAGTTCCTCCTCAGGGAAACATCTTTATGGGGTCAATTCATAAGAAGCTACGTCTATTTATTTTTCTTAAAGGAGCCTAAATCCGTGCTGCACTCGGAATTCACATCTACCAAAAGGCGTGTCTATCACACTATCTTTCAAGGTTGAAGGCATGCATCTCCGGAAGTAAAAATAGTAGCGCACCACCAAAACACCCAACAAACTACCACGCCACCCACCTCCCTTCACTCTTTGAATATACCATCCATGCACCACACCAAGGCCCTGCTTGAGCGCAACCCACATTTGTTGTGCCTTCCATCTGGGAGTCAGATCTTCCCAGCGTGCTACTCTGCATGTCTTTAACCGTGATTCGATAAATAATATCCGGCTAAAATCATTCTGTATCTCAAGAGTTCTGGCTATAAGGAAGATTCCAAGATCAATGAGGTATGTACGAGTGCATGTGTCCCGCGGAGTATTACTATCAGAGTAGGCCTCGTCGAAGGATTTGGCACTTGCGTGGGAGTCGGAGGCTACCACGCCAGTGTTGGCTCTTTACCTGGCAAGGTGTATACTTCCTTAGCTGTTGAAGATGCGCCAATGCCTTTGACCGGCGCCCTTCATGGTTGCGGCAATATTATAAAACTCCGCCTATCTGGCTTCATGCGGAACTCTCGAGGAAGGCTTTATACCTTGACCTGGGGCGTCCGGTCGCTTCTAAGGAAGCTTGCCTGGTGTGTCAGGAGGCCGGGTTGTAATATTCTTAGCATCCGCAATTGGTATGTGAATCTACACTGCCTGGTATTATAACTGCGAGGTGCGCGACGGTATTACAACTCAAGTTACCGGTCTATTAACCCGTGAAAGCTGACCAAGTCAGTCTTCACACCACTTCGAGCGAGGTGAAATTCCTGCTGAACAATATCCCTGCTTACCCGCCTCTACTCCGAGAACCAATCATGTCCCTCGCATCTTTCAAGATGCCCTTGTCACGATGAAGAGAACGAATCTCCCATAACCTGCTGCCTATCGCTATTCTCGTGCCACGCTAGTCCCTTATCGCAACCCTGCTCCAGATATGCCTAATCTCCATCGCATATCGGACCGTCGGGCGAGAATTCTTCCCAAGGAAGTCACGGTCAATTTGGGCACTAGGAAAATGCTGCGGTATTTTCCGCGACTTGACTTGTACGCTACTTACTATTACTACTAGTAAGTAAATACAACTTGCTTGCTGCTGACCACATGCTCCGGACTCTACATCAGTGCCTTGAAGGACTTTACATGATTAATATAAACTCACTCGGTTATTATTATTTACTTGAACTGCGGCACTGAAGACTAATTTCTAGTGTGTTCCAAGTTCCAACTCCCGGCGGAGTCCCGAGTCCCTCGGGCCAGATCTCAAACTTCGGCTTTCTGGATTCTTAGATGATACGAAAATCCACCACTAAAGTATATATTGCAATGTAAGTCTGCAACATGATGCGCAAAATAACTGCTGAAGGACCAAGTATTATACAACTTGAGTTTATTTCTAAGGTCTTCAATCATGTTTCAATGCTCGAGTCATGAGCACTCGGCAACGAACTACTTACATGCCGTGTCGTCAACCACGCTGCACCTTGAAGGCGAAAGCAGAAACTCACTGTAGATCAGTGGGTCACTCAGGCTCGCACACATACTTTGTCTACCAGGCCGGTGAACCACGGTGTTAGAAGAAAACTACTCATACTCACCTGAGGTCCAAGCCTGAGGTTGTCAACTACTAAAAGATGGCATTGCTGGCCAGGGCAGCATTCTTGCGCTGTGCAGAGTTCGGGACAATAATTGACAGCTGGCATAGACGCTGACAACCTGAAAGCAGCTAGACAGACGAGGATGAAGGAGAGACGCATCATTTGTAAGATGCGATATGGGATTCCAAAAACAGATCTGAAGGGGACGGCAGGAATAGTACGGCTTGCTTTTATGTCCTGAATAATTAACCCGTCCACCTGAAACACTCTTTCAGATAGATGACATCTGCTTTACCAGCACATTGCCAGCAGACTTCAGGTTTAACTCGCTCTTTCCCCGACATTCTCTTGGCAGAAGACCTTGAAATACTGGTAATGTGTAATTCCGACCCGTTGTTCCATACGGCCTACGATAGCTCAGGGGTCATATAGATACTGAGAGAAATTCAGAGTCTTATCATGCATGGAGGAATGCGAAATTGGATACCAGGAGATCAGCAGCTGGCTTGAGAGATCTCTACTCCAAGGGAGAGTGCTCCCCAGGTATACTGTTATTTTCGGAACGCACCTCATGCAGTACCATATAGCGCCGGACGGGCCCAACCACGTCAGTGATCTGCAACACCTAATTTAGCCCTGCCAAGCCACTACAAATGCGGGCCATTATGTGTGTCTATGTACGTAGACTCTGCCGTTGGTTCTCCACTAAAATGCACATTTCATAGCAGGCACAGACGTGGCACTAGACACGATTTACGTGAAGGAATGCTGTATCTTTTCATTTGGTCCAGTTAGGTGAGATTAGTTTCCATTGTTGCGAGGATGGAGCTTGATGCATGATGCCTCATGCCCAATAGAGTCCACTGCATGAACATCAGATAAGTGTTTACCCTCAGAGCGGACGGGACCGACATCCAACCTTCATTTGTATACCATCCCTCACGAACTATGGCTAGTGTTTATACTGTCCTAGACCAAGTGTTGAACAACTTAAATCCGTTCTCCGAGTAAAGACAACAATCACACAACTTTAGTACATAACAAGATGGCAAGTGGTCGTAACGACGACCCGTCGGTCAAGGGTATCGAGAAAAACATACGAGAAACTTGCATGTGACACTTCACAGTTTTGCATTCGCTTTAACCTCTTTTTCATACCCCTCAACCAGCACCCGTCTCAACACCTTCCCAGTCGGCGACTTCGGAATCTACCCAAGGGCTCAATCAACTCATCCCCCAAAACAAGACGAGGAAAGAACCTACCGCCTCCACAATCCCAATGCCTCCCCTCAACCACTTATACCGACTAAGGCGCTCCTGCACCCACGCATTGAGTTGTGTCACAACCTCTTTCTCACCCAACGCTGCCCCCGCAGGGGATAACACGATCCACGCTCGGGGTATGCGTTCGTCCGAGGTACGCCCACCCGAAACACCCGCGACGCTCACATCAGTAATCAGCTTGTCGGGGTGCGCCAGGATCGTGTTCTCGATTTCGACGGGAGAGACTTGCATCCCTGAGATTTTGAGCGTATCCTGTAAGGACGGGGATCAGTACAATGCAAAACCAGTTGTGTTTATGGATAGTGCAGCTTACCTTGGTGCGGTCTTCGAAACTGCAAACAGGACAGATCGACTCTAGGATGAGTGTGCATATTGTACTTGTCTAACTAACTTACAAAAGCACCCCATCCTCATCGATCCGCATTCGGTCGCCCGTGCGCACCCATCCATTCACAAACGTTTCCAGAGTGGCCTTGTCGTTTCCCTTGTATCCCATCGCCGCAGAGCCTCCGCGGATGAGAAGCTCTCCTGGCTCGTTTGGGCCCGCAAGGGACCCGTCGGGACGGACAACGCGGGCTTCGATACCGGGAGCAAGAATTCCGGCAGAGCCAGGCTTGTTTTTAGCGCGTCCATCGAGCATGCCAGGAATGGGCTTCATGGCAATGCCAATTGTCTATATCAGACAATGACGTCAGTGATTTGAAAGGAGCAGACGGGGAGATCACTTACGAATTCGGACATGCCATAACCTGTGAAGATTAACAGTAGTACCTGGTGTTGCACACGATATGTTGAGGACGCACCTTCAGTAACTCTTGGCATGTCTGGGAAACGGGCGCAAACCTGATCGGCGAGCTGGGGCGGGAGATATGCGCCGCCGCTTCCGATTGCCTTAACCGACTTCATATCAGCAGTCTTGAAACGTGGATGATGAACCAGCTGGTGTAGAAGGGAAGGGACGAGGATCATGGTCGTGATGTGGTATCTACATTGCGGTTCAAGATGAGTACCAGAAGTACGACAGGACACACTAAATGCTCTTGGCAATCACTTACTTGGGGATGCTGTCAAAGAATATATCGATGTTCCATTTCGGGAGCATGACAATCGTGGAGCGACTGAAGAAGTTGAAGAAGCTGGTCGTGTAAAGGCCGATAGAGTGATAGAGCGGAAGGACATTGAAGGTCACTTGTAACCCATCAGGGGTGTTCCATACTGGTGGCTAGTAGGGGGGTCAGGGAGACCAAGAAAGCAGCGTCGGAAGACACACATCCTGAGTTTTAGCCATTTCCATACCGTTTACCATTGCTGAGAAGGTGGCAAAAATGATATTTCCGTGGGATATCATGACGGCTGTACAACATAGTCAGACGGTGCGTCTATGTTTCTGCGATTCGGAAACGAGACCAGTGGCAAAAACAGACACATACCTTTAGGAGGACCGCTTGTCCCACTGGAAAAGATCAGGTAGGCCAGAGTATCCTTAGTAGTATGACGGACTGGCAAACGTGGAATGCTATTCTTGCGAGCAGAGGAGATGAGCTGATCGTAGCTTGTATAACCTTTACTCTCTCCTTCTAAGAGGTAAATCCGATCTGCTGGGAGACCCGAAGTCAAAGCAAGTTGAAGTAACGAGGGACTTGCAAAGATCCTAGTCGCCTGCGCAAGCGAATTGGCGTGTTGGAACTCGTATGGTGTTGAATAGGATGGGAACAGCGCAAACGGGACGGTGATAGCCAGTAGGGAATGTAGCAGGGCTACATAGTCCTGAAAATTTTACCTTGTCAATCAGTCTCGAATGAACAATTGGATACAACGTACTGGGCAGTTCTCGCTCAGTATGCCTACGAGATCTCCATTTTCTGGACGAAGACCTAGGCCACCTTGTGTCACATCAGCACCCAGTGCAGTAGCACCATCGCGGACACGCTCGACAAACTCCCTGAACGAACGTCGCTGGCCAGTGGCTATATTGATGAACAATGTGTAATCTGGCCACTCCTGCTGGTCAGGCCGGTTGAAGAGCATGCGGTGAACATTAGATTCTGGGACCTTTGGCAGGTCTGGGAAGAGCGACTTGTGGTACATGCTTAGCAACCGATGCTCGAGCCTTCAGCGCTCAGCAGTACGATATTAACTGCGGCTGAGAATATTAAAGGTCCTGTAACTGTATACGGACTAGTACGTTTGTAGGTTAGGAGTTGACTGGTTTACGAGCGCTGTCTGCCAGCTGCGGATTGAGTCTTGTCAGCTGCTAAATTTACTCAGGACGTACCATGAAAAAACATTGACGCCAGGTGTCATGGCAAGGTAGTTACGTTAGAGCTGACCAACTGGCGAGTCGAAAGAAATCAATCACGGACACCGGGATCAAGAAAAGCTCAGTGAGTTGCAAATGATTATGATTACACTCATGAAATTCGCTTGTATGTTTCTGGATGCGATAGAATGTGCCGCTAACGAGCTCGGATCGGAAATGGCCGAAACGTCTTAAACCTTAAATCAGGGTGCTACATACAGCTGCGATTTCATGTACACTACGCGTTTGTTTACTCGGGTTCCCTGAAAACCTAGTTTGGTCTTAGTACTTCGACGACGTGTCTGAGACTTGCGGAAACTCAATAATGCACCTCACAGTTGAAAGTACTTGCACTAGTGGTACTCGAATGTGACGTTGACTATTTAGCGTAAGACAACGGCACACGTGAGAAGAGTGCTTTCGAACGAAGTGACAGTCTGAATTGGGGGTTCAAAACACACTACTAGCTGTAACTCTAAAACTATGGACTGTATAAAAGGTTAACTGTATCATTGGGGACAGATCTGAGAGCGGACGGGACGGATATCCAACTATTGGTATACTATCCCTTACGAACTATGGGCAATGACACCTGGTCCATACTATCCTCTAGAGTGAGTGGTAAATTCGTTCTCCGAGCAAAGACAGTGATCGCACAACTTTAGTACATAACAAGACGGCAAGTCGCACGATGACGACCCATCGGTCAAGGGTATCGAGAAAAACATACGAGAAACTTGCATGTGACACTTCACAGTTTCGCATTTGCTTTCGCCCCCTTTTCATACCCCTCAACCAACACCCGTCTCAATACCTTCCCAGTCGGCAACTTCGGAATCTACCCAAGGGCTCAATCAACTCATCCCCCAAAATAAAACGAGGAAGGAACCTACCGCCTCCACAATCCCAATGCCTCCCCTCAACCACTTATACCGACTAAGGCGCTCCTGCACCCACGCATTGAGTCGTGTCACAACCTCTTTCTCACCCAACGCTGCCCCCGCAGGGGATAGCACGATCCACGCTCGAGGTATGCGTTCGTCCGAGGTACGCCCACCCGAGAACGCCTGCGACGCTCACATCAGTAATCAGCTTGTCGGGGTGCGCCAGGATCGTGTTCTCGATTTCGACGGGAGAGACTTGCATCCCTGAGATTTTGAGCGTGTCCTGTAAGGACGGGGATCAGTACAATGCGAAACCAGTTACGTTTATGGATGGTGTAGCTTACCTTGGTGCGATCTTCGAAACTGCAAACAGGACAGATCGACTTTAGGGTGAGTGGGTATATCGTATTTGTTTAACCAACTTACAAAAGCACCCCGTCCTCATCGATCCGTATTTGGTCGCCCGTGCGCACCCATCCATCGACAAACGTTTCCAGAGTGGCCTTATCGTTTCCCTTATATCCCAGCGCCGCAGAGCCTCCGCGGACGAGAAGCTCTCCTGGCTCGTTTGGGTCCGCAAGGGACCCGTCGGGACGGACAACGCGGGCTTCGACACCGGAAACAAGAATTCCGGCAGAGCCAGGCTTGTTTTTGGCACGTCCATCGAGCATACCAGGGATGGGCTTCATGGCGATGGTCATCGTCTGTTTCAGACAATGACGTCAGCGAGCCGGAAGGAGCAGATGGGGAGATCACTTACGAATTCGGACATACCATAACCTTGTGAAGATTAACAGTAGTACCGGGTGTTGCACACGATACGTGGAGGACGCACCTTCAGTAACTCTTGGCATGTCCGGGAAACGGGCGCAAACCTGGTCGGCGAGCTGGGACGGGAGGTATGCGCCGCCGCTTCCGATTGTCTTGACCGACTTCATATCAGCAGTTTTGAAGCGTGGATGGTGAACGAGCTGGTGTAGAAGGGAAGGGACGAGGAGTATGGTCGTGATAGTGGTATCTACATTGCGGCTCAAGATGAGTACCAGAAGTACCACAGAACGCGCTAGATGCTCTTGGCATTCACTTACTTGGGGATGCTGTCAAAGAATATATCGATGTTCCATTTCGGGAGCATGACAATCGTGGAGCGACTGAAGAAGTTGAAGAAGCTGGTCGTGTAAAGACCGATAGAGTGATAGAGCGGAAGGACATTGAAGGTCACTTGTAACCCATCAGGGGTGTTCCATACTGGTGGCTAGTAGGGGAGTCAGGAAGACCAAGAAAGCAGCATCGGAAGACATACATCCTGAGTTTTAGCCATTTCCATACCGTTTACCATTGTTGAGAAGGAGGTAGTAATGATATTTCCGTGGGATATCATGACGGCTGTACAACATAGTTAGACGGTGCGTCTATGATTTCTGTGATTCGGAAACGAGACCAGCGGCAAAAAGAGACACATACCTTTAGGAGGACCGCTAGTTCCACTAGAATAGGTCAAGTAGGCCAGAGTGTCCTTGGTAGCATGACGGACTGGCACACGTGGAATACCATTCTTTCGAACAGAGGAGATGAGCTGATCGTAGCTTGTATAACCTTTATTCTCTCCTTCTAAGAGGTAAATTCGATCTGCTGGGAGACCCGAAGTCAAAGCAAGTTGAAGTAATGAGGGACTTGCAAAGATCCTAGTCGCCTGCGCGAGAGAATTGGCGTGTTGGAACTCGTACGGTGTTGAATAGGATGAGAACAGCGCAAACGGGACGGTGATAGCCAGTAGGGAATGTAGCAGGGCTGCATAGTCCTGAAACATTATCTCGTCGATTCACGGTCTCGATTGAACAATGGAATACAACGTACTGGGCAGTTCTCGCTCAGTATGCCTACAAAATCTCCATTCTCTGGACGAAGACCTAGGCCACCTTGCGACACATCAGCACCCAGTGCAGTAGCACCATCGCGGACACGCTCGACAAACTCCCTGAACGAACGTCGCTGGCCAGTGGCTATATTGATGAACAACGTGTAATCTGGCCACTCCCGCTGGTCAGGCCGGTTGAAGAGCAGGTGGTGAACATTAGATTCTGGGACCTTTGGCAGGTCTGGGAAGAACGACTTGTGATACATGCTTGGCAACCGATGCTCGAGGCTTCAGCGCTTAGCAATGATATTAATTGCGGCTGAGAATATTGAAGGTCCTGTGATTGACCTGGCTTTTTATACAATGGCATCATGATGGAGCCGGACTTGTACGTTTGTGGTTGGAAGTTAACCGGTTTACGAGCGCTATCTGCCAACTGGGGATTGAGTACTCTCGGAGTCTTGTCAGCAAATTTACTCAGGACCGCGAAAACATTGACGCCAGGGCTGTCATGGCAAGGCAGTTCCGTTAATCAAAGTTGGAGCCGACCAACCGGCGAGTCGAAGAAATCAAATCACATTCACCGGGATCAAGTCAAGCTCAGTGAGTTGTAAATATTATCATGATCCGGAGTGGGAGTGCACGTGTTTACACTCATAAGATTCGCTTGTATGTGTCTGGATGCGATGGACTGTACGTCGCAGTTGAAAGTAGTTACTTGCACTAGTACTCGAAGAGCTAGGAGGTTTGATTTGAAATTTGAAATCCTACAAAAGTTCCGCCACGTCTTCACAATCTCGCCTTCCCCTTCATCTTCCCATCCTTTGCATACTCATCTACAAGCACCCGCCTCAACACTTTTCCGGTTGGCGACTTTGGAATCTACCAAAGCGTTCAGTCAACTCGAGAAAAATACAATAAAGGCGAAAACACGCCCACCGTCTCCACACACGTGATTCCCCCCCTCAACCACTTATACCGACTGAGCCGCGCCTGCACCCATGCATCAAGTCGTGCCATGACCTCTTTCTCACCAAGCGCCATGCCTGCCGGGGAAAGCACGATCCACGCTCGCGGGACGCGTTCGTCTGAGATACGCCCGCCCGAAACACCTGCGACGCTTACATCAACGATCAGCTTGTCCGGCTGCGCTAGAAGCGTGTTCTCGATTTCAACAGGGGAAACTTGCATCCCCGAAATTTTGAGTGTGTCCTGTGACGACTTAGTACAGCACCAATGAGTGATATAGACGGTGCAAGCTTGCCTTGGTGCGGTCCTCAAAGCTACAAAGGGTATATCAGCATCATGGGGTGATTAGCGTGTCGTTCGTCTCACAAAAGCACTCCGTCCTCATCAATCCGCATCTGGTCGCCCGTATGTAGCCACCCATCGACGAATGTCTCTCGTGTTGCCTTGATATTTCCCTTGTATCCCAGCACCGCGGTGCCTCCACGTACATGGAGTTCACCTGCCTCGTTTGGACCCGCGAGAGACCCATCGGGACGGATAATGCGAGCTGTGACACCCGAAGCCAGAATTCCGGCTGAGCCCGGTTTGCTTCCTGGCCCTTCCATCGAGTATGCCAGGCAGGGGTTTCATGGCCACCACTGTCTACCCTCGGGCAGTGGGGTTGGGGGTTGAAATGAGTAATGGATGCTCACCTACGAATTCGGACAAACCATAACCTGTATAAGTGGGTAGTAATACAATAACACACGAACAAGAAGGGAAGTGGAGAACGTACCTTCGGTAATTCTTTCCATGTCTGGGAAGCGGGCAAAAAGCTTGGCGGCGAGCTGGGGTGGAAGATATGCAGCGCCACTGCCCATGCCTTTAATCGAACTCAAATCGGCAGTTTCGAAGCGGGGATGGTGAACCACCTGGTGTACAAGTGATGGGACGAGGCCTACCGTTGTGATACGGTATCTAGTCGCGACCCAAGCATAAATATCAGTAGCACAACATATGAACTGCACTTACTTCGGGATACTGTCAAAAAATAAGTCGATGTCCCACTTTGATAGCATGACTGTCGTAGAGCGCTTGAGGAAGTTGAAAAAAACTGTACATGTACAGGCTGTACGAATGGTAGACAGGAAGGACACAGAAGGAGACTTGAAGCCCATCAGGGGTGTCCCATACAGGTGGCTGGACAGAAGGTTGGGATAACAAGAAAGTAGCTTCGGATGAATACATACCTCTTGTATTTTAGCCATTTCCATAGCGTATACCATCACTGCTAGGGTGGCATGCATGATATTTCCATGGGATGCCATGACGGCTTTAGGATGAAGTCAGAAATGCTGCATATGGCGTGCCCATGCTTTTGCAATAAAAGCCAGAAAAGATATACATGCCTTTGGGCGGACCACTTGTCCCACTGGAAAAGATCAGGTAGGCCAAGAGTATCCTTAGTAGCATGACGGACTGGCAACCGTGGAATGCTATTCTTGCAAGTAGATGAGACGAGCTGATCGTAGCTTGTGTAACCATTACGTTCTCCTTCTAGGATATAGATCCGATCTTCGGGGAGACCTGAGGTTAAGGCGAGTGGCAGCAATGAGGGACTGGCAAAAATCCTAGTCGCCTGCGCGAGCGAATTGACGAGTTTGAACTCGTAAGGTGTAGAGTACGATGAGAACAGCGCAAATGGAACTGTGATAACTAGCAGTGAATGCACCAGAGCGAAATATTCCTGACAAAATATGCTTATTCGTTTTACGAGCTCAGGCAAGGAAAATGCAACACACTGGGCAGTTCTCGCTCAAAATTCCTACAAGCTCTCCATTCTCTGGACGAAGACCTAGGCCACCTTGCGACACATCAGCACCCAATGCAGTAGCGCCATCGCGGACACGCTCGACAAACTGCTTGAACGAATCGCCGCTGCCCAGTAGCCACGTTCACAAATAGTGTGTAATCTGGCCACTCCCGCTGGTCAGGCCGGTTGAGGACCAAGTTGTGGACATTTGATTCGGCCACCTCTGGCAGGTTGGGGAAGAGAGATCTGTAGTACATGCTTGACCGTAAGATGAACAACCTCAGTCTGAATCCTGAGACCTCAACCCTTCAACTGAGGAATATAAACCTGGGGGTCTGGTAATCACATGAAATGAAGCCAGAGTACCTATCATAATGATGACGTTTGTGGTAAGAACATGACTAGTTTACGTACGAGCGCCAACCAATGAATTAATGATCACTCAATGCTATTATTAGCTTTAAGCCATTGCCAGCCATTGCCAGCTCGATGTTGGCAATATCAAGTGACTGGTGATTCACGCGTGCATCCGCATACCCGTTGAACCAAGGTATCATGTAATAAAACAAGGCACCAAACGCTTTATAGGGGTATACAATCTATGTCAAAGTTCCGTTAAATATAGTGATGGAATAAGTGTTATTTGCCTAAAGTTTGGCCTTAATTGCCTTCCTGCCCCTGCTCATATTTCTCTACTAGTTGTCTCCTTAATACCTTTCCCGTGGGCGATTTTGGAATCTGACGATCTCTGCATGAACACATGACCGCCTTTGAAATAAAACTGGCAACGCACCATATCGACCACTTCGATGCCTCCGCGGAGCCATTTATATTTACTCAACGACTCACGCACCCACACGTCGAGCTTTGCCATGGTTGAAGAAGCTCCCAATTTGTGACCCTCAGGAGACAACACGACCCACGCCCGGGGTATCCGCTCGTCAAGGGTGCGTCCACCACTCACACCCGCGACTGATGCGTCAATAATGAGTTTATCTGGGTGCACCAAGAGTGTGTTTTCGATCTCTACAGGAGAGACTTGCAATCCAGAGACCTTGAGTGTGTCCTATGATCATGTCAGGTAGGTAAATGAGGGCGGTTTCTTTCCTCAGTAGTTCGTACCTTTGCTCTATCCTCGAAGCTGCACTGCAATCAGAAGGGCTTTCATCAGTGCGTCAAGACACTCACAACAACACGCCGTCTTCATCAATTCGTATCCTATCACCGGTGCGAAGCCATCCATTGACGAACGTTTCCTCGGTTGCTTTCGGATTATTACGGTATCCAAGCGCAACACACCCCGATCGGACGTGCAGCTCTCCAGGTTCGTTCACTGCGGCCAGCGTCCCGTCCTCACGCACTACCTTAACCTCAATGCCAGGCAGTAGGACGCCTGTGGAGCCTGGCTTGTTTTTCGCCCGCCCGTCGAGCACGCCGGGAATGGGTTTGTTAGCAATAGATATTGTCTGACGAGTGAAGAGCCGAACGTCATTGCCACAGAAACGATTCGTCGGGCGAAAGAACTCACGCTTTCAGACATCCCATAGCCTACGAGTGATTAGCAAAGTTTAAAGTCAAAAGAAAATTTGCAGCCCACCTTCACCTATCCGCTCAAGGCCCGCAAAACGAGAAAGCAGTGCTTCCGAAAGCGACACAGGCAAGTAGGCAGCTCCACAATGCACAACTTGGACAGTGCTAAAGTCGGCGGCCTGGAACTCAGGACGATGTACGAGCTGATGGACCAAGGAAGGAACAAGGTATAAAGTGGTGGCGCGATACCTGAAACGAATTAGCTATCATGTAGATGTGCGTTGAGGAATTTGCACACTTAGGAATGGCGTTGAGGAAGGCATTGACGTCCCATTTCGGGAGCAAGACAACGGTGAGTGGCGAAAAGAACACCCGAAAACATGATATGTGCAAGCCATACGTATGGTGTATCGGGAGAACGTTAAATAGCACCTGCATGCCGTTGGGACCATTCCAAACGGGTGGCTAAGTCGCTATGTAAGCCTATTTCCGCACAAGAGGAAATGAATGAGTACTTTCTGGAACTTGTTCACTTCTTCTGTTACAACCTTGACCTGAAGGAGTGAATTCGTTAGGTTTCCATGAGATATCATAACCGCTGTTGAAGGGAGCAATGATCAGGGTGGATTTTCAATATGGTTATAATACAAAAACCAATGCAGCACGCATACCTTTGGGAAGACCGCTTGTTCCGCTGGAAAAAACCAGATATGCCAAAGTGTCTCGCGTGGCGTGCTGTACAGGTAAGCGGGGTATCCGATTGCGTCGAGCACGGTTGACAAGGTCTTCATAACTCAAGTGGCCTTCGACGTGACCTTCCAGCAGGTAAACCCGGTCATCTGGGAGACCTGAAGTCAAAGCGAGGGGTAGTAATGAGGGGCTGACAAAGATCCGGGTCGCCTGCGACAGTGACACAGCATGTTTGAATTCGAAAGGAGTCGAGTACCCAGAAATCATAGCGAAAGGCACTGCAATCGCCAACAGAGAATGCAATAACGCAATGTAGTCCTGGAGCTGCGTATATAGATTGATAATACATTACTGACTGATATAGAAGCATACCAGGGAGTTTTCGCTTAGGATCCCGACGATCTCACCCTTCGCAAGAGAGATACCGAGGCCACCTTGCTCGATGTCAGCTCCGAGAGCGGTAGCCCCATCGCGCACACGCTCAACGAATTGACGGAAAGACCACCGTTTACCAGTGGTTGCATTCACGTACAACGTATAATCTGGCCAGGCCTGCTGGTCTGGCCGATTAAAGAGCAGATGATGAACATTAGCCTCTGGCACGACAGGGAGGTCGGGGAACATGGACTTGTGGTACATCCTGCCAAGTCGTTTGGGTGGACTGGGGAGAGGCTAATATGTGCGTGTTCGAAGACGATCTACCTTATGAAACTTTTCTGTTGCTTTTTATCAGCGACTCAACTAGTGAGTCTGGAGTCGTTCGGAATGGCTATTGCCATAGCCGGAGTCGTGGGGCCTGGGAAGGTTGCTGGGAAGGTTTAGAAGTTTTTTACGGTTTGCTTACACTGTTGTGTTGACTGACCTCGGCAAGTTGGATCTAACGGGTTACGGTCCTACGGAAGTACTTAGTGCCATGATCCATGATCCATGATCTGCCGTGCTCTCTTCCTTGGATGTTTTGACATCCAGAAACAATCATCCACGCGTCGCAATACGAATTCTTGTGGGTGGCCTGAAGACACCGATCAGCACATTAATGGACATGTCAGTTCACGGCGTGGTGGTGAGTAAGAACCGGGTACACTATCTTTTTTTAGCCGGTTTCTGGTACTACCTCCTTGTAGGAGCCATTCAAAACACCCTTTACACTTGTGCACCCATTCTTTGGGGAGTCAAGTCTCTTTCTATGGCAATGATACTCCCTCTCATTCCCTGATAAAGCTCTGCAAATCATTCAGTTGGTATTCACTCAGCTTTTCCGCCACTGAAGGATCACTAGTACTGTGTCATCGGGTCGCATGATTACAGAGTAGATATTCCGCGGGGCTGTCGGTTCTCTTATCGTTGGCAAACCTCCACGGTGGCCGCTGGGGATTGACGGCCGAGATGCATTCTGTCATGCTTCCACTGCAAGATAGTACTTGATATCAGCCATTTAGCGTAATGGCATCCCAGACTCCCAGCGCTCCGCCAGTTGTGTGAGTGATGGATGGCATCAGAATTCATCATCGAAACTTCGAAGGTTCTACTGGTGTGTCATTTCTCTGCATCGTTTTTATATCGATTATGATCATGAAATTCGAATCCTTTGATGTATCCCGGTTAGGCTGTTAGGCTGTCTTCAAGTTCATCTCGTGATTGACGCTGGGTGATATCATTACAACGGGAACTGCCTGCACTGCCTGTCGGCCGTTTTGATGCCGCTTGCTCCTCATCCGGGCCCGTCCTCCTGCCCAAGTTGGTCAGTCACATTGATCTTCACTTCTTAGTGTGTCCGCTTATCACTAATTTGTCGTGAATAGATATATATATACATTTTTGCTACCGGACGCCAAAGATAACACCTGGGCAAAGAGCATGGAGTGACGTGTCGGAATGCGGGCTCACTAGAACGTCCCGACCATCCGTACCCGGTTGCGTCATTGAGGAGAAGCTGTTAGCTTGAACTGCCAATGGCTTTTAGCCGGTTATAGCATGAACCGGATCTTGGCACGCTCGATAAGTCCGAAGACTACCAAGTTGATGATATCGCTAAATCCTCACCCACGTCCGATAATATTTGCCACAACATATCCCCCTTACTACCGTTCGAGAGGTATAGGATCGGCCCCCGGAGATCTCTCAGTTCTTTCTGCAGGTCAAACGATGCAAAAACTCAGTTGATCAATGTTTAGGTGTTCGAACCAATTCTTGGACGTAACGAGTTGCTCACGGACACCAGTCAAGTCTAATGTACTGGTGGCGGGTAAGTACTGGAGTGTCAACACCATTCCAATAAGAATATACCAAACCGAAGTAATGATTCTCATCTGGGCAGCGGCAGGGCATTTTGCATTCCCTCTCAATTGAGCAGATTATCGCTGATACCGCCCATGCTCTCACCTTACCCTCATATGACGAGTCGTCTTTTGGACCTAAAGCCGTATCGTGAAGAACGCAGCCTTTTCAGAATATCCACGGTTGCAGCTTGCCCTTCTTTGGAATATACGCACTAAGTTTTCGATCACACCAGAGCTTTACATCCCCCCCAAAAAATTAAACCAACCCATGACCACCCTCATCGAGCGACCCAGGGACCACTTTTAAATTTAAATGTGGAGACTTTGACATTCGTGTAACAATCTGCTCCATCTATGCAGACATCTTTCAAGGTCAACGACCAAAAGACCTGCCATCCTTACGGTCAAGTTACCGCAGACTGCTACTTGTCCCGAACGTGATATCGGAAGGGCTTGTACCGTGCCGTACAAGTTGACAAACGATAAGGCACCACAGGGCACCATGGTTTTCTGGAAGGGTGCCTTGCAGCTTCCCATTTCCTCCATGTGGAGTATTTGTATGCACTATCCGATCACGTCAGAGCATCACATCCTGCCAAAAACTCTCCGATGGACAATCCCTACCAGGATGAACCAATAGCCACTCAAGTACTCGCTGTTCGATCTACGTGTAGTGGCATTGCCAACCTCGGTTTACCGCTCATGGTCGGTGACTCAAAGATTGCCGCTCTATTACGTAGCGAGGCACGTGTGTAAGGTTAGAGTATGATCTTTGGGCGAGTGGAAGACGCCAGCAGCGTCTATTGCTTCTGCTCTCCCGTATGGCTCGTAGACTTGAGTCTCATCGAGCTTCTTTTCCCCACCCACCACTCCCTGGACATCATAACGCGCGCCCAGCGCTCGATGATGAGCCTCGCTGTTGCTCGCATTATGCTAAACAACTGCTCTTGTGGTCCTGATCAACATAATCTTCCTTTGAGAATTTTCATGTGAGGCTGGCCGCCCACCCTCGCAGCTCACCTTCTTTCTCTTTGGGCGGATCTCCGATTGGGGCCGGAAGCGCTTCACGCCTTCGCCCACTCACTTTGTAGTATCTGGTCTTCACACGGAACGCTCTTTGTAGCTCCCGGAAATTCTCTCTCTACGAGCGTCACAAGTGACACCCCAAGACCAACTGTAGATACTTGCGGAACAGCCCGGCCGGGCCGTGGAGTACGGTCATTGGAGCTCTAGACCCGGCTTAACGTATCTGTAAGCTTGAGCTGTGCCCTCGAGTCGCGGCTTTCAGTGCGAAGCAGAGTGAGCGCATGCGCAGGTAACTTAGCGCCCCCGTAGCCCCGGCTTTTTTTTTGAATCCAGTTTATTGTCACTGAGAGATTATCGATTATCCCCCATGTTAGTCATCTGCGCAGGATTCGTTATCATATACGTAGGGCCCCAAACCTTTCAATCAATGTCTCACGACCCCGACAACTTCTAAACCCCTGCGCAAGTAATTTCGTACATTTGAGTAACTGATCACTAGCCGCAGCGCAATTGCAAGTTCCACTTGCGCTGCGGCGGCAACCACCGGTGGTGTCAGCCCATTTCAAGTTTCATCTTGCGCACCGTGACTGCGTGCGTGATGGTCGATGCATCGCATTGGCTAATCCAATTACCATACATGAAGGCTAGCCTCGGGGGCCATTACCGCAGCCCGAATCTTCGCCCGAGAGCAACCCGCCAAGCTCACCGATTACTAGCCTGAGTATTTGGCTAACGTTGCCTTGCCATTGAATGAATGCAACACAACGCACGCCCATGAAAACTAGCAGCGAGGCGAGTCAGATATTTCTTTTCTGACGCTGGATCTCGTCATTTTGCACCTGGTTACATTCATCAGAGTCATACAAAGGCATATTACTAGACTAGCCTGTCCAGACTTCCGAGTCATATTGGAATATACTTTTAGTAACTACTAGCAGTGACCTTGAGGTTTATTGCTAGATTGCGGCCTGCTGTTACCGTACTGGGTTGCGCTCCTGTATATACATGAGAGAGTACTTGCGGATATAATAATAATATCAGGCACCGGTATGGTTACAACGTTTCACCATCATTGACAAGAGCACTGTCACAAACAGCCAACACACGCTCGCCTCGTTGGCAAAAGTCAGCTCAGCTGTAGTTCCTTTCCGCTTATTCTCTGTACCATTTCAACTTGTAATAACGTTTCCTCAAGATGCCGCCCAGCTTGAAGCAGAGACTTGCTGCTCTTTCACTTGCACAATCTTCTCCAACATCTCCTCTCGGATCCGACTCGGGTCCTCATTCTCTTCTCAGTCGAAGAAAAGTATTCAATCCGCCGTGGAAGCAAACCCTGGGTGCTACGGGAGATGAACCCGGCGCGAGGAATAAAGTACAAGAGGTTATGGGCAAGGTCATTTTCCAGGCTGGGGTTGATTTCGAGTGAGTGCGATATATGGTTAGTGGCTGTCAAGCTATTCATAGTTCCTTTCCTCCCTAGGACTAGGCCTATGTAAGTTCCCGTACTGCCTTGGGTCTTGTGACAGATACTAGGACGCTCTAATTGACGGCTAACGTGGCCCTTAGGGTCATTCTCAATTCCTCGGCGTTACCTGATCCGCAAGAGGTCTCCTATGATCTACTCTTGCAGTACGTGTCTGTGCAGAATGCAACCACTTATTATCCTCATACTATGTCAGGCGAATTTTGGCATACCTCGATCTCTTCGGTTCGTTCGTTTCTAGCACTATCACTATCTACTGGTCTCACCTCGTTCCCTCCAGTTGAATCCGATTACACTGTAGTATTCTTCGCAGCAGGCGGTCGCCACGCTCCCAACTGGAGCTGGATTTGGAAGGCATATCGAAGCCTGAGTAGGAAGTATCGTAAGAACTTGAAGCGCCTGGTCAGGGATACTTTACTTGCTCACGATGCAAGCAACTGAATGTTCAGCGCAGCTCATTGTACACTCTTCTTTTTTCTCGAAAAGTAGGTGAAATCTTTCATTCGGTCGGGCGCTCCTTTTACCTGCGCTCCGCAGTGCTTTTCTCGTTGGCAGGTGCTGTCGTCAGGTCTTTCAGTTTCACTGTCATGGTTTCTAAACGCGCTGAACATATTTGCACAGCCCAAAGTTCTTTCGCAAAATAGTCTACGTCGATACTCTGTCGGAACTTGCTACACAGGTCCCATTAACTCAAATTGACATTCCACCTGCGGTGTATAAGTAAGGACACTTTAGCCTGTTCAATACTTCTGATAACACATCTACAGAGAGAATTTGAAACAGGAACGGCATATTGTATTACCGACTCCCATTCGCTCTAGCGTCTTTGGTGTGCCCTTAGAAGAACTCATGGGTCATGACGGCGAAAAGGGCAGCATTCCGCGGGTTCTGAAAGATTCTATCCAGGACCTTTTGACCTCTGGTGAGCATCGAGGATGATTGTTATCTTACTTAAACTCATCAAACACACATAGGGTTGAACGAGGAAGGGATTTTCAGGCGCTCGCCAAGTTCTGTGTTGCTCAAACAGGTTCAAGAAGCCTACGACAGAGGTATTTTTCTACGTTGACACCGAATTGCATATTATGACACTCGATCAGGCCAGGTCGTTTCCCTCCAAAGCTTTAACGACCCTCATCTTGCAGCTGTGCTATTGAAGAAGTATCTCCGCGACCTTCCCGAC